TCTTATAAGATTTTACTTATAAGCTTATAAAACCTATATTATATATTTTATTAATACTTAATAATATAAATAATAAATAAAATCTTATTAATTCCTTATAGCTTTAGAGTAAAAAGTCTATAGAAAAGGGCTTAAAGATATTATAAAATAAACTTTTTAGAGTTATAGTTAATAGAATAGAAATAAGCTTTATTAAAATTATTTATTAATAGACTTAATTATATAATAAATTCTTAATAGTATTATAGTAAGCTATAATACTTATATTATAATAGCTATAGTATATATATCTTTATCTTCTACTATAGTAAAATATTAACCTAGATTTTCTAGGTAATTAAATTTTAATATTTTAGAATTAATATTAAAGCTTAGCTTAAATATAGTATATTTAAAAAATAATACTAAGGAGAATAATAATTCTATAAATAAAAAAACTTTAATTAATAAGTTTTAAATTTTTAAAAGTATACTACTTCTCTTAATATATAAAGTATCTATATTATTAAAACTATATATAATAAAGAGTAAAAGTAGTTTATTAAGGCTATTAGGTAATAGTAAAGGCAATAATACTAATAGAGTTAGTATTTCTAGCTATAATAGGCTAGGAAAGGACAGATCTAGTATTATTAATATAAATAAGTTACTTTGCTTTTTTAATATTCTTTTAAATACCTTATTATTTTTATACTTATAATAAAATTTATATAGTAGATATTAAGGCTAACCTAAAATATTTTATATTTTTAAATAGCTATTAAGATTAAATATAATTTATATAATAACTTTAGAATATATATTTTAGAGCTTTTTTCCTTTAATATTAGATATAAGTTCTATAGCATTACAAGTATTCTTAGTTAGCTTTTATATTTTAAGTTATAGCTGCTTCTATACTTTACTACTATCTTTTAAAAACTTTTTAATATAATTCTAAGTCTAGCTTATAGAATAATAAATTATATAATTAAAACTTACTTTCTAAGGCTAGGGGCTTTATATACCTACTTATAATATTTATAATAAAGCTATATTAATAGATATATATTATAAAGAATATATATATTAGTATTAGGAATATTAAAGAAAAGATAGTAAGTATATAAAATAATAAGTATATAAAATATAAAATAGTAGGTTTATAGAGTAGCTAGCCTATAGCACTTAAATAGGATTAATCTTATAAGATTTTATTATATAATAAGGTTTTTTAGCCTAGGCAGAAGCTATAGTATATAAGCTTTATAATATAGATTTTAATAATAATAATAATAATTTTAAACTTTTATTATATTATTAATTATTTTTTATAATTATATAGCGCTATACTATATATTAGAAATAACTAATAGTTAATATAGTAGTTTGCGTATTAAAGCGTGAACTACGCGCTAATATACTGCAGTTTATATAAAAAGTATAGTTTGCACTTGCGCTTGCTGCTAGCTACAAGATCTTTCGCTAATATAGCTCTAGAAGTAGAGGGCTATTTAGATCTTAATAACAAAGTAGCTTTAAAGGGCTTTTTAGACCTAATCCTAGTCCTAGAAAGCTATTTAGATCTTTATAACTAAGTAGCTCTAGGGGGCTATTTAATAACTCTAGAATAGAAAGTAAGCTAGTAAATTATTCTAGAATTTCAAGTCTATTCAATACTTTAAGTAGAACTTAAGTTAGTAAAAAAGTAATAAAACTATAATAATATAAATAAAAATAATTACTAGTATAAGTATAATAGTAGCAATAATAACTTTAATAATAATAAGAACTCTAATAGTAGCAATAGTTATAGCTATAAGAACTTTAGTAGTAGTAGTAATAGTAACAATTATAAAAACTATAGTAATAGTAAAAAGTATTTACTAAAGTAAAGTAAATAGTAGTTATTATAAAGACTTTAAAATAAATCTATAATCTTTTTTCTAATTATTTAATATTATTTAATAATCTTAAAATATAAGTAAAATCCTTTTTAATATTAATATAATAGCTTATATAAATAATTTAATATTTTATAATTCTTTAGCTATAAAATATTTTTAATAGCTAGAATAAGAATAAAGTACTAATAACTATAATAATAATAAAAATAGCTTAATTTTAATAAATTTAAATTATTCCCCTTTAGTTTTTACTTTTTTACTTATTCCTTTAGCTCCTACTTTTCTCTTTTCCTTTTACTATTAAAGTTAACTTTAGTTTATATATATTTAAATATATTAAAGTTATAAATATTTTTCTATAAATAAATAGAATTTATATAATAAAGCTTAAAAATTCTATTCCTAAGAAGCTAAAGCTATAGGCTCCCTATATTATAATAAATATTTATAATACTATTTATATAAAATTACTTTTAAATACTTTTCTTTTTTTCCTTTTTTTATTTCTATTTCTACTAAATTACTTTAATCTAGTCTATTTATATTTTACTTTATTACTAGTTACTTCCGCTTAATAGTAGTCTATAATATATTAAATAAAGATTTTTAATATAGTCTTAAACTTAAGTTAACTATAAGTTAAATAATATTTATTATACTTAAAAATAACTAAGTTTTATTAAGTTAGTCTATATATTAGAAAAAAATATAAAAATCGCTAAGGAGGGTTTAAGAGTATTAAAGAAAGCCTTAATAATAATAGACCCTTTTTAATAGTAAAATAATAGACTAGTTATAAAGTACTTTCTTCTTTAAAGCTTCTTTAAAATCAACTTAAATAATTACTATAAGCTATATAAATCCTATATATAAGTTGCTCCTTAGAAGCTAAAATATAAAATAAATAACTTCCTTAGCTATATACTTAGTACTATAGACTTCTTTAACTATTTTTAAATAAACTATTTTCTTATAAATAGGACCTTCTTAATAATAAAGTTTTTTTAATTCTATAGGACTTTTAGAGCTAAGTTATTTAATAAGGATAAGGTTTAAGTTTAGGGAAACAAAGCTATTATAGTATTAAACTTTATAATTTATTATTTTAAATAACTTTAGTTTCTAAAATCTTTATTATTAATATTATATATATTAGTATTAAATTAACTAAACGGAAAAGGTTTTAATTATAGGAGATAAAGTATTTATAAAAACTTTTAAAATTTATTATCTTTAATAGTATTAATAACTTTTTTTTTAAAAGAAATAAAAAAAGTAAAATATTAATAATAAATTAAAAATCTATAATAGTAGTAACAATATATTTATTTAAGGGAAATAAAAAAACTAAAATATTATTAAAAATATAAAATTTCAGTTATATAGATTAGAGGAAATAGTAATATACTTTGCTTTTCTTTTTACTCTACTCTTTTTTCCCCTCCCCTTATTACTACTCCCCCTACTCCTCTTTATACTCCCTTTTCTATACTCCTTCCTCTACACTCCCTCCTCTATACTCCCTCCTTTATACTAGTTTGTTCCGAAACTATTAATATATCTTCTATTAGTACTTTGGACCTAAGACACTTAATAAAGATAGGGTTTAAGTAATAGAAGACAAAGCCTTTATAATAGGGGCTTTCGTAACTTGTTATTTTAAACTACTTTTTAAATAAGAATAGGGTTAAAGTTATAAAGATAAAATATTATAATAGTAATTTTTAGAAATTATTATCTTTAATAATATTTAATAATAATTTTTTCTTTTTAAAAGAAATTAAAAAAGTAAAACATTAATAATAAAAAAACTTTCTAATAGTAGCAATAACTTATTTATTTAGAAAAAATAAAGAAAGTAAAATATAAATTATAAATATAAAATTTTAGTAATATAGATTAGAGGAAATAGTAATATAATAGTCTCCTGCTCTCCCTACTGCGCTCTCCCTGCTGCTACTCTCTATACTTGCTTTCCCTATGCTCCTTACTCTTTCCGCACTACTATTACTCTTCTTTATACTCCCCTTACTTCTCCTTCTTGCTTCTCCGCCTTACTCTCCTAGTTTACACTAGTTCGCTCTAAAACCATTAATGTATTAAGTTGAATCGCCAATATAAAGCTAATATAAAAGTTACTGAAAAGACTTTAAGAGTATTAAAGAAGGCTTTAATAATAATAAATCTTTTTCAACCGTAATATAGACTAGCTATAGACTTTTTTCGCCTTTGTTCCTTTTTCTAGAAAACCTTAGAAGATTATAAGCTATATAATTTTAATATATAGATCGATCCTTAAAAGCCAGAAAATAATATAATCGACATTTTTAGCAATCTGCTCGGTACGGCAGACCTTATTGGCCGTGCTCAAATGAATTACCCCCTTTAGTCCAGTGCGGACGCTATTCAAGCCGACTCCCGTCAAATTGAGGAGTCGATAGCAAGGGGGGAAGCGCTACCTACGAATAGGACCTTCTTGACGATAAAGCTTCCTCAATTCTATAGGTCTTTTAGACCTGAGTATCTCAATAAGGATAGGGTTCAAGTTAGGGGAGACGAAGCCTACGTAATATCGGCCTTCGCAATTCGTTATTTTAAACGACTCTAGGTTCCGAAATCTACTCATCGATATCGCGTGCATCAGCACTAAGTCAACTAAACGAGGAAAGGTTTCAGTTATAGGAGACAAAGCATTACAGCAACTTTCGGAACTTGTTATCTTTAACGGCATCAACGATTTTCCTCCTTCTTTGCTTTACGCTAGTTCGCTCCGAAACCATCAATGTATTATACATTAATGGTTTCGGAGCGAACTAGCGTGAAAGCAAAGAGGAGGGAGTGCGGAGCAAGGAGCAAAGATGAAGGAGAGCGGAGGAGGGAGTGCGGAGGAAGGAGAGTAGAGGAAGGGAGAGCAGCAGCAGGGAGGGAGAGAGAGGGAGAGAGGGAGATCGCCACAGGGTGTGTCTGACGGACATTAGACTATTTGTATAGTAATTCGCACCAACTACTGATCAACATCGATTGTGCGTACAGTATGGTCGCGGCCTATCTAAAAGATGCCCACAAAAAGCCTCCCGGTGTTTGTCAATGCGATAAAATGAGTGTGTAAGGCGTCTAGAAATGCCATCCACCAACGTGTAGCTGGCGGCGAACAGCTCCATTCTTGTAAATTCGAGATCGCTTTGTCGATGGCCATGCGATGTTTCCGTTCTTGCAAATCGTGCCCTGCGGAACGGGAATCATCACAACCTTCATGCTCTGATCACATGTACCTATCTGCTTGGCGTCAGCGCTGCAAATGACTGCGCCGGCTTGGGTGCAAGACGTGGAGCCCGAAGGTGTCGCGGCGCCTTGTGTAGCAGGTGCGGCTTGTGGGGCAGCGGTGCCCCCAGATCCAGCTGATGATGTATTTTGTTGTTGAGTAGGAGCAGATCCAGAGGAAGCGGGTGCTGATGCACCGGAGGGGCTTGATGCACCTGAGCCGGAAGAGGGACTCGATTCAACGTCAACGCCGGAGGGGCTTGGAGCAGATGCACCGGAGCTCGAGCCGGAAGGCGCTGCTGCAGCGTTGGCGCTTCCAGCACTAGCGCCAGCACCTGCACCAGATGAAGCACCTGATGAAGCACCAGCACTTCCGCCAGATGAGCCTCCAGCACAAGATCCGGTTGGAGGCAGTGGCTTATCGGTGTTGAATTTATCGACTGATGCACCGGGGTCTGGAAACGCTAGAGGTCCTCCCTCTGCGGTAGTGCACTGATTACCGATGTTTGCCTTGAACATGTCGGGAAAAGATGTATCTCGTTCATGCAGCTCCGGTATGAACGTGAAATTGCCGGATAGCTCATCACGCTTGCTCGCTCCGCCAGTAATTTTGACCAAGGCGCAATTCATGTACATTTCCCTGTTCCCGACCTTATTGAACCTATAAACATTCAAAATTAGCATAGGATTCAGGCAAGGATGTCTTGGAGGTTCACTCACCATGTCCAGGCAAATGTATAGGGCCCCGCCTTAATTCCATCAGGTATCTTATAGTCGTACGTGTCAGGAGCCTTCTGCAGCCTAGGGTCACCTGGCTTCTCGTCGAGATTTCCGGCTTGGTTCTTGGCTGGACAGCCACCCTCAATCGAATGGATGACTTGCCACTTGCTGCCCTTCGTGGGGGGATTGTCGGTAGTCAGTGAGAGTTGGCAGCTTCCTCCCCCATGAACCGCAGTGCCGAAGAACGACAACTGCTGTGAGGATCCCACAGCCATCTCTGTCGTTGTCCCGCCGGTGCTCGCGGCATTTTTGCAAGGAAAGTCTAGATTTTAGATGTTAGCTGTGTATCTTGAAGAGCTACTGTCTCAGGTTTCCGCTTACCAGACCCATCGGGCGCGAGGGGCGCAGTACTCGGTGACCCATATGGCGGAGGGTTGCCTAAGATCATGTGGGCGTCGGCTGCGGAGAATACGAGAGCCGAGAGGGCGAGAAGATTTTTGATCGAAAGCATGGCGACGGTTGCTGATCTTCTTCTTGAGTTTTCGTTTTCGTACCAGACGAAAGATTCGGGATAGATGATCCTGTCTAAAGATACTGGAATTGAAAAGTGAGTTATTGAGAGGTAGATTAGGTAGGGTGAGGATGAAGATGCGAATAAGGGTGATGAGAAGGATGTTTGGAGGTGATAGACATGCTTTTTATAGGTGTTGAGGACCCTGAGGGCTACACTCAATTGAGGTAGATAATGATTGCATAATGGACAAACAAGATTGTTTATTTCTTTAAGACAATGTGTGGCTCGTTTCCTGTAGCACCCGTACTATCGGCATTGTTCGCGCAACTCCCCAGTAGTGACGATGGTAAGGTTGGAAAGACTGCGAGAAAAGTAGCTTACCTAGAACGAGTGTGATGGGTAGGCTTCTCAATGAGCTCAAGGGAAAGTATTCAAAGGAGGGTAAGTCTGCTCCAGGCAAACAAGTGCAAGTATGTACACGAAAGGTCCGAGGTCCCGCCTTCGTAGATTGCTGTTTTCAAGTCAAAGATGGAATGAGAAGAGAAAGAAGGAAAAGAGAAGAAGAGCGAAAGATATGGGAAGATTAAAAGGCGTGGCAGGCTGAGATGCCATCACCGCGCGGTGGTGGTGGCGGCTCCTCAGGGCATGAACAATGTGTATCAAGGGGCTTCTGCACGACATGATGAGACCGAGGGAGATGGAATGTACAGCAAGTAGAGGCCATGATGGGGCCAATGTGTGAGTATAGACGCTGATGATGCACCAGTCATATTGCGACTCAGTGGTCGTTCATTGGAAGGGTGAGAAAGAATGAGGCTCTGAGGGTCGGGCGGGAAGCCTGCAGCCAGTGGGACCACTGCGGACGATGCAAGTTGACGCGGAAGCTAGAGGCAGGTGAGGAGATGCTGGTATCGGATCTGTCCACTCCACCATCAATCGTTCCAGTGCCCCTGACTAATGCAAGATCGCTCGGCCAGCTCCCACCCTGGCACTGACGAGACTGAGATGACTCTTCTGACGGTGCCAGCTGTTGCTGGTGTTTCAAAACCGAAGAGAAGGTTGCCTGGAGGAATCCGACTCCCACTTTGTTTCACCCGGTCGAGAGCGGTGGGAAGAGGGAGGACAAAGAATGACAAGTTCTCATGCTTTGTTCATTGAACATTGATCATTGATCATTGATGGCCGCCTTCTGATCTTTCTGCTCAGGGGCCTTCGGGAAGAGCCCGCGCTAAAAGGCGGAAAGGACGGAAAGCGGCCGGCGGGGAACAGTCATCCAATCAAGCCAATCACGAGATCCCAGCACGAGCCAGTTCTCTTAGCGTGTCCATTCCCTTGTGCCAAGATCCTCCTGCCCTTGGAGATGATTCGTCGCGAAAGCGCCCTCACCCTCATCATTCTTACTCTTATACTCTCTTCCAGTTTCACCTCGGGGCAACATACCAGCGAAACATCTCAGGCGGAGAGGTGAGATTGGACCATGCTGTCCTTCAGTGACGCGTCTCCTGAGTCATCCGTCCTTCCATGGAATAACAAAAGGCCGCCTCTCAATCCCGATGTGGGGAATGCTGTCCGTGCCAATGAATCGCCCATACCCGATGACATGCTGCTCGCAGATGCCTTGAGCTTGACGTGCCTCGGTCAGCAGCCCACTCCCTCGGAAGAGCTCGATGATTCGTCCGACCGTGATCGGAAGTTCCACCATCTTCTTAGGCCTTTTACTGTAGTAGAGCAAGGCTACCACGATGTGGACCAAGAGAAGCACTGTTGCGATCATGAAGGCAGCTTGTGACATAAATAAACGGTCTTGACTTGTCACCAAGCGCCCAGGCACTGTTACGCCTGGCTCCGCTGCCGCAAGCCAATTGGCATTTAAGCCGAGCTGCGTAGCAAACACACGCTTCATCACTTCGCCAACTGCTGCTGCTGCCTGCTCAAAACGAGGGGGAGGTAGAGTCGGGTCTACTATAGGAGCACCTCCTTCGATCGTCTTCACAAGGTACCCGAACCAGCTGTCAGTAAAGCTATCGTCGTGCCACCATGACAGAGTATCGATTCCTTTGGTGAAAAGTCCTTTGGTTTGGTTCATGAAATATGTCAAGTTGAGGTCACCAGCAAAGTATTGAGTCAGATCTGTGGCGTATGGACCGCTTCGATTGAACCCTTTAATTCGTCCTGATTGGTCAATTGTCACTTCGTACGGAGCGACAAGTAGGTCGGGTTGACAAACCATCCATGTTGACGATAGTGAATTGATAGCAAGTATCTCAGGCGAAGTTTTGTCGCTGTTGTCCGTTTTGCGAATGGTCGATGTAAGTGTCAAGTTACCGCGAAGAAATCCTGCGAGAAACATATTGTCACAGGCAGAGGCTCCTTGCATCTCAGTATGATTCCATGCATTCAAAGGGCTAAAAATCTCCGAGGCGGAGTTTGTGAAATTTTGTCCTCCACTAACTACCGCACCCGGATCAAAACATTTCCTCCCGTCGTTCAACGTTACTGGTGGTAAATCGTACGAATAAAATGTTGTGATGTAGGCTGTTGAGTTGTGCTGTACTGGCTGACAATTCACCTCAATACTGAAACCCTGCGTTGCTCCGCCATATAGATCAATTAAGTCACCCGCTGACTGTTTGTGAGACATATTGAACGGGACAAAGAACGTATTACTAGATGTCCAAGGCAAAGATGAGCTATTTGCGATGGTGGATGCCGTAGCTAAAAAAACCCCTTCATCTTGTGAGTCTGGCCGCTTTAGATCACCGAAATTATTAAATATGGAGGCGTATTCGCCAGGAAAGGCCGTGGAGGAGTCTATGGATACTTTCTCGGTGACGAAAAGACCACCCAAAGCAACAGTGAGAATGTTGGCCGATAGCGCGACCCAGCACACCAACACTAGCAGCCAGTGCCGAGAGCGCAATGCTCGCCAAAATGCTAATTGAGGAGGGAGCGATGTATACCGGAGATCCAAAGATCTTGACGCCGGCGATTCTCCATTTCTGAGCTCTTCGAAAGGTTGGAGGACGCAGAGCAACCGATTCAACAATGTCCAGAAAGGTTCGAGAAATGTCGCAAAGAGGACAGGAAGATACGACGTAACAAGTTGATTCACTGCGGGACTTCTGGACGGCTGAACCAAGCCCTTTCCCTTTGCGACCAGAGCTCGTACATACATCAACGCAACTAGCATCAAGATGAGGGACGTCACAAAGCTTATACCTATCGCTATTTTTAGTTCCCACGGCCTTTGGGAGACAATCTCCTTTCTGCTTTGCTGTATCGTTCCATGTTCCAATTGGAGTGCTTCAACTCCTTCGACAGGCTCCAGTATTGGAATGCAGTAGAGCTCTCCTTTCTTCAAGATCAATCGCTCGTATCGGGGCCTTGTTATCCCATTTTGAGCATTCATTAGACTGTTTTCCATTGGATCGATCATTGACATGATATCTTTGATTGATGCAGGGTTCCGAAGCAACTCACTAGGGCGGCGGGTGTACAAAATGAGCAAGACAATCGTCAAAAGCGTTGCAATCGCGAGAGCACCTTCGACAGCCACCGCGAGAGGGCGGACTACTACAATCGCTCGAAGGTCATAGTTTTCGCGACCTTCTCTAGTGTCTGCTTCGACGTATTTGGTGGACAATACAGACTGAATAGCCGATGCAAAGAGCAGTTGGTGCGCTTTCTCGAAAGCTGACGCAAGCACGCCAGTATCCGTGTATTCCACCAAGGGCAGTCGTGTTATAGCAAGTGCGAATTGCATCACTATCGCTGTCGTTGTCTCTGTGGCATTCACCCCGATCGCTCGGAGACGGCCTGCTTGGTTGAGCGAAGTAGCTGTGTCAATAATATCCGCTCTGTTTGATGTGAAGGGAGAATTGGCATTCAAGATGTACTCAAAATTCGTTCCGTTAAAGACATCTTCTGGAAGTGGCCTTGGGTCTCCGAGAGGTGCTACGCTGAGAACGGAAGAATTCTTGCGCAAAACTGTTAGATCGACATCTTGAATGGTATAATTTGCTTTGCAGAACAAAGTCGTGGCGTTGTCGTGACCGTCGAGGTTCATATTCCAAATTCCGAAGAAGACGTGCTTGTTATCAGGTGACGGACAGCCCATACCAGACAAAGAGAAGTCGGTAAATTTGCTTGTCCAATAGCCAATATACAAAGCCGTCAAGCCTTCATAAGCTGCGGGTTGTGTTTCGACAACACAGCCTTCGCCATTGTCAAACTTAGGAATTTCACTATCATTCGAGATTTTAGGAGGTTTACAGATCAGGCTTGTAGAGTATTTTGACGTCTTAGCAGTCCATGTTGCATTCTCGTACAGAGAGGCTGCAGGTTTATGGAGATCGAATGGCAGAAATGCCGCTTCTCTTGTGGTGAAAGGTGGAATTGGCTCGTCGAACCATACATGCTTGTATGCCGAAGAAAGAAATCTGTTGGTCAATTGTGATGCTTGGTCTTCCACAGGAGGAAGGGCTGAGGAGGTGGTCACAGCCGCTGTACGGCCAGATTTGATGCTTGCAGTCGCGAAGACAGCACTGACGAGCGGTGTCACTGCCCAGAACAAGGTCATCAAGGTCAAGCCAGAACAGGCGACTGTCCAGTGCCTGCTGTCATCAGCAAAGAAGTATCCTTGACGTCGACAACATACCGCTTGCGTATGGCTTTCAAGGGAGCCCACGCGATGAAATCGAAGGGATAGTGCAGTGTGAGCGAGTCTTCAGGCCTTGATCCATCAGGTTTCGACATCTGGAAGAAAGGTTCAAGGCGCTTGGCGTCCAGGTCAACCCAGCTCCATACTAGGCTGAATAGTGTCACCAGGATGATTGGAAGATAGAGATACATGAAATAAACGATTGACGGAAAATGTGATGCAGTCGTGCTGAGACCTCCAGTACGCTGGCTCACCCTCGAGAGGTATTCCAGCAAACCAATTGAAAAGAGCAGACAGGCGATGACGACTGATAGCAAAGGCGTAGAAAGCGTTGCAGGCTTCCACCCTTGACTATCAGGCTTTGCATCGCTGTGCGGTCGACAACGAAGGTATTTCAAAACTCCCATCGCTTCGCCTTGGAAAGCCTAATGGAACGCGATACTGAACAGATAACCCCCCAAAAGAACATACGCAGAAAGGAACAATGAGCAAAAGAATGGAATCGCAAGAGGGAGGAAGAAATACGCCCCAAATATCTCGGACCTCCAAAGCATGCACCCAGCCTCCCGACATAGAATAACGTAGACGCTCGAAGACTGCAAGGATCCATTTTCGTTGGCTGCAGCGAGAGCATTTCGACATACATCCTCCTTCGATTCATAGCCTCAACCAGGGAATCGTCGAAGCGGCGGCTACAGACGCAACACCATAGTACGAAGGTTCATGAACCATGTGTTTTCAGCCTCATTAATGTTCAGTGATTGATGTTCTGAAGCCGTGAAACGCGCGAAGGATTAGTTCCAACAATCTTGCCCCTATTCTGGTGTGGGCAGCCGCCGGCCTGGGGCCTGGGGCCATTTTTGGGCGGCTACGCTTTCAACGACGGTGGAATTGAACAGACGCAATAGAATTACGTACAATGTTTTCAACCAATCAAGATAGTCACGAGGTGAGAGAATGTTGGGAACACTTCTCCGTGGAATGTTTGGCGAAATAGGAAGGGACCACCAAGGCTCCTGCAGATGAAAGCGGGCCTTATTGAATGCGATCAATCAAGTATGGGCCTCTCTTCCTTCATCTTGATCCTTCCCCTTCCCCTTCCCCTCTCCCACATCAAGATTGGGCGCCTCCCCCCAGTCGAAAGCAATCGCCTCTCATCATCATCCAACATGGCAGCCCTCGCAGCCTGCAAGACTCCAAACCACTGGAGGTCTGCATCGCGCTGCTCGTTTCCTTCATGGATAATCCTCATCATTTTCTCTTCCTCCTGGAAACGCATCTGCTGGACCTTGAAAGGGATGTTAAGACGATTGAGAGCTTGCTGCCCTCGCTGTTTCCATTTCTCGACCTCGCGAGCCTGTTGTTGTTTTAACATCGTACGTTCTGTTTCTTGCAGAGGCATCAGTGCTTCCAGTCTAGACGCTTTGACCATGTCTTGGTCTGTATCATTATCGTCGTTGTCGATATTTTTGGTGAAAAGATCGTCTTGACCACGCCGATGTCGTTGGAAAGTTTCCATAAGCGCAGCTGCATGCTTTCGCTGCAGTAGTTTGACACTCTTCTCATTCTCGGCGACCTTCGTTTCCCTCTCCGCATTGATCTCTTTCTCACGCCCTGACACAACGTCTTCAAAGTCTACTAGTAATCGGTCATTTGCTTCTTCCTCCTCAAAATGCCGCTTCTCCATCGCTTGCATCTGTCGCAACCCCACACGGTCAAGGAACGCGCGCAATTCAAGGAAACGCTGTCTAATCTGCTCTGCTCGCTCGAGCTCTAGCTGTGCGAGCTCTTCAGCTTCCCTTTCTAGGCGCTGATGCTCCCTGGCTTCCTCGGCCTCACGCTCCACTCGCAAATGACGTTCGGCCTCCTCGACAGCTTCGATGGCTAGACGGATCTCCTCTGCTTCAGCATGGGCGTCAGCCTCTCGCTGTGTTTGGGCTGCTTGAATCTGTTCTTCCCTCCGACGCTGGTCGGCCTCTGTACACTACAAATGAAAAGGTTAGCAAGACGCATTAGTAGCAAAATGAGGACGCCATAGCGGCGAGACAAGACACTCACATTGCATGTCCGCCAGACTGCGCCGCATGTATAACAGAATTCCGCACGACATTTACAAGTGATGTGCCGACAGCCTGTGTTGAGCTCAATGATAGCTCCACACTGCGGGCACCTCCTCCAACCTGCCAGTTCCGATGCTTCCAAGGTAGCTTGCAAAGCAAAGTCTTGAGGGCACTCTTGATTGGCTGGGTGCTGAGGACCTCGACAAACGGTACATAATATCGTTTCACAATGTGGACACTCAAGTGACCCATTATTTCGGACAGCAATGCGCGTGTCAATCCATCTTGCACAGGCTGGAGCGGCACACTAGCGAATTATCAAGTCAGTACCTGTTCGGTAGTCGCGTAGGATAGAGTCTAGACGCAGACATGCAAAGACATTCTTATCATTTAATAGACTTACATAATAGCGATTCGCAAGAGGTACTGCATATTCCAAGGTCTTCTCATCGAACCTTGCCAAGTCTTCGGGGAGATATATTTTCTCATGGTCGCATTTGGGATCTAGTCGGACATTTAGCACACCATGCATCAGCATGACTGAGCATAATTAGGGAATTGCCTACCTCTGTGAGGCAGCACTTTGGCGGAAAAGTGTCCTCGTTCATGATAGCGGTGTTGACCAGCTGTGTAAAACATGGCTTGCAGTAATGGTGTCGGCATGGGAGGGGCACGGCATCTTCAGACGGAAAGTCGTCGAAGCAGCATGTGCATTCGACTGGAGGGGAGGTTCTCGCTTTGGTGGGAGGCTTCCTTCCACGGTAGATTTCGTCTTGCGGCCTTTCAACAGGCTGTAGAGGCCACGGCCTTTAGATGTCTTATCCTTGAAATCATGGAACCTGGATTCCATGCTCGTAAGTGCAGAGCCTGACCCAGGACTACTTGGTCCTTGTTGGCCGTTCTTGCTTCTTAGTAGCTGCCTCTTATGGCTGCCTATCCGCAGCTTACTCAATTTCGGAGGCTGGAGGTATGGTGTGTCTGCAGATTCTGATCCTGGTGTAGTGACGGACTCCTGGGATCGATTAAAGCTACGATCTACGTGTTCGGTATTCTCACTAGTCGGCGATGATGCCACAGAGAGTGGAACCCCCAACAACGAGACTTCCTCATCATTGAGTGAACCATCAATTGATCTGGTTTCAAACTTAATCGATGCATTGTCCTCAGCTTCGGGCGAAAGCAATCGTGAGACTCGCACGGCTTCTTGTTCATCCAAGGACTCCTGTATGATATTGCGAATGTCTTGGGGAACGTCCTCATCAAGCAAGGCCAGCTCCTTTGGTATCTCATAGTCTTGCCAGGAGGCAGCCTTCTTTTGCTCGGATCTTTGATGGTTAGTATTTTCTGCCTGGGATGAAGAGACTAGCACATTCTCCGTACAGGGCGAAGCTGGTTGAGACAATGAAACTGCGTCGTTCAAGTTCGAGCTTCTTCTAGCCTTCGAAGGCTCTTGAGGATCTTGAGCGAGAGTACTGGCGGAGGGTGAAGCAAGACTCGCCGTGCTTGCATGCCCAGCACTTTCCGAGATTGAGACTGGTCTGCTAGCCTTACTGATGGAACTACGTTCGCGTTCAACAGTAGGTCGAGGGGTCATTCGGGCACCAAAGCCATCACCAGCGGTGGGGACAGCGTCTCCTCCGAGTAGAAATTTCTTTAGCATTGTGTTTGATGTAGGGCATTTGCTATCGACTTCTATGCCTTGCAGCTAGTCCATACATCTCAAAATAAAAGGGGTAAAAATATGCAGATTACAGGAATGACAAGCGAGGTTTCGACTGGAAAACAAAAGGATTACTGCTCGGGCTATTAGGTCAGTCTTTGAGGTTTGGACAGGATGGGTTCGAGATTCCGATGGATTCATTATCGAGACGCTGCTGACGAGCAACAAGACCCACAATCCCAGGCTGCCCTGCAGAAAGCCAAAAGCCAAAAGCCAAAGTAGATCTAAGCCATGCCGTTTGGTGCCGTAGTTGCAGTCCAGTGACCAATGTTTATGCCTCGAGAGCTGCGGTAGGCTGTGCTGCCTTGTCCTTCATGCCCTGGGCGGAATGAGCCCCGCCAGCGGTTGGTCATAGATAGGACTACTCTAGAGTATGGCTTTCAACAGGCTATCTATCCAGAGATACACCCTTTGCCCACGCCAAGCTGACGAGAGAAGTCTGCACGACTGTGGTGAGCTTGAGGAAAGGTGGGGAGCCGACCTCGAGTTATGGCAATAAAGAATAGGCTTTGCTATATCATCAATCTATTTTCGCGGCCCAAAAGGATAGTACTAGAACTAGGGTTGTCTAGGTCCGCTTGAGGCCACCCGAAGAGCCTAGAAACATATATTGGGGGCTAAAGTGGGCCCTGAAATGACACCCGATAGCCATGGAAGAGTCATATAAGAGACTGGGCGTTATCAATCTACAAGCTTCCGCAAGGCCAAGCGCAGAGGAGCTTTTACCTCGCATTCACCAGCTTGTCGTTGACTGTCTCGAGATCGTTGTCAAGCGTGTGAGGTTCACATTGCTGAATGTAGACCACTACGCTGGATACGTCTCTTCTGTTCTCGATACACCCTCCCTCATCCCGCATTAGCAGGAGGGGCTTATCTTCTTCCGTACAACCCCGCAGAAGCCTGCCCCCTCGATCGACGCGATGTGCTATCGAAGGTACAAAGTCTACAAGGCGTGATCGCACGTGCTGGGATGGCCCTGTCTTTTCCCAGGCGATGTCGAGCATAAAGCCATATCCAATTCCCAACATGCAACAGGCCAAAGTCGCAAGGTCCTGCATCGTAGACCTCCTTTGACAATTGCTGAGAACAATTATGGCCTCTTCGGTACAAAAGAATCTCGTGGAAAGTAATGCCAAGTACGCTTCGTCTTTCACCCAAGGCGACCTCGCGCTTCCTCCCGCAAAGAAGTATGCCGTGGGTGGGTTTCCTCCATCGACTAACCAGCATCTCAAGCAGCACGCTAAAGGCTGATACATCCAAGTGACCTGTATGGATGCTCGCATCGATCCCGCCGCAGCCTACGGTATCTCCCTCGGAGATGCACATGTCATCCGAAATGCAGGTGGAAACGCCCGGGATGCCATTCGCTCTTTGGTGATATCAGAACAGTTGCTCGCGACACAGGAGATATTGCTCGTCAAGCATACCGGATGCGGTATGTTGACGTTTGACAACACAGCTGCCCACGGCGTCGTAGAGAAGCAGCTTGGGAAGGAGGCCGCAAGCGAGTTGGCTGGGCTCGACTTCCAGCCCTTTCCGGATCTCGAGCAAGGAGTCAAGGATGATGTGGAGTTTCTGAATTCGAGCAAGGCAATACCAGACTCTGTCACCATCAGTGGTTGGGTATATGAGGTCGAGAGCGGCAAAGTCAGACATGTCGTCTAATCGAAAGGTACCCCATAGCACAACCGAATGCAAAAGCCGGATTTCGGAGGAGTCACATGCTATCAGTCCTTCTTCTTGGCCCCTTAAAACCCCCTCGTCCTTGTCTTCTCCTTTCTGAGGCCACAAAATCTGTTTTAAGTATATCGCCCTGATCATCATCGAGAACACGATAATCCAGGTCGTGATAAGAATTGGCGTCATCACGCACCCGACCATTTGGATCCCTCTGGACTGAAAAGTTTTCCCAATGGCGAACGTCGCGGTAATCAGAGCTGTATTCGGAAACACATATGAGTACCAATTCATTGCGAACACCATTCTGTGTCTCTTGTGAAAGCACGACCAGTGGGATCCCACAGATATGAAGAAAAACCACCAAGCCAGGCCCCATATCCATAGACTTACCCAAGACGCAATGACCGTCAGTATCTTTGCAGCCAATTGATCGTCCCCCATGAAATCTGGCGGTAACGCTCTTTTAGCATTCTCTGCCATGCCGATCATGGCAGCGACGGTGAAAGCACTCGGTCCCACCGAAACGAACATGCCAGGCCTTGCAGCTTCTCGCGGCAATTTCTGGGTCATCAGACGGTAGATAAAAGCAGAATATATCATCAGTGACACCATGAAACCAATTCCTTGTAACGTGAAGCCACCCACGATCACATCAAAGGCCTTCGGCTGTGGCATTGACTTGCTCAATACACTCGCGTGAGGGCCGACAATCAGAAGAGGATAGGCTGGAAAGATCCAGACAGGAGTCATGTTCGATATGGTGAATGACTGAGTTGACCACCTGCCCCCTCATTAGCATATTTCGGAAAATTGCTGAATTTTCCATACATGACCAGATACACGCCCATAGAAGCCAATATGGCTAGAGCAGCGTCTATCCAAAACAGGACGGTGATCGCATCATTAAGCCAATGTCCTGGCCCGTGGTTCGGTCCGTATTGAGATATATTGAGTAATATCGTTCCAAAAGACACGATCGCTGCAGGCATAAATAGGCGCTCAGTGGGATGTAGGATCGAGGCTTTGAAAGTCTCAGGGTAACTGTAGAAACGAAGGGATATCATTGCCACGTTGACCAAGAAGAGAACTATATTGAGAAGGAAGAAGATGATTCCAATGGCGTATAAGCCTGGGAAACGGAAGGGCACTTCAATTGCAATCAGCTCTTGTCGTGATGAGATACCCATGTGGAGTGGGTTTCACCGGCGTAGAGCACATTCGCAATGCCCCCAGTTGCCATGGTCATCGTGAAGAAGGTCCAAGTGTAATGTCTTATCCGCTCTCTCCATTGCAGCCTTTCCAAGAACCTCTCACTCAAGCTTGTTGTGCTAGTGTTAGCAGATTGATGACCATTTACGATATTGGGCGCCCCGGGCAGCCTCAGGTGCAGTCCATTACTTGGGATATTGCCTCCACTCTTCTCGGTAGGCTCTTGATCTGCACGCTCGTAGTCCTCAGCTGTAGGAGTGCGATAGCCCTCATGTCCAGGAGGGACCATATGCTTCGGCAAGGGGATGCCATTTGGTGAGGGGTTGTCCTGTGCGGGTGTGACCGGCTGGGAAGTGCTGAGTGAAGGGGACCGGATTGTTACATGCTTCATTTCTGTAGCATTGAGCGGTCGGACAGCGTGGACATAAGGAGTCCAGGTCGCCTATCACACACACAGTAAATGAGCGTCTTTAGGCGTGAATCATACCCTCCCTTCGCCCCCTCGGCCCATTTGGGAGAGATCATGTGCTGGATCCGCCCTCGCCGCGAGGGGTCACCGGGGCTGCGCCAACCTAGAACTGGTGACTGGTCATTTCCAGTGACTGAGGTGGTTAGACGCCCTTATAAGTGACAGCTATAGGGTCCCAATGGTGCGTAGACTAAATACTTAGGCTGCATATATCTAATACTGACTGGTCAATGGAAATGAACGGTCACTAGGTCAACTCTTCGAAAATGCTCGCCAGTCCTAAGTTGTTAGAGTGACCTTCCAAGCCTTTTCTAACCTTTTCACCATGCCCATAGCATTTGAACTTCAACCGTTGACTGTTCATGTCGAAATGAAGATTTTGTCTTCAAATCACGTGACGGCGCTCCGCGTCAAACAAGATCGGGTGCGTAATTATCATGAGTTTCTAAATAGAATTTGTAGTGGGCGTTTGAGCTATGTATTCTAGTAGAGCAAGAGCTTTGACATGAGGGCGCATTATTACCAAGTCCGTCTGCCTTTTTACATTCCAAATTTGTTACTTGAGCTTTTTCTGCTTTCAAATAATGGAAAATCGGCTTCCTCCTGTTTCTCAAACATTATGGTTTTTCAAAGTTGAAGAGAAAACCTAGCTATGCTTTGGGATATCGTGGTATCGTAACGTCGTGCTATTAAATAATTGAGCATGGGACAACCGCGCCTTCTAATCTGGTGTGATCTTGATTGTTTGGGCGGTGCTGGGAACACCTCCATCCAGGGCGAATAAGAACCAGTAGCCGGCTAGGCAAACCCCAGGGTCACCTGGAAGGGTCAGGGTGTACGTGTTTCCGTCATTACCGGACGGGGTGAGTGGAATGCGGCGTTGATCTGTGTTGACGGTGTGAGTTGTGCTGCTCAATCGAAGAAGACTGAAACCACCGTCGACGGGACCACCAGTCGTGCAAGTGAAAGTGCCGCCAACAACGACAGTATTCGTCGAAACCGCAGTGATCGCCGGCCTCGGGGCGTCGCCGCCACCTCCGTCGTAAAGATATGGTGGACGGTAGACCTGAGCGTCGAAATGATTGGTTGCACAATCACCGCAAAGACCTCCACCACCACTGAGGACCGTACCGTCGGCCAGCAGCACAGCCGTACTATGGTAGTTGCGGGGACTCGCCATGGGAGCGACCTGGGTAAAGCTATTGTCTGCGGGATCGAAGATCTCTGGGGTCAATTGAGAGGTATCGTCACTGAAGGGAACCGCATGAACCTGACCACCCACGATAAAGACTTGCCCGGTAGGAAGGATGACACTACAAGCGAAAGCTCGCTGAAAAGCCATGTTGGCAATCGTTTGTACGCCTGGATTCGTGTCTGGATCTCCCAAAGTGATAATATGAGCGTTCGATGTCGCGTCCGAATCCTGATAGCTTGGCGATCCACCTGCAGTTAAGATTTTGCCGTTGGGAGCGTCATACATCGCTGCAATGCCACACATTGCATCTCCGTCACCAGTACGATCGCCAGCGCCCGCCTGAGAGCCATCGCCATCAGTGCCATACCAGTTCATGGCTACTGATGGTCCAGCCTGGAAGACGTAGTGCTCTTTCCATCCAAAAAGCCAAGCGTGATTATCAGCACGATAAACACCTGAGTCTGGATTAGCGATTGTTCTTCAAAGTGTGATGATGGACGTCCGACGAACCTTGAGCATCTGCTGTCAGCATAGGAGCCACGGGGGCGCCCCCGAGCCCTCTCCACGCGTTGCCATCATATACTTCGCCATTTTTGCCACCTTGTCCTCCTGACCACGAGGCGCCGATCGTGAAAGTGTAACCGTTGGAGAGCGTAGCCTGTGCTTGATAGCCACGAGCGATTTGGAGGGTCTTGGAAAGCTCTGTCAGTTTGGTTCAAGGATACCAAAGCCAGCTTTCCGAACTTACATTCCCCTTAGTCCAGGCCCCTCCATCAAAAATACTGACAGCTGAAGCAGTATTTCCCCCTGCAGCGAGGAATCTTCCGTTGAAATCAATTGACAGTCCTTCGCAAAACATATCGTGTTGGGTGTTGGTGATCAAAGCAGATGTCACCGTTTGCGAGCCAGGTGAGTACGAAGCCGTGATGGTCTGAACCCCATTCGAGTTCCCGAAAGTTGCTGGATCGTACGAAGACCAAGCGAGGATATCACCGTTGACCTGATTTGCCATAGATACTGGGACAAGCGGGAAATCGACTGTTGGACCCCACGCACCCTTCCCTGCAGGCCCTGGTGGACCACCGGCAGCATCGCCTATATTGACCTCCGCAATTGAAGTCCAAGGTCCACGACCACCCGCTTCTGTGAGCGCTTGAATCCTCACATACTGAGCGTTTTGGGGGGTGATAGTGGTCGTCTTGACATTTTGATTATCTATGTAGGTGCCGTATCCCACATGTTGATAATCTGCTCCGTTCGTACTGTTACTTGGTCAACTTGTACGGCCTCTAGGACCCATGTGGATAGCTTACCTCAAACTGATTATGTGTTCTCCAATATTGCCGTTACCGTTATCTCCGCGCGGTTGGATAATGATGCTGCCTACCAAATGCACTGCTTGCATATTGATTGTTATCGTGTGGGGGAGGTCGTCTGTTGTTGGATTGAACTGAGTGTGCCATATTGTGCCAGCATCACCATCTAGTACATTTGTGCATGGATTCTCTGCCTGGGCGCTGTCCACATCGCAAGTCCAGCCGTCTCTGCCAATGGCTGCATCTGCCACTGCTTCAGGCGCAGGAGCCGCTTTGATGCTCGAAAGGGCAACGCCATCGAAGGTAGTCTTACCCTCGCTGGATGGTTTACCAACCGCCTCGGGCGATTGAGCAGCTAGCACTTGAGGTTGAGCTCCGGCATTTGCTGCTTCAGGGGAGATTGGGGAGGAGTAGGCCAGTGGCGAGAGTGCAAGGAGGGCGAGTATGAAATGCATGTTGGGTGGAGAGCGTAGCTTACGGCAAGCTCGCATAGAACAATGTTTTGATCCAGGAACAACGAAACGATGGAAGAATTTAGAAGTTTAACACGGCATACTAGATGGAGCCTGGCTGAAGAGAGACTACATGAACAAGTAGGAGCAGCAATGGAGAATATGAGCAAAGAGGTGCAAGCCGAAGTGAGCGCTGAAAAGCTAAGCTGAGCTGTGGAATTGCCTTGCTATGCCGGAGATAGTCAAGGTATTACGATAGGGCAAGCAGAACAGGTACGAAGCACATCCTGGCTTGCTTGGATCGTACGTGCATGTCTTGTGCCCTTTCGCGTGTCATTGACCGCCATTCAGCAGCAGCGGAATCGCCTGGCGGGAAGGATTAGAGTAGGCAAAAAGATGCCAAGATATCCCAATGCGGACAGCTGTCGAGCTTCAATCAGCAACGATACGTCAGGCCACCGTTAGCGGCCTCTAGGAGATATTCTTAGTGGCCGACGAACAGCGGAGCTTTGGCTGGTGCATGACAACACCAGTCAGCTGTTGGATCCATTTTTGGATGCAGAAAATACGGGGTGGGGTAGTGAGTAATCCCGATGTCAGCCTGAAGAGAATTCCGTGGAGGATAACAATACGACGAGTTCGTCAGCAGCAGGGACAAGCCAATAGCCTATTCAGAAGACGTAAGCCCAGAGGAGAAGACACGGAGGGTGGGCCTGTCCCGACTGCAGCACCAGGCTGACCTCGCTTTCTCTCATGCGGGGCAATACCGAGAGATGGGGAAAGCGAGCATGGCTTTTTTTTTTGGCTGGAGAGATCTTTATCTTGATAGAACCGCAGCTAGCAGGATCGGGATAGCGCGGAGCAGAATGCAGCCACGCACGCTGGCATGACCAACTAAAAAGCGGAACTGACCAGCTACATGCGGGTTTGAAAGGCAGGAAAGGGTAGGGCGCTATCCGCCAGCAGGAGCCAAGAACGACGGTGAATGGAAGATGATGAACAGGATTGAATGGCAGCATCATTCACTGGCTTCGCTTGGCCTTTGGGAAGTCCTTGTACCCGTTATGGAGGTCGTCTGAGCCATTTAGCAGCAGAAGTCGGCTCGCTCGGGATCTTCTTAGTGCATTTCGTCCATCCACCATTATTTACCCCACCACAGCGACACAGCCAGCCCAACAAGCTAATACCTTACGATCTACACAAGAGCAAGCACAACCGTACAAAGCCTGCTTTTAGCCTTTCAATTTCAGGTTCCGAGTGCCCGTCGTCTGCCAGAATAGTAACATGCCCTGCTGTCCGTGTCAAAGCACACGACGAAAGAAAACAACACGAAAACCAATCATACCGGCCTATCACAAGGACAGAGCTGCTGTATGATCCGTCCCGCACGCAGGCCACGCAGATCCAGGAAGGTCGTGCTGCACGTAGATGTCGGAGTCACCCATCTGAATCGAAGGGTTGCATTCTGCCTCTCTTCAAACCTTGCGAGAACACGAGGCCGGCTGCCAGCTTGGGGGTGGGGATGGAGGGTGGGTTGCGATCATGCAGCCAGGTTATCTGATGATGTAGCGTCGAGCCGTGCCATTGGGTACATACCTACGAAGGGCGCAGTGGGGCTGCATGCAGCTGCAGGTCAGTTGTGCATGCTGCATACATCCAATGATCCTCAGAGCGCGGCAATCGTGCCAAATTCCTGGACCGAACGACATAGGTTCGCGTGTGATCTTCATGCGAGCCAACCCCCAATAACCTAACGGTCTGCAGAACGACCTGTGGGCGTGGCTACAAGCATTTCCATCGGAATCACTGCAGTGAAAAGTTTGTTATACGGCACCACTTCTCATCCCGGTCGATCCCGCCGCCACGCCCTTCTCTCTCTCGCTTCCGAATTCAGCGCATCTGGATCAAAGATCTCCCCCATTGCTTGTAGCCAGGAGTTTTCTTTTTTCCCGAACGACAGCTTCCTTCTCCAAGAATCTTTCCTGTTCTGCTCGGCTCTTTTTCAGATCAAGCGAGATGACCAGGAAAGCAGCGCTCGCTAATGTCAACCCGAACAGGAAGTAGAAGGGAGTGCTATTATTTCCGTTGCTCGCATCAATGATTGCCGATGATACGATAGGTCCTATGAACGAGGATGTTTTGCCCATTATTGAGAATAGCGAAAAGAAAAGGAATTCTTTGCCCCTCGGGGTAACCTCCGAGATCACTAGAAAGTCACAGAATCAGCCATAACATGATCACGCAAGGGGAGCGATCCACAGTGCGGCTTACTGATTTGCGAGTAACTATACCACTGGTAGCTCTGTCAGCGTTGTTGCATCCTCTTATTGTCCTTCGCATTACTTACAGGGCACACGAAAAGCCCGTATATTGCTTGATATAAATACATCTCCCATAGATGGTGAAACCCAAAGCGTTGAGTCCAAGTGCCTATCATGCCCCACTACAGATACCTTGTGTCAGCATACTCTTTACAGCTTTCACGATCGTTTGTGAAAGTTGCCCTGACGTAGTTGGTGCGGGTTCAATGCCATAAGAGGCATGTGAGGGATTTGGAGTACTATACTTACACCGTCTAGAGCTATGATGCCTACCATCACCGCTGTGAACACTACGAACTCAGTACGTAAGCTCTCTGCCTTGTCTAACGCGTCGAAGAAAGCACCAGGTTGGAATCTTTGGGCTTGATATGCGTGGAGGCAATGTGCCAAAAAGGCCCCCCATAAAGCATAAATTGCCGCGTGGAGAAGCTTTTCCCACATGCAAAGATCAACTCACTCGTCTTGGTGCTCAAACGAAAGCGTTTCTGTATGGTCCAGAAGCCGTAAATGCCCATCGCTTGCGTGCCAATGCCGACAAGTAACAAATAAGTCAGGGTTATCGGATCGTAACCAGCAAGCTCGTTCTGGAGCGTAGCAAGCACTGTGACAGTTGTGTTTAGACTGTCACCTAAGAGAAAGTAGCCTGAGATCAATAAGCTCTCAGACCATGGGATGCGATACGCTTTCATTCTGACCGATGAGGTAGATGAGGCTTTGTTTGAGGCACCAAATCTCCCTGATGGCCCGGTATAGCTGCCACAACCCTGCCATGACGATACTCATATTGGGTGGGACCTTCTGGCCCGGCCTCCGTTTTTCGAGGAGAAACCAGGGGACGGCCATGATCACCCAGACACCAGTAACAAAGGCAATGAGCACGCTCAAGCCCCAATTATTATTCGCTGAGCTTGCCCTTACGTTCACTCCGAACATGATTCCAATGATCAATGCCAATATTAAAATCTCTGCACAACTCTGGGTGTAGAAAGCCACATTGGAAAGCCGACTTCGCTGAAGAGTGTCTTCGTAATCGTACTCCTCTCGTGTGATCTTGCCATTGGCGTACTCCTCAGCTTCTCACGCAGCTCTGGTGTATTGCGAGCTAGGCCTGGGAATGCCGCCGTCCACTACGAAAATATTGTAGGTAAGTGATCTGACGAAGCATAGGCTTGATGTCATATTATGACCATGTAGTATCTTGAAACACGCGAGATGACAGAGAAAGTAAAAGCTCTACAAGCCCGGACTCACAAACGTTATCGTTGTCTGATATGCGATCACTAGACATTTCAATTTAGATGCTCTGCTTGAACCACATAGGTCTACCACTTACAGCCCACGATGTACATTCCAGCAGCAACTTCCCATTGCTTTGCTCTGTGTACCCCTAGCCACCCGAAACCAATACCAAAAGCTACAATTGAGAAGGATATCAAGATGTATGGCCGGAACCGGCCAAAATCTGAATCTTATGAGCCTTGGCTTGTAAGGAATATTGAATCGTCTACCAGCATAGCTTCCGATGACCAGAAACAAGACGATTTGAATCGCAAAACTGATACCATTGCACAGGAGAACGATACTGTTGATATTTCTTTCTGAGCCCGCGAACCTCAGCACACCAGCGTCGCCGGCCGCTTCAGATACAAGGTTCTGAAAGGCTGTCGGGGCAAAATTAAAAAGGCTGAGCCCATTGTCCCCAATGTAGTACGCATAATATGAGGAGATCTCGACTCTTGAGGTCTCGTATCTAGGATCGAATTGATCCGGAGCAACGGGCTGCTTTTCTTCCACACTCGAATCCGCTATCTCTCCTTCTGTCAAACCCTCGTCCTTCAGAATAGGGGGGGATCCACGTGGTCGGGAGCCATCAGACACAGATTGTTGACGGAAGAGAGGTGTCTTGTCGCGAGGGAGGTCATCGCAGTCAATGCCATATCCGTAGCTTGATACACCGGTGCTGGTTGGTTTTGAAAGCACCTGCTTCATACGGCTGGCGTGATTTTCGCTGATACGCGCTAGTCGTCTGCTGTAGCGGGGGATCGGTGGGGGGCCTTCAATTTGTTGTGATGCATGTGTTGATTTCCCGTCTTCGGAGTGAAGACCCAAGTCGTCGGACGATGTTCTGGACAATGCATGCAAGTGATTTTCGAGTGCAAAAATTGATGATGGGATCTTGCAAGCCGTGCTTCAACTCAATTTAGAGCCCGAGCCTTTACTATCACTGCACTGTAGCTATCCTACTAAACTATCTGTGCCGAGTGACTTGGTAGGAGGCTACAGGTCAGCCTTTTGCTTTGCAAGCTCGGCCTTGTGATCATGTTTCTTCTCATCGACCTTGTCGCCCACTGCGTCTTTAGCAGCCGTTGCCCGTGTAGAAATTGAAGCGTCAGAGGATTTGGCGACATCTTGAGCGGGAATCAGTCCCATCCCCATGAAGTAAACAGGTTGGACTTACTCTTGTTAGCTTCGTACGAAACTCCAGAAGTTGCGCCTTGGATGTTCTCCGAAATGTTTCTACCGGCATTCCTGCGACACGTTAGTAAGTGGCTTCTAAGACAGTGGAGTGGGCGAGGGCAACGTACTTGAGAGTATCCATTTTGAGTCAGAATTTGTTTGCCTTGAAGTCTTCAGGTAACTGTGGAGATTCTGTAGACGTTGAATATCGATTGGAGAGGACAGATGGTGAGGACAGGTGGGAGAAGAAATGCCGCAGCCTGCAATTTGTATGTTTTGGAGCAGTCAGGTGGGACAAGACAAACACAGCCACATGACGTACGTCGCCACTTTTTACACCCCACGTATCTTATGCATGAAAGAAAGCTTGTGTTTCACGGCTCTGAGGACTTGGGATCGGTGACATCCGATGCGCTACTAAGGCTGCAGCACATCGAGGGTGTTGCGATCAATGTTACTTGAACAGGTCGTTCATGCGCAGGCGACCAACTCCTGACCACGCCGAGGCCTTCCGAGCACCGTGTTAAGGTATCGCAAAAATGGTCGAGAAAGTCTACGTAACGTATAATGAGGTGCTTGCGTTGCAATAGCTTTGCAGCAGAATGGAGCCTGACCTTTCCCCCCAGGTCCACAAGCTTTGCCAATCCGCCGCAGGAAAAATTCTCAACGATTTTCAGCCCAACCTTATGATTGCCATTGGTGGTGGTGGTTACGTTCCTGCAAGAATCTTACGATCCTTCCTCAAACGAGCATCTTCGCCCAATATCCCGATCCAAGCTATCGGTCTCTCTTTGTATGAATCTCTTCCACCTTCTGAGCCATCCGCTCCTACGACACCCATCGAGATCCCAGGGACCAAGGTGACGCGCACACAATGGCTTGATTTGAGCAGTCTGAGCATGGCCAACCTTGTAGGGAAGAATATCTTGATCGTAGATGAGGTCGACGATACAAGGACAACGCTCGAATATGCTGTCAAAGAGCTTGAAAAGGACGTCGAGGTTGCTAGGCAGAAATTGGGAACAGGGGAAAGGACGAGATTCTGTATCTTCGTTGTGCATAACAAAGACAAGCCAAAGAAGGGCCGTCTGCCGCAAGACATGATTGACGAGGGGAGATATCTAGCGGCGCAGACAGTCGGGGATGTGTGGGTTTGCTACCCATGGGAGGCTACGTAAGTCTTGATCTTCGAATAGGTCCACGTAAAGCCACACGCTGACGGTTTTCAGAGATATCGATGAGCATGACCAGCTCGCTAAGTCCCAATAGATGGATGCGACCCACATCAATGGATAGAAGTCGTGGATGACTAGCGCTTTTGGGACTCGTTTCTAAGGCAGGATATCGCTCTTGTTCACGGTACTTTAGAATTCTCCCTGCTGTGCTGCATCTCATTACGCTGATGTGTAGTCCTGCCTGATGCCAAGCAGTGCATGCACCTAGTGCGGTTGAAGATGACGGTATGCACAGCTTCCGCAACATATCTTCCCTTTCATGTACCATGAGAGCTGCCTTTGCGTCGTACTGTGTGTGAGCTAGCTATTTTGCCCACTTCCAATCACCTTAAAACATACGGCAGCTTTTGTGCATCCTTGCGAACGGTATTCACATCGATTGGTCAACATTGCTATGCGAGGAGCAAAATTAAGTCTCTGGTGAAGGCTCGTTGGAAAAGGTGACCTGATGCTGAAACAACGGCAATTATGCAAACGTGTAGCAGTGATCGTGTGATTCGAATGACGGAGAAACTTCCGAGCTATCTCGCCGCCATATCATTTATTATTAACCCGTACGGCGGCCGAAAATGCGGCAATAGCAAATCATAGGCTTGGCGCCAAAAGTCCTGGCTAGCGCGACCTCGCTCCCTTCTCAATGCTCAAGCTTGAAAGACATGGGTGGCAGCTTGGGCAGATTTCAACACCAGGCATGACGGCTCTTCCAGATTTTCACTCACCAAAAGGAAGGCGAAAGAGGATATCGCAACTCCAAAGAAACGAATCATGGCGGTCGCAAAGCCAGTACGAGCGCTCGCAATCATCTCGGTCGCCCTTTTTATATTTCTCATCTACCAGGTTTTCAAGACGCCGCCAAACGTATCTGGAGCTGGTGATTTAGAGAGAGAGATCCCTAATGAGCCAATGAATGAAGGCATGTTTCCTGGTTATCCCCTCAGTACCCCAGCTAAACCTCTTCAGAAACACCCGAGCCTCCTGAACCTCTTTGGCGCGCCGACGACTATGCCGCAGATAATCCCAACGCACCACGTATTAATGCGACATTACTCGCTTTGGTTCGGAATGAGGAGCTAGATGATATGATCAGATCCATGCGAGATCTTGAGCGTACATGGAATCGTAAATTCAATTATCCCTGGACGTTCTTCAACGACGTCGAGTTTGACGATGAATTCAAACGGCTTATCAGATTGGAGACAAAAGCCAAAGTCAACTTCGGTTCGTGAATCCTTTCAAATGGAGAACATGAGAGGTTTTTGCTGATGCCGGAATTACAGAAGTTATACCTAAGGAACACTGGGCGGTACCCTCCTGGATAAACAGTGAATTGTTCGACGAATCTGCACGGATACTGGAAGAGCAGGACATTCAGTATGGGCCTATGGTATCATACCACCAAATGTGTCGCTGGAACTCAGGCATGTTTTATAAACACCCAGCCTTGAAAGACGTACGGTATTACTGGCGTGTGGAGCCAAAAGTCCACTTCTTCTGCGATGTCGACTACGACGTCTTTCGCTACATGCAAGATCATAATAAAACCTATGGCTTTACTATCAATCTGTATGATGCTCCCCAAAGTATACCAACGTTGTGGCCCGAAACAAAAAGATTCCTTGCAGCTCACCCCAATTATGTGCACCCCAATAATGCTGAGGAATGGGTGGTTGATAATAAGAGGCGGCCTACTCACAACGCCAAAGCTAATGGCTATTCCACGTGCCATTTCTGGAGCAATTTTGAGATTGGTGACATGGATTTTTGGCGCAGTAAGGCCTATGAAGATTACTTCGAGCATCTGGATAGAGCCGGAGGATTCTTTTACGAGCGTTGGGGTGATGCTCCCGTTCATAGCATTGCGCTGGGTTTGTTTGAAGACAAGAGCAAGATTCATTGGTAGGCCAGGTGCTACATACTCCTTCAGGCGGCTTCTGACATACTCCCTGCAGGTTTCGTGACATAGGCTATCAGCATATTCCGTACTTCAACTGCCCAAATTCCCCGAAATGTAGTGGATGCAAGACAGGACGATTCACAGATGGCGAGCGCTTCCTGTATAAGGAAGATTGCAGGCCGAATTGGTTCAAATATGTTGGCATGGACTGAGCACGTGAAGCTAGTGCGCGCAGATTTCCTTCGGAAAGTCGTAAGAGACGGCAGTATGCTCGACCTGGCTTTGCATCAAAGCGAAGTCAACGGCTGTGCCATCAAGATATTATTTTATTCGCTGTCTGAAGAATAGATCGTGACGCTGCACGCGGCTGCAGGTTTCTCAAGAAACGGGTATGTGTATGAAATATCGGATTCACAGCTATACAGCATTGTGACGAATTGATCATGCTATGCAAAAACAGCTGTATATATTGGAATGTATATACTATGAGAAGCGTGGCGTTTCGGGCGTTGTATAATAAAGCGAAGAGTCAGCTTAAAGAATCGCGCGGAGAGCTGATTCAATGCCTGGTTAAGAATGCATCAATGTGTTTGTATTTTTTGTACTGCGACATGATACAGGCGTCCTTCTGAGATGACTATGCCCATCCTACTTATTTCAAGACTTTCGCCCAGCCACTCGAACCCCGGCGAGTTCGCTCTCCTAGATTCATTTGGCCTTCTACGTCAATCCTTGTTAGCACCACCGGTAAACCAAGGTTCAGGATACAGATCCTCCTTCAGGTCCACTCCCAGCTCGTCTCGTATCGGTTCAAGTTCACGCAAATATTCGTAGTATTGACCTTTGTTCTCTACTTTGACTTTTATGCCTAGCAAACTTGTGAGAATGGCGTCATATGCAGTGTGTAACATCCGTACCTTCAAATATCCGTACAGCAGTAGGAAAGTCGTTGACTCTTCTGGCAGCGCGCAGTGCAGCAGTACATACCGACGGCGATGGAACAAGGTCGTAAGCGAAGCAGTTGTTCAGATTCCGCTAGCATCGAGTTATTGACCGAGATCTCAAAGAGTACGGAATCAGCTAGATGGTACCTGTAATTCGAAGACGTCGTTTACACCTTCAAACTCCTTCTCATACCTACAGAAGGTTATCAGTCGAGTCCATCGTTTCGGAGCTTACTTCTGAGGAAAGCTTTGCGGGAAGGTCGACTTGGTCGTCGCGGCGCATACCTGGCTGTAAACTCTTCGAATGTTTCATCTGGTTGGTGGCCGCCACCACCAATGGAACTCGCCACTGACCTCTTACTCGCTGCACTGAATGTACGCGCACATACGACTGGTGATGAGGCGGACGTTGGACCGTGTGATGGGGAGAGTCGTCGGGCCATCGGCCACGGCTTTCGAAGTAGACTTGGTGGAGGGTTGCGCGCCGCAATGCGTAGGAAGGCCGCAGAAGACATTGGAATACTTCAGGAAGTGATATAGGCGGGATGGAGTAGATCGTAAAGGCGTAGAGGTAAGCTTGATCGAGCTGCAAGCACAAGTGATACCAGTGAATGCCCCTGTTCAATGCCAAATCTTTTCCTTATAGCGAATGACTGGGTTACGGCGACGTTGCAGACCTGCCCGACGTCATTGATAGAGCATTACAAAGCAATTGAGCCTGGAGTAGGAAGAGTTGGTCGTTGGAGAGTTCGGCTCAGATTGTTTTTTGAGCAATAGAAGCTATTCATGAGGTGCAGCAAATAGAGAGCCGCAAACGCCGAGACGTTCCTGATTGGCTAGGCACGAAACGGGCTAATTTCGCGTGGTTTATTGATTTCCTGTGCCATCTCCTTCTACAGTAATACAAGACCCATTGCTTCTCTTGGTCAACTCGGCTGTGGATCAACGGACCGAGTTCACAATTCAATTTCTAGTCATTCCTTCTCTCCTTTTATTTCAGGCGCAGCTTGGACTACGACATTCAAAAGCAATCACAGCGAGCGCATTAAAAAAAGAGCACCTGAAGTCACAACAACGATTGCCACTGCTTCTCATAAGGCTTCATAAAAACCACCATCGCGAGCAAGATGGCAGATGTATTCAAGCAAATCCCTCTGCCCAGTCTGGACAGACCATTCGGCGTAGAATTATGGCCAATATTCGAGGCTGCATTCACGAAGGTCGCTGGTTTCCCAGCAAGCAAATTTGTCTTCGTTCCAGGCTCTACTCCTCTGTCGACTTTGTCATCATGTGCAGCAATGCTTACGACTTACTATGTTGCGATTTTTGCGGGACGTGAACTCATGAAGAAGCAAAAACCCTTCAATCTGAACGGCCTGTTCATGATCCACAACCTCTACTTGACGATCATTAGTGGTGTTCTCCTGTCTCTCTTCATTGAGCAATTGCTACCGACGGTGTGGAGAAATGGAGTGTTCTACGCCATCTGTGATCACAGAGGAGGATGGACACCTCCTTTGGTCATACTATATTATGTACCTGGCCCCACTGCTGACTTTCACCACATATTTACTGATGACTTTGAAGCTGAACTACCTTACGAAATACCTTGAGCTCCTTGATACCATCTTCATGGTCTTGAAGAAAAAGCCACTCACATTCCTCCACACCTATCACCACGGGGCCACGGCACTCCTCTGCTTCAGTCAACTGATCGGCTTGACCTCTGTTTCTTGGGTACCCATCACTTTGAATCTTTTGGTACACGTCGTCATGTACTGGTATTACTTCCAGGCTGCTCGTGGTGTCAAGATATGGTGGAAAAAGTACATTACTATGCTCCAAATCGTGCAATTCGTGGTCGACTTAGTCTTCGTATATTACGCTTCGTACGCTTACTTCTCATCCACGTACTTCCCTAACCTTCCATCGCCAGGAAAGTGCGCGGGCGAAGAGTTTGCAGCATTCGCGGGCATGGGTATCTTAAGCAGCTACTTATTGCTCTTCATCAGTTTCTATTTCGCGACGTATAAAAAAGATGCAGCAAAGAGTGGCAGGGGGAGAAGGAGGCCAAGGAAGATGAGTGAGACTGCTACAAGGGCTACAATTGATATGGCGCGGATGGAGGTGCCAGATGTGCATCAGGTCGGGGAGGTAATGCATATCACAGGCTCGGAAAACCAGCAATTAAATGGAGCAGCAACAAATGGAGGCATTACTCCTAGAGTTACGAGGTCAAAGAAGGCATAAGGTCTTGAGATAAGCAACGAGGTTTAAGAGTTGGAGAGCCAGCGCAAGTCATGAGAGGTGGCGCAAACGTAACACTCTGTCTTGGATGATTGAAGTTGAAGTGACGCACGCTGGTCGAGCAGTCCAGAAAAGCTCGTGTGCTTGCAATGATGGTCTTCAAAGCAAGAGGAGCCAATCTTGCAAACCAGCCAGATAAAATACCTGTACGATATAGCCGAAACGTGGGCATATAATCCTAATATTGAAGCTTGCAGATTTGCAGGTCGCGTTACTTGCCGACTGTAGAGATCACAACTGCGTGTTCCCTAAACACCTTCGAATGATCAACTCTAGCCACATTCACTGATTCTTCTCGCTTATCCATGCTGAATCCTTAGCATTGCAAGAGAAAATCCTCTCCACCAAGTTTGGTTCTGAGAAAGTTGCCCCCATCTTCACGCAATGCTGAGGGTGTTAAGGGCCTCTCGAGGGTCTGTCTCTAACGCATGGAATCCTGCACTTTACATTACGTTTGAACATGCGCAGGGCGTGACAGGCCTTGGTGTATGCTGGGTGATCAAGTTCACCTTCTGAGATAGGCACGCATACACAGAAAGTAATCCAGCTTCAGCACGTCCCATTGGCGATTGTTTAGGAGACTGCCAAAAGCCTCAGTAGAAGAGATCTTTGACTTCATCGGAGTTGTCATGGTCTGAGCCATTGTCAATGCGCCGGCTCACGGACGTGGTCTAAGGCCCACGAATTTGGAGACAAGATCACGATGCGAGAATATGCGGACTCAGAACCAAGCAAACCTCCATACTGTGCTTGACGTCTATAGATGTAAGCTTCATGTCCTCCTTAACGCCAAAGAAGGCGGCAGAAGTCATTGAATCCGCAGACATCATTGGCCGCATTGCGGCTGTAGGCCTCGCAAAAATAGATGTCATATGGGAGGCAAGGGTGTCCCAACCCCACCATACCGAAGAGCTTTGATATACAAAAGAGTGGAAGCGGGGTTTGTGCTAAAAAATCACTCATACTGGGTGCTTTTTGTGTGCGCTTTCTGAAAGACGAGCAACATCAGAGATCAGTGGCTTCAAGCGACTTTTCACGCACATGCGCGACCGAACAAGCTGCAATTGGCCATGATTGGTGAAGCACCGGAGCTTGAAACTTGAACACCGATTCTTCACGTCCATTTATATTCTTTCGATCAAATATGAGAAGAGACTACAGTGTGGCCAGAAAGAAGCTCGAAGAATTGACCAAGTCAGATGACCTAACGAACAGATCGCGCAACGTGGCACCGAATATCTTGACATCGGACTCGACCCATTAGACCGCCAGAGGCTGAAGTGGAGTCAAACTCCTCTCGAGGCACGAGGCTCACGCCGGGCAAAAAGATGTACCAATGACGGAGGTAACATGTACCAGAGACGGCTATTTCGGATTTGTTTGTGAATCGCTCGAAACATTCCTATTCCTGCGGAAAAACCAGTCTAGCATCGGCGATCTGAATGCTCAAGGTCTGGACCGTCGAACTATGTTTTCAGGCGCACGTACGGAGAGTCTACGTGCACTCGATGCGTTTTGCTCTGAGACGAGCGAGAGCTTGCATGTCTGGTCATGCAGCTCCTCAACCTGTGGCTCGAGCTTGAGGTCGACTGACGCATCATGGCCTTTGCGTAGGCGCGATGGGAATGCAAACAGGCCCAGGGCATTGGACCGGACACCGAGATGAACGAGAGTTGTCGTCACTCGAGCAGTCAGAAGATGAGCGCTGTATAATCTTGACCCTTCTTCTGTAGCCTGCAGATGGGTTGTGGAAAGGGGAAGGGGAAATGGGAGTAATGAGAGGAGGACAGCAGTGAGCATCGTCATTTGTTTAAAACGGGTCCAATATTAGCCAATCACGGGCCAATATTGATGAACAGATTCAAGGGGACTGCAGTTGGCCTGGCCTAGATAAGCCTAAAGTTCCCGACGGTGCTGCTTTCAGGCCGTTTCATGGAAAGCACGGCGCCAGCTGTTGAGTGGGCTCGATCTAAGCCCAAGGGGGCACATGCTTTGCTGTTGGATGGCGAAGCATCACAGCTAGACAGCAGGGCAGCCAGATAGCTCGAATATCAGGATCACGAGAGAAATGAGACAGATCAGGGAAGGAGCAGGCTCGTGGTGGCAATCTGGTGGGTGTGCAGCCCAAGCAGCTTCAAGCGATTGGAAGCATTTAGACTGTGGGCATCGGCAAAAGTCTACAGGCTGGGATAATAATAATAAGAATGATGAGAGAGGGCGAGACATGCGCCGCGAGAGGTTGGCCTGTCTGAAACCGACTCCCCGCCTTTTATTCTCCTACTTGTGCTAAAATACTCACCAGTCCACAAGCAGTATACACCATCCATGCTGGACCATTCAGCTGTTCGAGCGTCCTAGCGATGGCACTAAGGGCACCAGTTGCGAAATCTCACGCTTCCTGTTCGTCTGCATGAAATGCCGAAGCGTTGATCGTACTCTGCACCCTGATGCCTTTCGCATCGCTGTCTTCCCATCTTCATGCGGCGCAGGGAGATAAATAATATTTCCCACTCCCCCCAATCCTACCACCCACTCCCAAAGTTGGCTGAGCAGGCGGCTTGCTCGTTGTTTCACTTTGCACCCTCTACACAAGCATCCGTTACTACATTACCCCACCCGCTGCTTCCTCTTATTTGTCAACCCGTGTCAACAGCTTCCCCAATTCTCACATATGTCTGCTATCGAGAACCAGAGTGCTTTTACAGACATGGCCGGCTCAGATGAGAACGTTTGGATCGTCGACGACTTTGACCCAGCACGGAAGGATCTGAATGTGACCCCAGTGCCCTTCAACAAGGCACCTACCAGGAAAACATCGCTCAACAATCTAAGGATTACTACCTTTTCCCAGCCAGATCTCCATGAGCGCTACAATTCAAGCGAAGAAGAACCCTCCCCTAGCCCCGACAGTGGAAGCCAGTACGATGAAGACGAGGACATTGGGTCTGCTCGCGTGGAATCCGAAAAGATACAAGCTACTGAGGATGGGTTTGACATTGACAAGGAGAACGAAGCGCCTGTTGAAGCATTCTTCGAGGAGGCCAAACCTGAAATCGCGGTCGCCGTCCCCATCATGGCCATTGGCCGTCCGAAACTCATCGACATTACAAACATCGCACCTATGCACAAGCGGAAAAGGAACAATGAATATTCCCTTCTTGTTCGGACCCTATCCAACAATTCGGTGCGCCGCATCTTAACGGATGTGAAGGAAAGCTCGCCCCCGACACTGTCGTCGGCATCTAGGACGCATGCAGACGAAGAAATACTTCGCCGGCGGCAAGGCACATCCATTCAACAACCTGACTCATGGCTCCCAGACGATGATAGTACAATACCAGAGGAGGATGAAGGTGCAGAAGACGAGGACGAATACATACCGGACCTAGATTTGCACAAACCACTTTCATATAGCGACTACGACCCGTACTCCCTCAGTCCGCCCAAGCTATCACCCAGAAATTCATTAAGTGCCCCAAGCAAGAAGCCCGGCAGTGTCGCTCGCGCACGGAATGAGGCCAACAGACCATTGATCTTCGACAGAAGACCTAGCTTGAGAGGACTCGGACGTTCTTTTAATCTGGCAAAGCGACAAGACACACAGTCTCCGCCCAAGCAAATCACGAAGAAGCCGAGAATGCTTCCACGAGGTGCTACAGAGCGGACAGAGAATCCTCTTCTTCCTCCTTTTCCCGCAAAAGGGAGGCAAATTGCAACTTGACGGTCTGAACGATTTGATGCTTGTATGCGGAGTTTACCCAGCGACGGTATTGGCGTATGGTGGAGGGCGCTCCATTTGTGATTTTCAAATACTAGCGGATACCCACTATTGCTACATTCTTTAGGCTACATCAAAACATATTCTTCAGTCTCAGAGCATCTTGTCGTTCTCGCTAATTTGAGGCTGTATACCCTCGGAAGCCTTTTATTGTGTCTTTGCATGGTGTAAGCTAGCCAAAAGCGGCCTAGTAATCATGATAAGACGAAAACATCTAAACATGCCGACTTCAGCATTCCATTGTCTCAACAGCTTTGCCACAAACATTTTGTTGGATTGATTATCAGCAGAGCCTCGCGGCTCACACCTTGGATCAAGTTTCACCAGGAAATGATGAGTGTTTGATATCTTTCCGTTGGCTGTAAGCCTGAACAAGCCCCACTAAGCCTCCAACCTGGGAATAATTAACATATTGGAGTGGCTTGGTCGAATCCTGATCACAAATACATAAAGCAAATATCTTGGTATACTGACCAGCTCCTTGCCATTGAGAATTCCATAAGCATGGACTCCACCAACACAACGGAGATATCAATCAAGGTTGACCAAGTCCCAGACAATGTGGCTGCTCCAGAATCGCGCATCCTTGTTGTTATGACCGGTATTCCAACAATTGTCCCTGGAGAAATCTAGACCACGTGAGCTGAAACCTGTGGTCCAGGAGGTACGATATGTATGAGACGAAGCCCCGACGGATTCGTCCCTGCCCGTGGATTCCTCGAATCGAGCCTGGCACCTAGACCTTCTTTCAACGATGGCTCCAAGCCAGACGACCTTCAAATCATTGTCGATGGCGTGGAGACATCTTACCATAGCTTACGCACCCCAATTAGCACATACGAAAAGCATGTCCGCTATGTAGTGTACGAGTTCGCGGAACTGTTGGACAGCTCGTCCATCAACGCAAATGGCTGGGCACAGATCGCAGAAGTTGTCTACCAGAACTACCGAGCATTCGATGCCTTTGTTGTTCTACATGGCACTGATAGTCTTGCGTACACCTGTTCTGCTTTGAGCTTCATGTTGCAGAATCTTGGGAAGCCGGTCATTCTCACAGGCTCACAGGCTCCTATGCTGGAGTTACAGAACGATGCAACGGACAATTTACTGGGCTCCTTGATCATCGCGGGTCATTTCATGATACCCGAAGTCTGCTTGTTTTTCAACCATAAGCTCTACAGAGGCAATCGAGCAACCAAAATTTCAGCGAGCGAATTTGCTGCCTTTGCCTCCCCCAATTTTCCACCTCTTGCCACCATCTCGTCCCTTAAGATTCACGTGTCTTGGGAATTGATATACCGCCCAACGCATATCAAAGCGTTCAACATACAGACCAATCGAGCGACGAGCGATGTTGCCTGCTTAAGGATATTCCCTGGTATTAAACCAGAGATGATCGACGCAGTACTCAAGCTTGATGGGCTCAAAGGCTTGGTCTTAGAGACTTTTGGATCTGGTAACGCTCCTGGCGGGGCTGACGGCGCGCTCGTTAAAGTTCTTGCCGACGCTGTCAAACGGGGAATCGTCATTGTGAACATAACACAATGCTTGACAGGCACGGTCACCCCATTGTATGAGCCTGCTATGCATCTGAAACGAGCCGGTGTCATCCCAGGTGCGGACATGACTTCAGAGGCAGCCTTGGCCAAAATGTCATATCTCTTAGCACTGCCAGGTATGACCACGGAAAAGGTCATTAATCAGATGTCAGTCTCGTTAAGAGGTGAATTGACTGAGCAAACGGCGACTGCCTTCGCCCATCCACGCGATGTACTCCCTACCCATCTTGCCAATTTGACCCAGCTTGGCTACTCCATCTCGAAAGGTGACCACGAGGAGGTTGAAAGGCTACTAAAGAGTGACCTGTCGTGGCTCCTCAACGAAAGTGATTATTCCGGTAACACACCTTTGCACATTGCGGCGACTGGGCCAAATGTAGACATTCTCCGTCTTCTTCTGCAACAGGGTGCATCGGTGCACATACGCAACAAAAGCGGTCGGACCCCGTTGTTTCTTGCTGCAAATGCCGGCTTGACTGAGCATGTTACACTCTTGAAGCAATCCGGTGCTCATCTCCACAGTGGTGAGATGGCCACGGCAAAATCACATGCGCGAAAGCACTTGGATCTTTGGAGAGCCGCTGGAGCTTGACCTGAACAGTTTCATCGCGCCACGTCTCAGCGATTGATCAAACAGGGATACGCTATACTCTCAGGAATGGTATCAGCTCGTCGAGGCGGGCCCCCATACGTCTAATGATATTAGCTCTGACGGATCATACGTAAGTGAACATAGAACATGGCCATGCCATTTGTACATTGTCCAGGCCCGGCCTTCTTCGATGAGATCTCCTGGGTTCCCGAAGGATGACAAGACACGAAGAGCAAATGGGATGGCAGCAGAATGCACAACACCCTCGGCTTCACAACTATCACTCCATCAGTCTCTCATAGCAGACAGAGATGATGGTATGAAGCATGCGGTTGACAAAGGACTGTTCACCCAATTCGCCGAACCCGCGGAAATATCATCGGTTGAAGACTTGAAGCTCCCTCCCTCAACGAGCAGATGGTAAACGGCGAGCCAATCACACTATAATAGTAGCGGCAGCGGCTGGTCTGGCGGTGACTGGCAGCCTCTTTATGTACTCTAGTCCAGACTCTTAGCCACGTGGGCTCCTCTACACGGACTTCCTGACTCGTCCCATTTCCCCAACCCTCCGAGCTGTAGGGCTGCTTATTACGTACTAGTATGCACAGTATTATTAGTAGCATTGCCCTCCTCTTTTCTCCCTTCCCATCCATCGGTACATATATCCCTAGTGACGCGTTGCTGCCTCGAAGGTTTTCTCATCGCGATCTAGCTTTGTGAAGTGTGATGCGGCTCGATAAGCAAAGTATGAGGCCATGTCACGCCTTCGAAAGGATGTTACTACTGGTCGCGGCTCTGTTATCCCTTCCTTTCTCAGTCAATCTTCGCTACCACGGTATCTGACCAAGACCCTTCAATCCAGAGCATCGTCGCGTGTCTTCCGTTCATTACATCCTGCTTGCTTATCTTCCTGCCTCAAGCCGCAAAGACAATCAGCTGCAACAACCTTCCTTCTTTCTCCCCTTCTCGCTTGTCCTTGCATTATCACGAAGCAAACCCGGATCTCGCACGCGCTCTCTTATCTCAACTTTCTCAGGATGAAGGGTCCAACTTGTGGGGAAATCCTTCGTCATGTCGGCAGCTACCTTAGTTTTAGCGTCTATTTCCAGGGCATGTTTCTGATATTCATCTTCTGTCATAAGTGTTATGTCAGAGATTCACTCCATTCGCTTTCTACTTTAGGTTGAAAGGCGTGCCACTGCCTTAGGTACCATCTCCTCGGAATATGCGACTGTACGCCCTCCAACGTCCACGACACTCGCTAACAACTTTCCCTCCACCACACCGACAGCTCTACCCGTCACCCACGAGCACGTCGCTCTCCCCATTTCCCGCATGCCAACCAAAACTCTCGTTCTCGTCAATACCACCGGACGACAAGCAGCTTCCGTCGCTCGGGTTGCGTCCGCCCTTGGTTACCATGTCAGGGCACATGTCTACCAAAAGTCCCACCCCGTCGCCCTCGAGCTCGCCCAGCTGGAGAATGTGACCGTCGTGGAAGGTTCTCTAGACGATACCAGATTTGTGGCCAAGCTCTTCAACAAAGTGCAGAGAGCTTTCATCAATACCGTTTCATTCGGGGATGAACTCGCTATTGGAAAGTCCCTCGCAGATGCCGCCAAGAAAGCTGGGATCCAGCATTACATCTACAGCAGCATGCCGGACCACAGTGTCTATCGCAAAGGATGGCCAGCATTACCAATGTGGAGCGTCAAATTCACGGTGGAGAATTACATCCGACAAGTAAGTTCCCTGAAAAGCGGCCGTCGCCATCCATATGCTGACCTTCGGAAAAGATTGGCCTGCCCGCAACGTTCGTGTACGCCGGCATCTACAACAATAACTTCACCTCCCTGCCCTATCCACTCTTCTGCATGAAGCTCCTCCCAGACGCAACCTTCGAGTGGAAAGCTCCCTTCCACCCACATACCCCATTGCCGTGGCTTGATGCAGAGCATGACGTTGGTCCTGCCGTCCTACAGCTCATCAAAGACGGGCCGAAGAAATGGAACAATCATCGGTGAGCACACAGTCACTTTGATGATCCCCTACATAATGAGAGTGGAAACCCTGACGTAGTACATCCAGTGTCCCTTTAGCATTCGAGCTCCTCTCACCTGACCGCGTCTGCTACCTCTTCTCCCGTGCTCTCAACCGCCGCGTGAACTACCAATTCTCCCCCACCATCGATATCGAAGTCACCATCCCGAACGGCTATCGCGAGCAACTCCAGGGTCTAGAAGTTGTCTTCGGCAAATACGACGCTCCCTACTTCGGCCCTGAGTTGGAAGATGGGGACCGAGGGAGGAATGTAGAGAAGGCGGAGGATGACGCGGACGATACGGTGGTACAAGAGTCAAGGGCGCTGTGGGGTGGATGGAGGGGCATGGAAGAGTATGCGAGGGAGGTGTTCCCGCTCGAGGAGTCCAATAATGGATTGACGTGGATGAAGGAAGATGAGGGTAATGACGATATGAACAATACACAGTGAGGCGTGGAGGGACTTCTCTAGATGCATTGGAATATCAAGGGCGTGTGAATAGAAAGAGCATCAAGCGAGGAGTCAAGTTTGGATGTGTCTCATATGACGAGCATATCGGCGGTAATCTGCGTTGTCATGCATACGATGGTCGACAGGACATCTAAAGGGGAAAAGCACTGTGTAGGACATGGAAGAATTGTACATCTCATCACTATCATTCATATCTCAACATACGCCGTCCTTTGTCGCATCTGTGATCCACAGTCTGGCGGAAGTGGTGTCTATTTTCTTGAGCACCATACCAACAGCCCGGAAACGCCCCTAAAAGCACCCAAGAAGGGCTCCCCAGAAATAAGTCTCAGCCTTGGAGGGTCAATCAAGCTCCCGTTCAGAAAGTGGACTCCATTTCCGCCAACTGAGGGCGTCTCAGCAACCCATTCCGACTAGACTCCCTTCACCCTCCACACCTTGCACGCCCTCATCCCCTTCCCCCTCCTCTAACAGCCTCTCCACTACCTCCACATCCTCAATCCCCCAAAATGCCTGAATCCCCTCCTTAAGCCTCCAGCTCATCCCCTCAAGCACCTCCTCATCCACAGCCCCAAAACAGACTCTGAAATACTGCCACGCCCTCTCTTCCTTGATATCCTCCGTCGCTGCGAAGATCTCCCCAGGCGTGATGACGACACGGTATTTGGGCGTGGTGAGGAAGATGAAGAGCGCTTTTGAAAGTCTACCAGGACGGGAGGAAAAGGAGGGCCAGACAGGGTGGGTGGGGAAGTGGATGTGGATCCAGATGAACATTCCGGCTCGGGGGCGTGTAAAGTTGTAGATGCGTATTTTACTTATGTGGACATATTCTGACAATTCTGGTACAAGACCTGCCCTCTCCGATGCTTGTGGGCCCAATCTTGGGGATGATTGGGTGGTGGTGATAACTAGATCCTGGCCGCCTTCGAGGACATCACACACCGTGTTCATTCTCCATTCGTACCGATCTCGTAAGCCTTCGAGCCAGCGCACCCAGCCGCCCGTTTGCCAGCCTTTGGTTTTGTTTCCACCGCCCGATGTGCTATCGTCGGATGGCGGTCCGATAATCAACTCGGCAATCACCGACTGCACAAAGCCTGATGGCTGTTGTGCAAAGGCATCAGTGATCCGGAACAGTCGCTCACACAAAGCTGGCTGTGCGGTGATCCATCCGAGTCGACAGCCGGGCGCCACTGTTTTTGAAAAAGTGTCCAAGCGAATGACGCGGCCTTGGTAGTCGATCGAGAGATAGCTTGGGACAAGCGAGTCGAGAAAGCTGTAACCGGAGGACTTGATTGGGACAGTTTTGTTTCCTGCTTCATGTTGCTCTTTCAATTGCTGAGAAGCTGAGCAGGCAGATGGATATTGGAGGAACCAATACGGATCGTCTTCGATGATGAGGATATCATACTTCACACACATTGCATAGATTGCCTTCCTTCGAGCTACGCTGAGTACACCAGATGTAGGATTTTGACCAATGCTGTGGTAATGTCAATAAATCTCTCTATCATGGGGGCCGAGGATGGCTGACGTGATAGTATAGATCAGATGTGGTCGCTTGCCCTTGTCGAAATCCCAATGCTCCAGGACATCTGACAGGCCTCCGGAGCCCTCAGCGCTCATTCCTTGATCATCCACAGCGACAGGCACTATGTTCATCCCACGAGCCCTAGCTGCTTGTAGTGGTAGGCTATAAGCAAACTCTTCGACCATGATCCCTTCCCTCGTAGTAGCTGTATCTCGCTCACTCCACGCGTTGCTTAGAGCTTCTATACTTTTTGAAAAGCCGTCTGTCGCCCCAGCGGTAAGGACTATTTCTGGGCCTGGCTTGTAAGGAACGTTTGGATGCATGTTCTCGAGAGCGAATTGGCGAACAAAGCTGTATAGTGGAGGGTAGCCCTGAGATGTGCCATACTGCAGGGCTGATTTTACGTCGATCTTGCGCAAGGCATCGTCCGTCTTGGATGTTCTTGGTACGAGCACCCTGGAATGACGGTCATCTTTCTTCGAATCTGATATACTGAGCCGAGTTGTAGCTTTTCCGATCTCGTCATCCTGTTCGCCAGACGTAGAGTGGTTAGGAAGAGCAGCGCAGGCTTCAAGGGTGTCGAAAGGGAAGTATTTGTAGTTAGGGAGACCTCCAGCAAGTTGACCAATATTAGGTATCCTGAAATACTTGTAGAAGCCCTTGATAAATGTCCGATGACGGTTTTTCGTGACGAATGAGTAGTGATGCGAGATGTCAACTGGTTCCAGATGGTCTTCGCTTGTGTCTGCTGAGACTGTGCCGAAACGCTCTGCCGAAGTGGCCATGATGCTTTACAGAAGCAAGGTCGTAGCAGGGTAGGAGGGCATCAGGGAATCTAAAGGGGGATTCATGCTTACCAATTGTGCTCTGCCTGTGACATCCATGACGCTGGACGTATTGCAAGCGTTATCTCGATAGCAGGAATGGAGCTAGAACTAGCAAGGCGGCCAGCCGAGATAGCGGAGCGTTGTTAGCACGAGGAAGGAGCAGCATGAAATCAATAATGATTAGACCGTTCCAACTGTCAATTTAGCCTGTTGACCAATTGGTCCGGACAATTCTTGGAGCTCCAACAGCTGCACCGACCCGCTCGCCGTTAAGAATCTGGGGAAGCAGGGACTGGTCGACAATGGACGTCAATCGTTGACCCATCTAACCATGAATCTCAATCGTTACGGAGACTGCGGCATCGGCATCAAAGCCTTAAACTGGGGGAGCGATATGATGCCATAACGACGCACCCTCAGGCAAACCCTACTTCAGCCTTACTAAGCGCCTTTCCATACGGGCTTACCTACGCATCCGCCTTCAAATACTCCTGCTTGCCTGTTGGCACAGCACAACATGGCTTCTGCGACGCCTAGTGCTGCCTCGGAAGAGGGTCAGATGGACCATCTACTATCGACAGACGATGAACGGGACGAAGTGACAGAGGCCTCAACCCCGAGTGGTGCCGATATCCACCTGGAGTCTGCCCGGGATGGAGCAGGAGGCGACCTCCTGAGCCTTCCTGTCTGGCTACAGGAGTCCGCCAGCTCATATCGGTGGAGATGGGTGCCAGTGAGAGTACGACAGGCTGCTCGAGCTGTGACAAAGTGGACGAAAGGCCCGGATCCTTCCTATAGATACCATATCAACCCGCTTCTTCCCAATATACAAGAAGCGCCGGCCAGATTCATCCACAGGCACTTGCCGAGAAAAGAACACAAGATTGCTCTGATCGGCTTCTTTTACTTCTGCTGGTTCTTGACCTTCTCACTCGTTCTCCATCATTCCGCGAAGGCCGGCATGATTGAAGGTTACGGCCATCCAGATTCCATTTGGTGTGGTGCAACCTTCTGGAGTCCAAGCAATGAATGCGGCTTAGACGGAAATGCTTGTCGTCCTTTCGACAATTCGACTTTCGCGTTTCGATGCCCAGCAAACTGCAAAGCTACCCATGTGCTTAACCCACATGCTATTGGAACCCTTGAAGTAAATTACAAACCGTTCGTAATCGGCGGACCACATATCTCGGAAGAGAACTCAACCTTGCCCGATACTATCTATCGTGGTGACTCCTTCATATGCCAGGCTGCAATCCACTCCGGCATCGTGAAGAATGACGTGGGCGGATGCGGCGTTGCAATGCTTACAGGCGAGCAGACGAACTTCACCGCAACCAGAAGACACGGTATACAGAGTTTTCCGTTTGACTCGACATTCCCAAAGACCTTCACGTTTATCAAAGGCCTCACGTCCAATTGTGGCCCAGACTTGAGGTGGCCGCTTCTTGCGGTGACCTGCGGCTTCACTACCATCCTCTCTCTCTGCACAACCAATGTGCCGGTCTTCTTCTTCTCAACCTTCACCATGCTCTTCTTCCATGTTGGTCTTGTGTCTGACCCACCAGGTCACTCTGATTACGCATCACTCATATCCATCATTGTTGGTCGTTTTTTGCCTGCTATTTTTGTCGCGGTTGTCTTCTACCGCTTCAGCGTCAAGATACAGCAGACAGAATTAACGGCCAACATCGAGAGAAGTATTTTCTGGCTCGGTGGCGCGTGGGTCGGCTCTTTGAACAATTACACCTTTGATTTCATTCCAATACAGCGACTAACACCTCATGATCTCAAGGCACAAGCTGGGGCTGTTTTGGCTTTGATCATTGTAGTCCTTGTCATATTCTTCATTGCCCTACAGCAAGCCTGGTATCTCCGGCAGGAGGGGCGTTTTCGCAAGTATTTGGCGATTTACGCCACTATGATCGCTGGTCTACTTATCTGCGTGGCCATCCCGCAGCTCAATCTCAGAATCCATCACTACTTCCTTGCAATGCTGCTGCTTCCAGGGACACGGACACAGACAAGACCAAGCTTGTTGTACCAGGGCATACTTGTAGGCTTATTCATCAATGGCACAGCACGATGGGGCTTCGACTCTATCATGCAAACAGCTTTCGAGCTACGCGGCGCCGATGGCCAGAAGATGTCGTTGCTTCCCAATATTACAGCACCTATCGTTGGCGCGGCGAACATCACTTTCAATTGGAGCCGGCCTCCAAGACCTTATGATGGCGTTAGTATGCTAGTCAATGACGTGGAAAGGCATAGGTGGTACTACGGCGAAGGTGGTCCAGAGCAAACGTTTGAGAAGTACGACTCGGTATCAAAGGAGTACTTTCGGTTCGCGTACATGAGAGGAAGCGAGACGGGCGACTATACGAAAGCGGGTGTTTGGGAAACGGACGGGCACTGGATACCTATGGAACCTGGTCGAGCATTTAGATAGAATCTAAGATACCCTCATAGAGATCATTCATAGAGTATGCTCAAATGCCTCAATTGAGGGTCAAAAGACACAACGGTACGTTTCGATTGAAATGTGTTGCTCTGCGCTACTCTTCGAGTATCGATAATCAGGTACGTTCAATTGATATCTTGGTTATTTGAAGCTATCGAAGGCTTCAGTATAGAGGTCATGATCCACAGACGTATGTCTTCGATGCACCTTCTTTCAAGACCTTGGCCATTGCATCAGAGGTTTGCGGTCGGAGATTTCCTATAGATTTTCAGCAGATCTAATCAATGAGAGTTTTGAGGCATCCTCGCCTCAAAGGCAAATCTAAGCCTCTCACATTGCCTCCTACAGCATATTCTTGTTTAAGGATAGCTGTACAACTTTACTTACAGAAATCCTAGAGCCTTCTGTTGCCCCCGGAACTCATCACCTTTGTTTTACAGGTTCCAGCTCGTTAAACCTTCTGGCAATCTTGGATCATCTCCCTAGATCTCTTGCCCCTTTCAATGCTCCCTTGGTTTTCAGAAGCCAGTTTTTTGCCTAACTTCAGCCAGCAGGGAAGCCCTATCTTGATGATGTTCTCCATCAAAGTGTGCACACCGCTCCTAATATAAGGCCTTTCGCAAAGGCTTTCACCTCAAATGGAGGCACCTTTACTTTTTGCCTGGCTGCCACTCTGTGGCTACAACTGCTACTTGCAGATAAAAGTTGGCCATCACCACAAAGACTGTGTCTTGGGCTTTGACCGAGCGCGATCGTATCTCAAAAAAGCCATACAGAGTCGTAGATGCACTTGGCCTGTCAGGCCATCTTGAGAGTAATTGAAGAGACCTGGGCCATTGCAGATTCCCGTATATCACTGAGATCAAGCGATGGACGGCCATGCTTATCTGCCTGTATGTAGGCAGATGGGCAATTGCCAGATGTACGCTTTGAGCCCACCTCCGGGCTTTAAATTTCTTCCCTTATGCTTTTCTATGTCTTTTCAATCAACCAACAGTCGCTTCCCTTTCTTCGTCTTCACTCAGCTTCTGATCTACTCAAAAGTTTGGAGTGTGAGATTGATCGCCCTCATCAGTTGATCATTGTCAGCACCGAAAAATCACCTCTCGCGATTTTAAACCGTCTGTGAAGTTCACCACGGAAGCACGATGCCACATCACAGTCAAAGGTATGAATCTCGCTCTGAAAGTTGCCAGTATCTAATTTAATATATAGCTTATTGTATCAGTGGAGTGGTAGGGAACCTTTACCCACCTGCTACTATCACTCGTCCTTTCGAAGGGGATGTTACCAATGCTCTGTAGCAATTTCCAATTCTTGGCAGTGCTGTAAATGCGAGGCACAAATGTTGAACACAGGGTACTGCTATAGATGCGGGAAATGGCGTTGTGATGGTTGTATCTGATGCCGTACTTGTTGAGGGAAGCAATTAAAGCAGTAAGCCGCGGATCACAGAAGCGACCAGATTTCTAAGGAGTCATTATCAAGAACAACAGTATTGACCTAAAGACAGACTAGTTTTCCATTCGAGCAGACCGATATCTTTGTTTATGGCTTATGAGAAGGGACGAAAGTTTTTGAGTTGCAAGGCGTAAATTGGTCAGGCCCCCGGCGTAGGAGCTCAAGAGTAGGGGGAAAAGGGGGAAAGGGGGGAAAGGCGACAGGCAAAGCGATTTTAATTGAAATGGGTAGAAAAGTTGTTTGCAAAGATTGATTGAAATCGAGATCAAGATGAGGAAGGAGTTCAACGTTCCTTTGTACCGCAAGGCTCCTCATTCGATGCAAAAAAGGGGTCTCATTGTTGTTGATACACATTTCAACTGCATGATCGTCGAGTCGAAGGTTCCAAGGATATTGTGCCTCTATCTTGGGCTGCCGGTCTTCTTGTGATGAAGCGATATAGGGATGAATTTGGAAATCTGACCACGGATGTTGTTAAGAAGAGTACTTGACAGAAATAGCGGGGGCGGGAAAACGGGTTGCTTTCCCCACCCTTTCCCCGGGGCCATGACGTCTGCTGCATGAAGCCGATGCATATCAGATGAAGAGCACAGTCGTCAACAAACGCTACAACCAATGGCTTCCTAAGTCTTCCCAGTCCTGAGGTACCTTACCTTTGGAGCTGTAAAGCGTCAGCCGCATTCTCTTCTTCTTGTGGGATGCAAGTGGGGGGGGCTCGTTGAATTGACTTTGTCATGAGATTTGTCTCCACTCCGCCGTTTTAGCGCTTCCACTGCTTCTCTAAGCTCCTACCACCCCCTCTACCAAGCTCTTCCTCCCTTCCCCCTTCGTCTGTGACTTGCTCTGGGCGACATCACCTTGAACCTCTACGGAACAGGCGTTGTGCTTATTCAGAAGAGCTAGAAGTGTTGTCCAGAGCTTGCCTTCAGTAACCCACCTAGCGCACTGTGTCCAGATGTGGATGTGTCAACCTCTTTGTTTGGGTTGAAAACATTTGCCTTTTTGAAATGTCAGCCGTAGACGTCAATGGCTCCGTGGAGGAGGCAGTCGCAGCGAGAGCGGAGTCAACGGGCAGGGAGCTACGAAATCACATGCTGTTCGAGATATCAACAGAAGCTGCCAATCGAGGTAGAATGCTTCGGAATCGAGTCATCTTGCCTTCGCTTACACCAGAATAGTTGGTGGCATCTATTCGGTCATCAAGTCCAAAGCTCCAGTGACAACCGCAGAATATGGCGACAGATATACCCTGATTGGGCCGCTCAATCGGACCTCGGTATCGAGCCCAAGATTGCGAAGTTTGTACATCTGCTAATCCACGGTCCTAGGCCGCTGTCGAAGTAGAGCCTCTAACGCCGACAAATCCTGAGATTGCCGCGACGATTGCAGCGATGAAATCGAGGGGAGTGGAATTATACTACGGCAGATGGCTCATAGAAGGCGCGCCACGGATTATACTTATTGATACTAAAACCGGCTATCGCTGGTTGGATGAATGGAAAGCAGACTTGTGGAACACTGCTGGCATCCCGTCTCCGCCAGGCGATGAAGAGACGAACGAGGCTGTCGTGTTCGGCTACCTTGTAGCATGGTTTCTGGGAGAGGTCAGACTCAATACACGTACAGTCCAGGTCGAAACTGACAAAAAGGTAGTATGTTTTCCATGAAAGTAAAAGAGCGGTGATAGCGCAGTTCCACGAATGGCTCGCCGCTGTAGCTATTCCGTTAGCCAAGAGAAGGAGAATAGATATCACAACCATATTTACTACTCATGCAACGCTACTTGGCCGATATTTGTGTGCCGGCTCCGTCGATTTCTACAACAATTTACAGTATTTCGATGTGGATTCGGAAGCGGGCAAAAGGGGCATCTACCACCGATATTGCATCGAAAGAGCGGGTGCGCACTCATCGGACGTTTTTACCACTGTGTCTCATATAACTGCATACGAAAGTGAGCACCTGTTGAAACGAAAGCCAGATGGTGTGCTGCCAAATGGTCTAAACGTTAAGAAGTTTTCTGCCATACACGAATTTCAAAATCTCCATCAACAGGCGAAAGAGAAGATTCATGAATTTGTGCGTGGCCATTTTTATGGACACAACGACTTCGATCCCGACAACACCTTGTATTTTTTCACCGCGGGTCGTTACGAGTATCGGAACAAAGGCGTCGATATGTTTATTGAGTCTCTAGCGCGACTGAACCATAGCCTCAAGACTTCCGGGTCTAAGATGACAATTGTAGCGTTTATCATCATGCCAGCCCAAACTTCATCATTGACGGTGGAAGCGCTCAAAGGGCAAGCTGTCATCAAGTCACTACGAGACACGGTGACGGTTATAGAGAAGGAGGTTGGGAAGCGGCTTTTCGAACGTGCTATACAATGGCAGCAGGGGGGTGAGCTACCAGAGGATAAGGATTTGTTATCTAGTTCGGACCGGGTCATGTTGCGAAGACGGCTTTTTGCAACGAAAAGGAACAATTTACCACCGATCGTCACGCACAATATGATCAATGATGCAGAGGATCCCATTCTGAGCCAAATTCGCCGTGTCCAGCTTTTCAACCACCCATCAGATCGCGTAAAAGTCATATTTCACCCAGAATTTCTCAACCAGGCAAATCCTGTACTTCCGCTTGATTACGACGACTTCGTACGAGGGACCCATTTGGGGGTCTTCCCATCTTACTACGAGCCATGGGGGTATACGCCTGCTGAGTGTACAGTGATGGGCGTCCCAAGCATCACAACTAATCTCTCGGGTTTCGGCTGCTACATGGAGGAGCTCATTGAGAACGCTTCCGATTATGGCATCTACATTGTTGACCGGAGAACGAAAGGTGTAGATGACTCAGTTAATCAACTGACGGGCTTCATGTTTGACTTTGCATCCAAGAGCAAACGGCAGCGTATCAATCAGAGAAATCGGACGGAGCGCTTGAGCGACTTACTGGACTGGAAGAGAATGGGTATGGAATATGTTAAAGCCAGGCAACTTGCACTAAGACGGGGTATGTCTTTCGGAATCCAAGAATAGGTATAGGCCTACTAATGTGTCCCAGCATACCCAAGCTCTTTCGAAGACGATGATGATGATGAAGGTATCTTTGACGCTGTGGAGCCCAAGCTGACTCGGCCACTCTCTGTTGCTGGTTCGCCAAGGACCCGGTCGGGCATGATGACTCCAGGCGATTTTGCGTCCCTACAGGAAGGCCGAGAAGGACTTAGCACGGAGGACTACATAGCTTGGAAGCTACCGTAAGTGCTTTTACCCTTCCTGCTTCAACGATGTGCTAACGGCGACGAAAGCGAGGGAGAGGAAGACGAGGAAGATTTTGCATTCCCTTTGACCTTGAAAAGTCCGAAGAAATCTAGTCCATTGGATTCTCCCATGCCTGGGGCTGTAAACGGTGCTTCATGAGACTTGGATATCGTGCTTGCTATCAGAATGCCTGACATGCGGAGTCTGTAAGTTGGTATTCTCTCCCTGCGATGACCATTGCGCAGCATCATGTTGTTTCAATTCGCGTTTGCTGTGAGCATGTAGGATATGTACATTCCGCTGGTTGTCACATATACGCCGGCTTGGATACATTGGTTGGCACTCTGATCCCAGGTTATTGAAAATTGCAGGTCCAGATCCCAAATTCTCTTCTGTCTAACCAACCATGATACCCAAGGCGGCAGCGTTGAAGTCCTTTGCTCTTTGTCGGTCCCTTCGCAATTTCTGTCTCTCTGTGAAGCGAGGAAATGCTGTCTCAAGAAGAAGTACAAATACAAGGACTACCAAAACGCTAGGGTATGTATTTACTTGGCGGAGTTTCACCACCTCCTTTGTCGTCCTGACTCCTTTAATCTCTCACCACTGACAACCAATAGACCCTCGCCTCATCTCCATTTGAACTCGTCATCACAAGTGAGCGCTTCTTTGCTGTGCCAGCTCCACTGTGAAACACTGCTTGTGCTTCTAGAATCGACTTCGCTTCACCGCCGAGAGAGCGAAGTCGCAATACTATAAGCATATTGTCTTCTGTAATTTTGATTCTGGGTATGGGTTCTTTGAAACCCAAAGTGCCCCGCAAATGCCTTGCCCTGGTCACGAGCATATCTACAGGGCAGCTCGCTTGTTCAAATTGTGTTGACATCTTTTTCATCGACTGCTCCGTTTTTCTTTCAGTCTCTCTTTGATTCATCATTCCTTCATTTGTGTCTTGCGCAGTTCGGCATCCCTACAGAAAGGTCTCCCTCACACATACTGCTTGGACTGATAGCAGACTCTCGTTACTTTCGACGGCTTCTCGACCTGGGGAACTGCAATTCTATGAGAGTGAAGATTTCCTCAAACGACTCATACGCGTCGTCGCCTATCACATTCCGATAGGCAAGAAGCCCCCTACATTCTGCTTTTGCGGAGTAAAGCACGTGGCCCTCATTCTGGTGGGTTCGCATTGTAGGACTATCAAAGTATTAGTCACAATTTGAATTGCGGAAATTGAAAGTGACGCTTCAAATAGAGGCGTTGGGTCGTTGAGGTACTGTATTCTCTCCACTTCTTATCGACGTCCTTTTGAGGACAGATGTTCAGACATGGTCATCTGTGCTGGTAGCTGAGGCGCCTTCCAGGATCTTCTTCTAAGGTTGCAGTTGCCATTGATGTATTTGCCACCAATACTTGATGACGCGCTTATCTCGCCAACGTCAAATTAACACTCACAACTCGTGATGTTCATCTTTCTCGACTCATACTAACAGCATTTACTCTGCTTTTGCCAGGCGCAGCACTCACGCTCATTCTACTATTGCAGCATGTATTTCTTTTGGCTCACTTCAGCTACAGCGTTGATGCTGTGCGCGACTGTTCAAGGCTTTTGGCGTTTAGAGTGTGAAGGGTCGACTGGGCTGGCCCGTCTCGACCCCCTGATGGCCTTTGCTTCTATTGGAGATCATGTACATAGCATCAAAGGCGGCAGCGGTATGTCCCTCGAATGCACCCACCCCCATGCGAGCTAATACACTAATGCATCTCCAGCCTTCAGTCCAACCGCTAAGGCTGATGACCTTCTCAATTCCAATTGTACTTCCTGTGGCATTGCTCAAGACATGTCCGCGTATTGGGCTCCTGCAATGTATTTCATACACAATGATGGGACGGTAAAGGTGGTTCCAGAGAAGCCTCCACACAAATCGTAGGTCTTCACCTATCTGTCAGCTCTATTTGATCACAGATGGTTTAGATATTATCTTCTCCGTAACGGAAACACCCATGATGGCAAACCGCAGACGGTAGAAGCATTCCCAAATGGCTTCCAGATGATTGCTGGGAACAATTTCAGGCGCAACACCACAATCCCTGATCCTGACCCACATCCCCTGGGACCATGGCCTGATTCAAGTCAAGACGATCGTGCACAGCGCGCGCTAGGATTCAATTGCTTACACTACGCTGCCGGCAACGACGAGCCTACTTTGAGCCGCCACAAATTGCCAGACAAAGCATTTCTAGACTCCTCCTGTACTGACGGTATCAGACTCGAAATGCAGTTTCCTAGCTGCTGGAACGGCCAACTCGATGGGGGTCCGCTGCACAAGGATCACGTGACCTATCCAGACGGCGTGTCCGTTGGAAACTGTCCTCAAGGCTATGACCGCCGCTTGATCACTCTCTTCTTTGAAACCATCGTTGCAACAGACAAGTTCAAGGGCGTACCAGGCAAATTCGTCCTAGCAAACGGGGATCCATACGGCTTTGGATATCATGGTGACTTCATTGCAGCTTGGAAAGGCGATACTTTGCAGCAAGCTGTCAAGCAGTGTAACGAACAGGTCAGCTCAGGAGTGATGAAGGACTGTCCCGTCTTCGAGATGACGCAAAACAGTCAGCAGTGCAAGTTCGAAAAACCGCTGCCAGCTTCCGTTGCGCAAGAAAATGTCAAAGGTCCCCTTATGGGTCTTGTCAACGGGCTTCAGGTAGCCTATGGCCCAGAACCAGCTCCAAAACCAGGGAAGCCTCCAACTGCAGCCACGAGCAGTGCGGCTAGCCAATCTCAGGGTCAACAGCCAACATTGCAGAAGACGATTCTACCACCCTCGTCTTCCGCAGCTTCAAGGCCATCTACGACACAATCAGCACCACCAAAAGTGCAAGAGAAAGTAGCCATTAAACCAACAGTAATCACTTCACCCCCACCTCCATCCGCATTCAATCTGAAGCCGGGAGAGCGGATCTTGACGGCCTCATCCTATGTCGTCGGAGGTGAACTGCACGAGGTGATTGAGGTCGCTGTGGATGTAATGCTCACAGTTCCTGCAGTCACATCAACAATGACCGTACATGCTAAACGGGATGAACATCTGAAAAGGCACGTGCACCATCATCATTATCATCATCATGGGGACGACTAGGTTGGAAAGGGAGGAATTTGCTCGGAACTAGTGTGCGCAGTGCTGGCGCTGCCATGGCCATATGATCAATTGTCTGTACGACCAGCTGTATGAAGAGGCTAGATGCCTATCTTTTGACGATATGAGAGACTTTTCAGATAGGAAATTGAAGCACTGTCCTCAAAAGGAAGTCTCTCGTTAGCGTTCCTTGCCTCCTTTTTGGCCGGACCTTGATTACATCCTGTATTGCTCCCCCATAATGACACTGTATGATCTAGGCTTTACAACCCGGGCGGTCAAATCTCATTGGATATTTATACACGCCAAGATTATCACGCCCAAGCAGACGACCCTTCACAGACGAGCGGCGAGTCTGTGTAACTCATCTCACAAAAGCAGCACATTTGGGTAGAGATACCACCCTTGCCAGAATCACTAATTTGTAAAGCAAATCTACTGAACCCAAAGGTGCTGGGAACCCGCTTTTATGTTCCCGCTTTCTCGATTTCCTTCTCCTTCTGCGTAACAGGCACATCTACCGCTGGCGGTATTATACCGACCTCTGCATCTTTCGAAGCCTCTGCTACTTCCTTCTCGACCTCAACACTCCTCTTAGACTCGTAGCTAGACAATCTGATCAGACTGTCGTCATGGGTTGCGGATCCCTTCCGTTGACCATCCTCACCGCCTGCGTTCTCATGCTCTGATGGCGCCTTCTTGCCCTTGATCTTGTCCATGAAATCATCGGATTCCTTGGCGTATTTGCAGTTTCTTCGTATACTCGCGCCATACCTATAAAAAAGGAAGGGGAATGGTACGCAGGCTAGCGCTAGAAATGCTGGTACGGAACTTGCCCCTGTGAGGCGGAGGGGTCAGCAAGTTCGAACTAGGAGAATCTTGAGACTTTGCTCCGGGGGAAAACATGCGAATTTCGTGCAACTACATACAATGAATGCCGAGGTTCTGGTACATATATGTCGTAAACAACGGGAAGACCGCGCCAAACGTTGATCGTAGCACAGAATTGGCTGCCAGAGTACTCGCGGCATATATTGTGTATGCGTCGATTCTGGACGATCTCACAGTCAGTATCATTCTAGAGAGTGACAGACACAGCGGAAGCGGGCGATGGGCCAATCAAGGAGAAGCCCACTCACAGATAGTTGAAAACTGAAAGGAACACCAAGACCACTACTCCCGTGGTCAATATATCTCTATATTGTGTAGAAAAGGGCAGATCCAGAGCACCAATTCTCGGATCGGTGGCTGCAACAGATCATTGGACTTACTTCCGAATCCAAAAGGTGCCGTAAAGATGATGCAAACGCTCCAATGTATGGACGGATAATTCGTCCACTAAGAGATGTGTAAGCACCTGCCGAGTTGGCTGAGCCCCTAAAAAGACTCACAGCGAAAATAAACAGGCCAACAGGAATACATATCGAACCATACAAAGCTGGAGGTAACCTTGCCTCAGGTGGAGCTCCACGTTCGCCTTTTTCCACGCAAACATCCTCGATTTTGCGGTAACGACCATTATCTGGAATCGCATAGGCTACGGCGGCCAACATGCCAACAGCTACACCTAAGAACGCAAGACCTCCAATGCCTTGGGACCAACCGCGCTCTTGTTGAAAAATGATGGGAAAAGCTGGGAACAACATGTACAAAGTCCCTGTCCTGTTTTAGATCGCCATTTAATGGCTGTGCAGAATAGAAAGACAAACCGTAAACGATTGCCATGTAGATAGCCAATAACAGCACGATCGGTTCCCTCAAGAGTAAGATCCAAGGTCTTGAGAGGGCAATTCTGAACGACCGCCCAAGATCAACTTTGCCTTGCGATATCTCGATTCGTGATTTATAGACATTACCTGTACGTTTACTGAGAGCGGCGGCACGACTACGTAAGATGACCGGACTATACGTCTCCGGTAAGGTGATGGCATTGATGATCCAAAGTGTACCAGAGAAGATGGCCATCACTCCTTGTATCCCTGCATAAAGTGAGCAACGTCCAATCCACAACTCGCATGAACTTGGCTTACAGCGCCATCCGACGCTCTGTCCAACGAAGCCTCCAACAATTGGTCCTAATATAGGACCCATGAAAGGAGCTGCTGCAAAGATTGGCAGTGCTAATCCACGTTGTGCAGGGGGAAACATGTCGGCTTGAGTTGAAGAAGTCAGCTTCATGGCACTTCCCAAAATCAGGGCAAGGAAAATCTTGCTCACCTATAACGCCGCCAGCGTTCGTGAGTGGTGAGGAACCTAGACAGACACCAAGATCAGTCTGACTGCTTGGCGACAGCTAGAGGAGTGACATAATTCTTGATGACAGTCGGCAGTTGCGTGATAAAACAAAAGATCGAAACCATAGATCGCATGTGAATTCGAAAGGAGATAATCATGCCTCGCAGACCACTCACCAAAAGCCCCAGCAAAAAACCGTAAGATTATCAATGTCTCAATGTTCTGTGCACCGGCAGCGCCTGCATTGAAGGCCGTGAATGCCCCGAAAGTTATAAAGAACAAAGATTGTCGACCAAACATCTCGGAAAGGGGAGCCCAGAAAAGAGGACCGATTGCAAACTATGAAGGCGTAAGCATATTCATTTGGCTCATCCAGCATTGAATTGGGTACATACTCCGAGAACATATAGAGAAAGACCCAACGTTACGACTTCCTCGCTGACATGAAAGGTCTCAATGATTTGGAGAAAGCCGCCTGAATAAGCAGAGGAAACGAAAGCGACGGTCAAGGTGGCGAAAGCAACCAAAAGCGTGATCATCCATTTTTTCCACATGGGAAATCCCATGGGATCTCGAGGATCATGGGGGATATACTCCGCCACCTGAGCCATATCAGATATGGTGGTCAGATCGAGACATGTGCGACTTACAAAGGGGTCTGCTTCAGTGCCAGAGCCATTGTATGGATAGTCAACGACTTCAGGGACGAGCAAGCCCTGCGACTTCACCAACGACCAATCTGGCCAATCACAGAGTAAGTTCATTTCTGTACAAGTATGGTGGTCCTCGATCAAAGAAGCAGCATTTTCTGTTCGCCGAAGTCGATCTCGGGCTTGACTTCACCACTGGGACGATAGACGGAGCAGAAGCAGTAGACCTACGTGAGGGTTGTTTTGGGTATATGGAATGGTTGGTTGGAGCTTGAGTTAAGCTGATTGATGAATGATGGCTCACATGTCTTGTATTGGTTGGATGATGGTCCATGCCTGGCCTGATAGTAGCTGAAGGTGCTTGCAAGGGGGGATGGATACATCACGGCGAAGAGTGAGCAGGTCGGAAGGCAGGCACTGTATATATTCATTTTCAGACTCTTTTAGTCTCTAGAGGGAACGGCACCAGACGGGTCGAACGGCAGCTCGAGGTCCGGCCTATTATTTAATGCATTTGTGCTGTGGCGGACTTTATGCAAGGCACGGGGATTAGCCATGTTGCCGGGGCATTGACTCCGGATCCATAGTAACATCACAGCTTCATCAGCCTTCCGTATACTGTAGTGGGCTGACAGCAAAGTCGTAGGCATGATACAATGCAAACGTTAACCAAGTCATATATGGCGTCGGCGTCATTGGTTGGAAACCCCACTGGTGCTTTATTTAGCTAATTCGACTATCTAGTAACACTCAGATCGAAGCTTTACGGCTGGCTGTCCATGTAACCATCACTATCTAACAGCATGCTCTGATTCTCCCCAAGTGACCCGTATCTACCTGCCAAATGCCCAATCTCCATCTGTTGCACCACCTGAAATCCACCATTTTCAACCCACATAAGACAAGAATATCCCCCAATAGAATCTCACCTATCTTTTGACACACGTGAATAGAAAGCAAAACATGATGTTGCAAGAAAGAAGCAAGTAGCACACTCTGTAAGCCAATCTAGTCGTCCAGCACCCTTGACATAGACACTTTTTGCTTTCCCGGAGACTCCAGACCACCAACACCGCCGCTGCCAACCCATGCCATCCCGCTATGCTGACAAGGAGATCTATCGCCCATCGAATGCCCCCACCACTATCCTGAAAATACCATCTCATTGGTTTCGTGACGATGAAGCTCTCCGTCACTTTGCTCTTCACCACCTTGAATCATGTTCCTCTATGCACACGGCCAATCTCTTGTATGTTTTCCCAGGATCGATCGTTTCTTTCTTCTCATAAGCTAGAATTAAGTTGGAGATTTGTTGTGATTCGCTCCGTTCCGTCGGCTATCATCGTTCATTGAAAGGCCACCGAGGCCGGAGGAGAGGAAGGCAAATGGATCTGGAGCGCCATCCATGCTGCTGTTACCCCCATATGTGGCATTACCATAAGCTGGTGGTCCATTTGTTGCGCTACTGGAAGGTGGTCCATTGTTGGCTGAGGTAAAGGCAGCTTCGGCAGCCCGACTGTCGAAAGGCCCACCAGAGAGCCCTTGTCCATAACCTGCTCCCATAGGTGGGTACGCGTTCGTCGGAGCCCCTATGCCAGACGGCAGAGCGTACTGACTTGGGGGTCCTCCAAATTGTTGGCCCCCGAACCCTGCGGATCCAAACCCTCCCGCGGGAGCTGCAAAGGGTCCTGGTCCAGGCGTGCCTGCAATTGACGATGGGCCCATACTGTAGCCGGAGGAATGCTCATGCGGAGATGGAAATGCTGAATCTGCAACCACAGCAGCTCCTGCTCGACTCGCACCGCACCGAAGACAGGTAACGTTCTTGGCAAAGTTGTGGTAACCGCAGCCTTCCGAGCCACATTTCCAATCGCCAGCTCGGAAGGGTACCATTCCCCCTCCGCCTCCGCGGCCATGCCCAATGCTATGTCCACCTTGATGTCCCATGTGAGGATGAGGCATCATGTGATGGGGGCCATACCCATAATTGGAATAGCCCATGGGATCGCCACTTGGCATAGCCGAAGCTGCAGGGAAAGAGCAGCGAAAGCATGCTGTACGACGTTGGAAATTAGAAAAGCCGCATGACGGACATGTCCAATCTCCTGGACGAGGCCGGTTTTTGCTGGGAGGGAACGGGGTGAGTATTTCAGCTGCTCGATCCAGGACTCGACTGGAAGACGGCGAGACCTCGATGGCCTTTTCATTGAGAGCGCGTCCGTTCATGCAGAGACTTTCGGCTGCCTATTATAAGCGTGTTAGCAAATATGAGCAACTTTGGTGTTGGTAGTAGTATCAGATCGATGAGTAAGGAGAAAAGGGAGGTGAGAATGGCGAAAATGAAGCCTGAAAGGTGCGGGGTATCTCAGATGAGGTGGTTCAAGAGAAATGGTTGGCTGACCTCTTCGTGCGACGAAAACACAGCGAACCCAGACCCAGTTGGCTTGTGTTGATCAGGGGTCCGCAGCGTCCAGAAGGCAATCGGCCGTCCACCGAATTGCGTGAACCAACTCTCAAGCTCTGACTGTGTTGTGTCGTGTGGAAGACCGCTCATGTGTAGTACTTTACTGCGCTCCCGAAGAAAGGCTGATACGTCGGCTTTGGCATCAAGGGGTCGTGTCAGTACGTCGGGGTGCTCGTGCTGTGGTTGAGATTTTCGTATCAACCCTTGCAGAACACGCGCTAGCGTGATCGCTTCTTCTATTGCTCGGCGGGGAGAAGCTGGCGCCAATGCTTGCAGGTGAAACGGGAGGTTGTGCTTGATTGGTGCCGAGGTTTGAATAGGTTCCACCTCTAACGCTGCACAAATATTTGCCAGTGAGCTAGGGCCAAACGGAAGAGACTCTGGGTGGTGTTGTTGCCAGCGCTGATACTCAGTCCGAAGGTCAAAAGTACGCGAGTGTTGTAAATAAGCTGGCAAAACCACGGCTTTGTCTCGAGCTTCTCTGGGTAATTGAACCCGCAGATCCCAAGAATCTAGCGTCACGAACGAGAACTCTTTGCTTTTCAAATGCTCTTGAACAAATGCATCAAATCGGGTGATCGCGTCTCGGAAGGTCCCAGCAGAGCGCACATGCTCCCAGGTGAGGGTTGTTAAGCTCGCTGACAAAGTGTCAGTGGATGAAGCTGGGCCTTCTCCCGACAGAATTGCTACTTACTGCATAGAGGGGTGATTGGAGTGTTCACAGGCTTGACCAGGATGCTTTCTCGATGCACCTAGGAAGAAGTAGGGTAAGCCAGCAGCCAATGCAACGCTTCAATTCGGGACGCACCTCCTCCAGACTTTTCGAATGCAACAAAAGCCAACCGATCTCTATGACTTCCGCCGAGTCTTTCGTTACATAGACTCCGTGCTCATCGCACGTGGTCGCCACATGCGTCACGAGATAGTAGTCGAAATCTACCGGGTTCGGACCTTGAACGCTCGACATGATCAATCTATTTTGAGGCAAGGTATGAATGCTATCTGGGCTTGATTTGAAGGTGGTGCCAGAGAATCGAAATAAAGGATCGAGCCGTACGCCAGGTACTAGTCAGCTCAATTGAGGTGCGGTCAAAAAGGTGTTAGAAAGTGAGAAGTAAGGGGTCGTCAGGAGTCGTCAACGACGTGTTCTCGGGCTAGAAAAAACAGTGCTATGTACTCAATGGAACTGGAAGGAGTGACTAGGGGTCAGATAGGCCGTAAGAAAAGAATGCTTGCTTCGATCACAGTACAATCACCAGAAGGTTGAAAATTTGAAAGCGCAGTAGCGCAAACATACTCTTAGCTTAGGGGAACACGCTAAATGCGCGGAAAGTCAAATCTGGATGCACAGATTGGTACCATGGATGCATTCTTCCCAACCTTCACTGTGCTTCCATATTCCTCGCCGTGACCGAATCATAGTGTTGCAGTGTGAACGGCCTCTTCGGTGTAGTGCTCCGTTACCAACAATATCTTGTTGACTTTGATGCTGGTTCCATCGCCTCGTGCATCTCTTTTGGCCGGATCCATGCCGAGCCACGGAAGGAATGCACTATATCAATTAATCGAGCATCAATCTGAGCTTCCCTACATTACAACTTGACTGCCTCTTTGGGGATCCTGAGTGTCACCTCATATCTCGGGTAGTCAAGTCCTATGACCAGCGTTACATTCGGTGATACAGCGCGAGTCCGTAACTGCCGCTCGCATATGCAACAGGTCTTGACGTGACGCTTGAGTCCACGTTTCGCTTGTGAGAGTTGATCCTACTGCTATCGTCGCGGGAGACACTGTTACGAGTCGCTCAAGCAAGGCGAGTTTGCGCAAGCAATGGTCTTTGAGACTATCGCCCAGTGACCATTTGCGCGACCCGTTCCCCAACCGCTCTACGGAAACATTTCTCAGTACAAATTAGGCCCAGAAATGGCGCCACAGGAATTCGAATGCACCAGTTGTAGGCACCGATATTGTACTCGGAAGAGAGACTAGCACATTGAAGAGCGAGCGAGAGCCTCGAAAAAGAAACCCATTTGGCAAAGACCGTGTGCAGCCTTAAGAATAAAGGGACCAGCCGAGTTGCTTTATTATAAGAACGCCATTGCTAGGCAGCTTCAACCCAGGAGTCACATTTCGAGGCTACTATCCTGCAAACACGATGAAGTTCCTCAGCAGTCTGCGATCTAAAACCCTACTGAAGGGCCGCAGCGGTGGCGGAGATTTAAAGACATCGAACATCGACGACAATGACATTGATACGCAATCTTCATTCCCTCCTAATCCCACCTTCGGGTACTCCCAAAGTCTCCTGACCCGACTCTTCTCATACGTCTGCCCACACTCACAGGATGGCAGCTACAATTCGTGCGAGGACTCCCAAATGGACGGTGGTTGCATGCTTTGCGACATGAGAGATCTAGCGCAATGTGCAACGGTCACCCGCCACTGGGCCCCAGCTGCACAAAGTCTACTGTGAGTTGGAAGCCAATAGTACATCCCGACCAATCCGTTGACAAGAGCCCGCGACGCAGGTATCAGAATGTACGTCTAGATTCTGTCCACTACTGTAATCGAGAGCCCGACTTGGTTGCAGGAAGACGAAGATCGTCTTTCGGCAGTCACGCTGGCAGTCTTCGAGATCCCGCAAAAGAACGCTTACAGCTTTTCGCTCGCACTGTGAGGGAAAGGACACCCTTAGCAGATCATGTGCAGACATTGAAGCTACCATATATGACAAGAGAGAATGCTAAGGCCGATTTGGCCCGAGCCGTGTCGGTGCTACACAATCTCAATTACATTGACTTGCCAGAGGGTGTGTTCAGCAACAATCCGACATCGAGCGTGCTCCTTGAAGAATTGCGAGTATGCTGTCCAAACCTACGTTGGATGAGATATGCCTCTGGTGCTGAAGAGACCTTTGCTGCTTTGGGTCTGTGTGATCATTGGCGTCGTCTCGAACAATTGCAGCTCCACCATCTCGCTGCGGACACAGACACTGTTTCCAAGGTTTTGTCATCCTTGCCTGCTCTTTCCGCCGTGGAAATTAAGGGACTTCCATACTTTGACGACTCAAGCTTCTTGTCGCAGGTAGGGTCGTCTCGCTTCCCACCTGTGACAAAAATGCATCTTTACGACCTTCCAACTTTGACGATAAACGGCCTGGCAAGCTACCTTTCCGAACCTCGCGTCCGGAATACGATTTCTTCGTTGACACTTTCGAACACTGGCATCGAGATCTCAATCCTTCATACAGTACTTGCCCTGTGTCCAAAACTTGAAACGCTACGGGTCGTTCAAAACGTCAAGAGACCCTTTCCGTTAAAAAGTATCCCAAGCCTCGAAAGTCCATCTCTCAATACTTTTCATTATGAAATAAGTACTACAAACTCCAGTGGATACAACGCTTCGGCCCCCATAGACAGCTACTATAGCTACCTGGCAAAATCAGTCCTAAGCAGTTCACTCCCCTTACTCAGTGAACTGTATGCGCTTTCCGAGCGCCTGCCATTCCTTCTTTCTCCTGGGCCTGGTAGCAGAAGAACTTCAGCCGGTGTCAATGAATTATCAGAGTTGGCAGAAAATTTCACTCAAAGACTGAATCTCTATACCAAATCCGTCAGTGAGCTGGAGTGGAATCTGACCGTTATAAACCCCACAAGTGCCAATCACTTCCGAGACTATTCGCCACGTACAAGACCGCTGAGTCTTGCGAATCCTCTTCCGTTAAGCCCACAATGGCGGGATCCTGCCCGCCAAAGTGTTGTGGTTGGCAACGGATTTGGTGGATATCTCACTGTCCCCGATCAATCGGGAAGACCTACGAGTCCAGGTCAGAAATCTCTCCGGAAGGAACCAGATGCTTGGATGGGCTGACTGATGCCTCTATGCGTTCGAAGTGAGAAAATATCTCAGCTGGCCGTTACCAAACAATCTGCACTAAGCGTAGATGTTGATTGAAACCCATAGAAAGTGGTCCTTTTTGGATCCCTCTGTAACTGAACCCAATCACCGAAAGTCAGAAGTTCCTTATGCCTCTAGCCCACTTCCGAGCTCTACTTTCATCCATGCACTGTCATCTCTTTGTAAATGTGTACTTACTTTATGATCTTTGCTCCGTAGAATTTGTAGACTCTGCCACTGCAACCCGGAGAACGCAATGATACTGTTAAATGCGTCATCCCGCTTCTTCATACCTTCAACATGTATCCCGCTGCCGTTTAAACGCTTGATTTCAAGCCGATCCGGGAGCGAGAGCAGCTTAGCAGCTCTAGTCCCTTCACTCTTCCTCAGCTCCTTTAAATCGAGGAAGGACATTCGCCAGGATTCCGCCCGGCCGATACTATTGACGAAGCGAATGCCTTTTGAATACACAATGAGGCGCCCCAAAGAACCGCCAGAGAGACCACGAAAAGAACGAATATCACTGCCTTCAAGAATGCTTGTTGTGGAATTCACGCTGTGCCAATCATCGTCAAAGGACTCGTCGTCAGGTGGATCAGATAGACCGCTGTTAATCGTGATTTGAGGTACCGAATGATTATCGCCAATGTACTCATTATCGACTTGTCCATTGACCTCATTGATGTGAACTTCCTCAACTTTCTGCCTAATCATGTCCTCCCGGGCAATCTGCGCTTGCTTTCTCAAATACTGAAATGACCATTCCGCATGGGTTGGGATGTCCCAAAAAACCCATTTGAAAGGGGAAACGAGATAGCGATACTTGGGATATCTAAAAGTATTAGTGAAAGATAAAGCAAGGATTTTACAGATATAAATTACAAGCTCGAGATTGGCCAGCAGAGGAAGAAAGTGCCGCCACCTATGAAGAAAACGATCTTCATGCAGTACTCCATATCCGCAAACAGGGATACCAGAAGACACGACGTGAAGAAGCTGATAGAAGCCAAGGTTTTGCGAGGGGATCTCCAATGATAGAAATTTTGCATCACCTCGAGCAAATTGGCGAGGTCGCTAAGTTGCAGTTGAGCATAAGGACCGACCTCCTCTAGGACGGGCTCTAGCCAGTCATGGCCCCCGTGCCTGTCTATGAGTTCGACGATTTTGCTGGCTCTTTTCCTACTATCTAACGCCCGTTGAGTGGTAGCCCTTATCGCATCAACGTTTGTAGGCGCGTAGTAATTTCTAACGACAATGTATATGATGTAGCCGTACTGTAGTCTTAGTCAGGTTAGCCCACGCTACAATGGCTGAGGAGCTTACGATGAAGCCCATAACATGCTGCGTGTACCAAAGGACTAAGTAAAGAGCGAACCAATTTCCCGTCGTCGTTTTATTTTCCCAGCGATAGACGGAACGGACATTCATAATCCATGACTGCCACGGCGCGCTTGCCACGAGCAGCCGTTCAACATAATGCCTCGAGCTATCAATATCGAATGGTAGTTGTTCAATATCGTCGATGTATTGTGCGCAAAAATCTTGTGTGTAGTAGAGAAGATTCTTGAGATTTGCGTCAGAGGCAAGAGTATCATCTCGTGATATTATCGGTCGGAACTCACGAATCCAAGCCATTCAAGCCATTTGTACCCTTTGTAAATTCCTCTCTGATCAATGATCTTGAAGTATTGGTCCTCCGGAAAATCGATGTGCCTCTTGGGAACTACGCGCACTCGTCGGACGTGCCTACTCGTCGACCACGCGGCGCGCATGCTATCCCGGTGCTCTTCCATCTGCCGAACCCGGTCTCTGCTCCCTCGAATAGAAGCTGCATATTCTTCGTCAGACGTGTTTTCCAGCGATGAGCTTGATGATGCAGCCCTTTTCAGGTTATCATGAGCCTGTAACAAATCAAGGTCTGCTTTTTGTGATAGGTAAGGACGTTGAGCCTTTGAAAGTTGGGCTGCTGTAGACTTGGTGGCTTTACTCTTTAATGCATCCTTTGGATGCACGATACTCTTGCCTATCGTCTGAACGGCGCTTAAAGTCCCTTCTGCTACACTCTTGACGTTGCGACGTCGCTTCTGCGCAAGCAGCCTTTGACTGAAAGCTGGATCATTCTGCAAACCCTCCTCAACATTCACACTCTCCGCAAGGCCTCCGTCTTCCTCGGCAACTCTGGCCTTGAAAATTCGTTTAGTTCTTTCCTTCGTTTCCTTTGCAATCTCCGAAAGCCGACCACGCTTGACACCGTTGACAGGATGATCAGTATCGGTGTCAACATTTTCAAGATCGGCTAGGCTAGAGGCGGGCGTTGTAGCTCCGGGCCTTTGGATGTAGTCCGAAGTGGACTCAGAAATGCTAGCTTCCTCTGTAGACTCCCACGATTGTCGCTGAAGCATGATCTTGGAATTTGGCCTTGATCCAATCACGCATGATGGAACTGCTCGCGCAAATTTAGATCTCGAATAGCACCATAGAGTGACGATAGTGTTCCATGGGTCAATCGGCTTGTCTACCTTGCCAGCGACAACGAATTAGACGATGAGGGTCGTATGAGACTTGCACGTCAGGCATTCTGACTAGACTCCAAGCTGATCGCGAGCGGGAGCTTGCCATATAGCAAGAGGCTCCTCTGTCAACAGGTTTTTGGAGTGGCAAGTCTCGAAGAGATGATTGGTGGATCTGCTTGGAATGCGCCGAATCAAGGTTTCGTCAGATCTGGTTTCTGGACCTTAAAATTACACTTGTATCTCAACTAGATCGTTACAAGATACAACTTCAGAGACGATCAACATTCATTGATGCCCTTAGGTGCGTTCATGAGGTCGCACTGATTATATGACGTTTAGATCTCTTGCTTCGCCATGTCCATCATATGCGACTCCCCTCAAGTTCCACACCGGCTCGCCTGTTTGTACATTGCCACCCTTGTCCGTCGCTCGAGAAAGCAAGCGTTGCGTTCCCCTCTGTGCCCGTACCGAAACCATCCACAGAGACCAAGCCCATTTGCTCTCCGACTCCCCACCCGCCAAAATGTTGCATTCTGTCCACGTTTGGCCAATATCAGTAGAGACTTCAACTTTCACCACTGGACCTTGGTTGCCTTGCGGTATTGCATAACCCTTCACCTCCAACGTATCATCGGAGTTCAATCGCACGGTTTGACCACTTTGAGGAATCGCGATCACCGAGTTGATTGGCATATCTTGCAAGGCAGGTGTAAGCTCCCAATATTTTCTCGCCGCTTCGACATCCGTTGCTTGAGGGGGCAATCGTTTGTAATCAAAGCGCTGATAGTGATTTGTAGATTCGTCTCGTTGAACGGTTATTCTTTCGAGCCACTTCACGGAGCCTAAGCCGATCTTGCTTTCAGCACGACTCTCTCCGGCGCTCTAGGCCACCAAATGAACAAATGTTGCTCCAATCGTCTGCTCAGACGCGCCAAGATCTCTTCTAGGGAGGTACTTACGGCAACCTGATACACCGGGTACTATAGTCCTGACTGGGTATCCATGATTCGCAGACAGAGGTTTCCCGTTCATCTAACGAATTTCAGCGTCGTTCCTGACGTCCAGACTATCACCTGAACTACCTCTAAAGCCAACAGCACATCAGCTTCTTCTTCCAGGGCTCTTGCTAGCTCGATTGAGCTCCCGTACCAATCTGTGTGTTGCACTGGGGTCTGATAGCACGCAAACGCGACGTGGCCGGCCTTTGCTCTGATTCCAGCTCGGCTGAGGACATCCCTGAGTTTCGGCCCCTTCCAACGGCAATTCATGATCGCCCCATCTGACCTAAACAATTACCTTTCAAAGTATAGGCTTTCACGAAAACCAGTCTCACCAATCGATCCCACTGACTTCTTTGAGTAAAGTTCGCATAGAGTGTCGACGGTTACCGGCGCATTGAAGCGCAGAAACGATCTCATGTTGCGTGAACCGTGTTCTCAGCTCCTCAACCGATAGTTCTAGAATCGTATGAACGTCGCCATCAACGTGAACAACGTGATCATCGGCGTTCAAGTGAGGTATAGGCCCATGATTCCTGTCATAAGCACCCTGCTCTGTAATGAAGCTTGCAACATTGGCTTAATGTCCAGAACAACTGCAGTAATAATACCTCTCTGTAAGTTTCTGCACTGGAGGCTCCCTGTTTAGAGGTTCTTCCACAGAGTACTCAAATCGCATTACGAGATTGTAATGCTGGTCTTCTTTCGACTTTTGTAAGATACCATGAATGTCCTATTGCGCGTTGATTTAACAACTGAACGCCTTGCGCAATACTCTCTTCGTGAAACACGGATGTGCAAGTGGTGTTCTGGAGTAGTATCGCGCTCATGACGCCATTAGTCGGAGGAATTCCGCATCCGCGTTGTCTAGACTACGTCTCCTAATAAACAAACACAGAGGTCAAATTTAATTGAATGCGCGAATGTCTCTGCAATGAACGACAACCCGCATACAATTTGTACCGGAGGTAGATATGTCTGCAAGCGAACATAATTTGCACTTCGACTCTGCTCTTCTCTTGATCAGGACACCTGGGCCAGCCGAGCATGGCCGACCAATACACTGTGTTAGAAGAATTAGGCAGTCAGTGTACTAACACTGCGGCCGTTCATATATGGCTGACTAGTGTCTACGTAGGTGGCAGCTTCGGTGTTGTCTACAAAGGGATTGAGAAAGCGACTGGTGATGTTGTTGCGATCAAACATGTAAGACCTACGTGGGAAGACTGCGTCGCCTTGTGATTACTCCTTGCTCATGGGAACAAAGATCGATCTCGAATCAAGCGACGATGATATACAAGATATACAGCAGGAGATCTCTGTACTGAGCACTTGCCATAGTCCTTTTGTAACACAGTACAAAGCAAGCTTTCTTCGAGGGCATAAATTATGGATCGTGATGGAATTTCTCGGCGGTGGCTCCTGTCTGGACTTGGTGAGTGATCGATTGAGCAAAGAAACCTGGTTTAAGAGTTAATATTGACCTTAGCTGAAAACGGGACCCTTCACGGAAGCACACGCTGCGATCATATGTCGCGAGATACTCTTGGGACTAGATTATCTGCATCAAGAGGGGAAGATCCATCGAGACATTAAGGCTGCAAACATACTCCTGGCTCAGTCCGGAAGAGTTAAACTTGCGGATTTTGGTGTTGCTGCACAACTTACGAACATCAAATCACAGAGAAATACTTTTGTTGGAACACCGTTCTGGATGGCACCTGAAGTCATACAACAAGCGGGTTACGACTTCAAAGCAGATATCTGGTCATTAGGTATCACTGCAATCGAGATGATCCAAGGAGAGCCCCCTAACGCCAGCACGCATCCAATGAAAGTTCTATTCTTGATTCCCAAAGCACCTGCACCAAGGTTGGAGGGGGCGCGTTCAGTCGAGAGTTCAAGGATTTTGTAGCCGCTTGCCTGGTGAAAGATCCAGACCGGAGGCCAACGGCGAGTGAGCTCTTGCAACATCGATTTCTGAAAAGCGCCGGTCCAATTGAGGACTTGCAAGAGCTTGTAAGGCAGCGGCAGAGTTGGGACGTGCGTCAGGAGAGAGTCCTGCATCCGAAATACTATGAGGAGACAATGAATTCGCTCGGTCCAGATACGGATCAGGACGGCTGGGTTTTCGACACCATTAAAGGTCCAGTAGTCTCAATTCGTGAGGTCGGAGAGACTCAAACACAGAAGCGTCACAAGTTGCCGCGGACTCACGAGAGCGCCTCTGAGACTTCAACTAAATTCGAGAAGCTCACCATCCAGGATGATCCTCTGATTGAGTCGAGAACAACAAAGACTGTTCAAAAACAGACCCCCATCAAGCGTTCGTGGGCCGAGGAAAGCCCAAGCTCGACGAGACGCAGAGACTCGCTACAGAGACAGCCGCTTGCCCCGAGCTTGAATTTTGGCAATATTTCTTCGACAATACGACAATTTCGAAGGGTGTCTGATAAGAATACCGAGCAGGCGAAGGGGCTACCTAACTCTGTAGATGAAAACCAGCACCCAGCAGCAGAGCCTGCAACCAAGGGAGCAATGCTCGGTAGAAGGGCACATTTGAAAGCGATTCATCCAGCATTTCAAGAGATCCACGCACAAACCAGGAGCCACGTCAAGCAAGAGCTGCTTTCCCGTGTCGCTTTAGCATGGGACGCTTTGAACCAAAATGACGCAGAAGGAGGATACTTGTTCTTGAGCTCTGTTATTCGGAAAGTCCAGGAGTAAGTCGCGATGCACAACTTACATTCTTATACTAAATCATGTTCAGTGATCCCCAGCTAGCCTCGCTTCTTGCTCCCTCGCAGCCAAATTCGCCTCAGCCAAAATTGATTCTCGCCCAAAACAACCCTCATTTGAAGAGTCATAGAAGGCGTCGGTCATCTTTACTCCCTCCTAATGATAGCCACTGGCCAGAAAAGCAGTCAAATCTTCCAGGGCAACTCATCCCGGGCATGGATCACACAAAGCAACTAGCTGATGTCCTATATTCAAAATGGACAGAGGGACTGAAGAATCGGTGGCCTAATCTATGATTCGAGGCTTTCAGCCGGTAACCACGTCAAACGGGCAGTTGGTCCTTGGCGGTCTTTGGGTAGCATCACTGGCTGGAAGGCGATTTGTACCACAACCATTTTCAATTCTTGACCATACTTAGGGATTTGGTAAATACATGGCCGATTCGATGATCCGTCGACAAGCATAGCAAAGGTGTAAATGTCAATGTGCATAGCCGGTAGTGTCCTCCATAAACTAGATTTAGATAAGTTGTGAAATGAACCAATGAGGCAAAGTATTAGTGGCCAATCACCATGCACGAGCTGCAGACGACGAAATGTCCTGCTAGGTCCACTGGTAGAGGCTCCGCTGTCTCACTCTGCCTTTCGATCACTACTGAATTCTTCAATTGTCTACCCTCCTCTTCTGCGAAACAGCATTCTCCGTTGCTATGGCCGCTAATGGTTCACCTCTGTTAAAGACCACCAGTGTGCCCTCAACAATACAGGAATCGCACCGCCCTAGTCTGGATCTCTGTTCAACTATATCCTCCACCAATTCTAACAGCAGCGGCAGTCGCATTCACACACCCTCGTCCTCGGTTCCCAACACACCGTTGCTTCCGACGCGTCTCTCATCTCCAGAAAGGCACCCGTTGCGCATTGCTGGGCCTAGTAACTTCCTCACCGCTCTCGCTGCGCAGGAAAGAAAAGTCTTAGAGCTTAAAGAGGATCTCGTGAAGGCTGAATTAGAACTCGATGAATTGAAAATTCAATGGGCTGCACACGAAGCAGGCACAAAGAAGAACGAGCTACAGGAATTGGGACAGTTGCAGCGAATGAAATCTTCGCTTCAACGTACTTCGGCTACACAAGAACCTTCATTTCGAGGGCATCGAGATACAGATCGACGAAGGGCAGGCTCGCAGCGCAAAGTGTTCGCTGGATCTCGGCACGCCCGTACGCTATCCCTCCTGTCTCCACAAAGCTCGTCAATAGTGCCGTTGCCGCTGGCTGCAGTGGGTCCTGTCAAACCCCAGACAGAGCATACAAAGAAAGAGGGGAAGTCCACTCATACACTACGAAGACCGTTGAGCGTCTATGGCACCCCCACTGAGATATACAAATCTACGGACAAGGACGCAATCTTAGAAACAGGGTTACAGCTCGTTGGAGATTTTCGGCAAGGGTTGAAGACTTTCTTCGAAGATCTAAAGCAAGTCACTTTCGATGATGTTTCAAATATGTCGGACAGGAGAGCACCAAATGTGCCATCCAAATCCGGCACTCGGAAATCCCAGACTGAGATTCTCAGCGTCTCGAAAGTGGGTGAAGAGGGCAGATCAAAGCTGCAGACTAAAACGCATGAACCAAGCGCAGCTTCAATCAGCGACGTACAGAAAACCACTGCTTTGCCTGCCCAACCACGTACGCCTCTCAAAAATAATACTGCAGTCGTTGCGCAAAGCTCCCCTAGTGTGACCTCAGGTGATTCCGACGATGGGTGGGATAATTGGAATACTCCTGAGACCAGGCTCGACACTTCCAACCTTCAGCTCAAGGAAAGCGTAATTCCGCCATTGACAGGAGGTAGCACGCCGCGTTCGAGTATCAGGTAAGTCCTGAATATATCCGTCGCTACTCAGCTGAAAGGGTTTCAGCTCTGCTGATGCAACTCCGCGACCAAAGGCCCCGCCGAGTATAGTCGAGCGAGACCATGAGAGACATTGGGCAGCCTTTGCAAAGCTGTCCCCGAGCAAATTGACTGAGACTGCGACAAATCTAATGGATGATTGGGAAAGAAGTTTGCACTCTCCAGATTCTGGGGCTTCAAGCCACAGAACAAATGGCAAGAAAAGTGACAAAGCGGACTGAATAATGCCGCACCACCCGAGGAATAGATCTGCTTAGGTAATGTAGGATATAGATCATTGAAGATCATTGTGGACCTCGCCATGGGAAGGTGAATACCCTTGCAACAGTCGTACGCATCTTACCGAGCAACCCTACGTCGGCTCGATCGCCACATCTGAAAGTAATGCTTTGCACCATCAAGGAAATTACTATTCTCTTTCTCGCACACGCTAGGGTGCAGATATCCCTATCAAACGTCCGTTGCAACTCAAGTATTTGAAGAGGGCAGCTCTATCCTCTCGGACTTGCGAACATCGATCATCAGCAAGGAACATCGTTGAGAAGCTCCGATTGGTGCAAGTGAGCAGAGTGGCGAGCTTGGAAAGTGCAACCTCAATCCAAATGGACTGCACCCATACTTTGTTCTGGGAGGTCGATGCGACTATGGAGAGCTCCAAGGATTTTCAGGTGGGGCTTTATGTGTATACACGCGCTTCCGCTGCTTGGATGTTGAAGTAAGATTCTTGGGAATGCATGCTTGAAACCGGTGGCGTTGTCTGCATTGTCGCTATCAATCTCACTACCGGGGCTACCAGCGCATCCTGCGCGTGTTTGCATTAGCCCCCTCTATCAGCTCTGGCTTACGCCGCCTAGTTTTTCAGATGGGATGCAAGGACAAAGCTTAAAAGGCGACAGGGCAGATCGCAGAGGATTGCAGCAAGGAGAAATGCAGCCAATGATTGATGAGGACGAAGATCTCCGAGATGAAAGACAGGGCATAGTGAGATCTTGCCTCTGCAGCAGAAGGCGACCAGGGCGCATAGAGGAGAAAGGCGACGCATGATGCTGAAGAAGTGCCGCAGTGTAGGGTTTGAACGATCAAAGCATTCAAGCGCACCTTGATTGAAGATGCCTCCGCTCCGAGACAGGCATCAACACTTCCTGTGGGTTCTGAAAGTAGCATTATTGAAGATAGTCCAGCGATGGTTTGGGTAGTGGGACGGTTGGGATGATGGATGATGGATGATGGTTGATCTGTGCCTTAAGGTTGATCGACGTGTGGAGCCGGGAAAGCAGGGGACGCTAAAGGGCAGCTGCCATTTATTACCAATTACCAATTACCATTCTCATTACCTACTACCCTGTGCTAGCAGGCCCAGATCCATTACCTTACATTCACCCCGTACTCTGCAGTCGCGTGTCCCGATGTCTCTGCATACGCAATACGCTGTCCTTCCCATCTCCTCCCTGTCCACCTCGAGGTCTTAGCTCTTCTTCACTGCCGGGGAGGACTGATGCATCGAGATCGTATCAGATTCAGGAAAACCAACTCTAGGAAGCCGATTGTGCAACGCCCCTCACGAAAGCCGACAGCATTGTTGCTTCCTCGGCTTTGAAAGCTTCTCACCCTCCTATACTTTCCCAAGCGTTTTAACATAAGCTACTTGAGCCAGTCTATTGGCCTTGTCTTCGTTGACTGTCGCCCTTTGACCCACTCAGGGACCGCTATCTACTCGGTTAGAAGTGAGACTTCACAGAATCTGCTGTTGCATCCAGCGCGCTGCACAACGCCCTCGGATACCGTATTAAATTGATCGTTCAAATCTGGCTGCTCAGGATTCAGCCTCAACGCTAACTGGATCTTACTATGCCCTGGAAGAAAGTCTCTTGATTGACCATTTGGGGAGGGCAGGGTCACCAGGGTTGTCAACCTGCAACCCGCAGTCACCAAGGTCGTCTACCGAAGAACCCATGCGGTATCGCTTGGAGGTAAATTCTAGCGTCGTCAGCTAGGCCGCATCCGTCGTGTACGCAGGATCACCCTTGGGAGGTCTTATGTCACCTCGGACTTATATTGGTCCATTTGGGAGGATTCTGCCTCTTCCTGAGGGTTCTGAACCAGAACAACAGCTTCGTGATGCAGTCGAGGATCGCACAGAGCCTCGCCTTCCTCAACCTGAGTTAAACTTTGGTAGCGACACAACAATAGGCCCGAGTGATCCGACGAGGTGCAACATTGGTAATCAATCTTGGAGGAAAGATGAGCTAGCGCTTCCGTACGGAGGTCCTAGGATATTTGGGACAGATACATTGCCCCCCGTGAGGCAGTTGCTTACTCCTGGATCTCATCCAAGTATACCAACCTCGCCACTTCCTCCCTCTCAAGATTCCGATACTCCTCGACCGAACGCTCATCAAGGGTCAGGCGACTCAAGGCAGTATCCGCTTGGAACAATCATGCCTCCACAAGGCTCATTTCAGGAAGCATCCAATATTGCTTTTGGTTCACATCCGTCTAGCATGATGCAGGGTGATAGCCATCTGTATTCTCCATATTCAAATCTAGACCTCAATTCTCGAGGCTCGGTTCCCCTCAGATCGCCATTTTACCTATCTCCCCAGCAACTTCCGCAGGGGACTTCCTTCCAGCATGGGCCAGCATTCGCCCAGCACTCCGAGATACCAGCACAAGCTTCTTCGCATTTCACTTCGCATTATGCTCAACCTGTATCACCCCCGTACCAGATTTCGAAGCGAGAGCCCGATGAACGCGCCTTTACTAGTGCTACCTTGAAGGAGGCTTCCCCATCGCAAGTTTCACCAAACGAAGTAAAGCCGATGCCGAGGGTCATGCGAGAAGAGATTCGCCCTGATCAAGGCCCGGTATGGGTCTACGAGGACGGTACCACCTGCCCGAAGCTCATCAACGGCGAGCTCGTGAACGCGGACTGGGGCGTAACAAAGGCCGGCAAACCTCGAAAGCGTCTTGCTATTGCCTGTACCTCATGTCGTGAGAAAAAAATCAAATGTGATCCGGCAGAGCCAAAGTGTGCCCAATGCAAAAAACTTGGCAGAGACTGCAAATACTCGACTGTGTAAGTACTCTTCCTATTCAAAGCGTGTGCGGCTGTCACTTCTGGAAATTGGGCAAGCACGTAGATTTTGACAATTTCAGATCACACCTTTAATTGCATACACCCCCCATTTCGTTGTACTGATGCATTCTTCAGACCTCGTCATCCACACATCAGATCAGAGTCCCCTTCTTACAAGTCCCAGGCGCACACTAAGTTCGTGAACGGCAAGACCGATTCGAAGCCATTTGACGATCATTACGAAGGAAAAGATCTTCCCTGGAGTGGCAAAGTGGAGAGCCTCACGCCTCAGCACAAGCCCATTACCGTGCCAGCTGTAGACGAGGGTCGGCAGAGCCTCAAATTCGCAGATCTCAGCCCTTCTATAAAAAAGCGCAAGCTTTCCCCGCCGACATGCCTTCAAGATTTGCCAGATGATAGTAAAGGCCCCGACATCTGCAACAAGGCGACTGGAGGAGCGTCCCCATTTACCTACAGCCAGACGGTCAGTCGTTCTGAGCTTTGTACTGGTGACTTTGGCGGCAGCATTGAAACATGGTTCTTGAATCACTACCTAGAACTTTTCTTCACCAATGTTGGTATTCATAGCAAGCCTTATCTCAACCAAGTAGTATTCATGGAATGGCTCAATACAGATGAGGCCAAATTACCCAGGTCTCTCATCTTCGTCCACGCCATTTTGGCGGTAGGGACAACGTTCTCGAAAAAAGAAGAACACAAAGCACATGGAAAGTATTTCAGCGAGGTCACTAAGAGGGCTCTGAGCAATCCTCAAGACGACGATTGCTCCCTGCTCTCGCAGACTCGCCTGTTCCTCGCGCTGTATTATATGGCGTCGGCTGATTGTAGTGAAGCTTGGAGCTTGGCAGCGTCTAGTCTACGTGTCAGTATAAAATCAGAAATGACCAAAGAACACGCGCAGGGCATTGGATGAGAAGCAACGACTATTGGAAGGAAACATCAAATGATGCAAGGAGACTAGGTGAAACATGTTACAAACAGCAAGAATACTAGTTGTTAATGTTACATGACATTGCTAAAAGCTTTACCCAGCCACGTCCCAGGTCCCCTCTCCAAATGGTGTGTCTCCTTTTTCGTTTTCCTCCTGTCGACTATAGGTCTTGAATCATCCGCCTTGTGTTACTGCATGCTGGAGGGCAAGCTACCAGGCGCATACTGGCTCGGCGCAACGAGATCGATCATTGGGGTTTTGGTATCCCTATGGCTTGTCTTCACCCTGCGTCCATGACCTATACCATCCTGACTGACAGTTTGATTGCGTAAGAGGCCGCTTGGGAAGGGGTTCGAAGTGGATGATTCCGGTTGCTGCCTGGCGGAAGTCTTCAGAGGAGGGCTACTATCGCGAGGTCTCCGTAAGGTCCCTGACCGTTGGGGACTGCTAGCTGGCGGAATATCTATAGCTCTTTCTGGACTAGTCGCTGCCTCTATCAAGCCACCGGCTGGTATTTGGTCGGGGATCATTCCCCGGCCTTTGCGAAATTGAGGTGGCTCGAAGTTTGAGGGAGTAAGATCGACCAGCGGTCTCTCGTTGGGCTTCCGAGACAACGTACGATTCAAATTATTACCGCTGTCTCGACTGTACCTGGGGGTTACAGTTTGACCTGAACTATCACGTGCTTCACGCTCGTGCTGAGCATTCTTCCGCACGGTATACGATCGACCTAGCAGGCCCGTCGAAGCAAACGGTTCAGAGTCTATTAGATCTATTGGGGGAGGGGCTTTAGCAGAAGTGTTCATTACAGAATCACCACGGAGACGGGTGCCAATGCCTTTCGAGGGCGTATTGCGGGACAACCCTTGCGATAAGTCAGGCTGACCGATGCCTCGCCTGGTAGGGAAATATTCTCGAGGAGGTTTTTCTGGCTGCTTAGAGCTCACTGAAAACCCCTGCATCTTGTGTTGCTGTGTGCTTGCACGCCTTGCAGTGTGAGAGTATCTGTCTGCGACGCCTTCTGGCAGTACTGGGTCTTGAAAATTTTGTTGTCGGTTGCTGTGGTGTGGCACTTGGCCATCAGTTCGCACTCCTTGTCCTTCGCCTAGGATATTCACAAGATACCAACTTCGCCATTCTTGAACAGCTGAATACCATTGGTCTGCTGAGGCTTTGTCTTTTGTGGAGAAAAAGTGAACAAAATTTTCTGTGCTTAAGAACATTGCTGACTTTTGTTGGCTTTTGATCGCAAAACAAAATTTCTTAGGAGGTTTGATCTTCTTCGATAATTGTCTCTTGGTTGGAAGGTAAATGTCGAAATCCGAGAGATGGCAAATGTTCGTTGAGGAACCCTTGTTTGATGTGAGGATTTGACCATCGGCTCTGAGGGAAACTAATCGCTTATCCCAATGACTCGGTCTTTGAGAATAGTAGAGTTGCATAGAAGACTCTACGGGTGGTTGCTTCAGCACCCGCTTCGAATTAAGATCATCTCTTGCGTTCTTAGCGGTGGATGGTATAAGGAGCAAGGCATTTTGTGCGTCGTTATCCCACGAATTCAAGACATCGCGAATATGCTCATATTTCCTTATTGGCCGCTCCAAGCCTAGCTGTCTAAATGACTCCAGAACAAGCGTAGTATCGACATCCATGCGAAGTCGGAGCTCAGACGCGGCAATATTAATAACGTCGACAGGTGTCGTAGAGGTAGTGACTGGAACAGATACGACGCTTTTCAAATACTCCACAGCAACTCTACGCTCTCCAGCATTAATAGCAGATATGGGAGCGTCAAAAGCTGGCTTGCTGATGGGGCCATGTACCCTTTGATTGGTACTTGGTTTTACCCCTTCCTGTGCCTTGACATGCTGGACTTCATGAGGACTAAGTCTGGGTTTGAAGGGGGATCTACGTAACCAGTGCTTGTCTTGAGAGTTGGCTTCGTCGCCTGTGACATTTTTTGTATCAACTCGAAGAGGTGCAGCCACCTCTTTTGCATCTGTGGACCCCGACTTCCGCCTACGATGCGCAATCTTTGTACTCTTTTGCTCACGACGCTCAGGAGGGATATTAGACAGGTGAGCTAGAGAATCTAGCTTCAACACCTGGAGACCGTCATCAATCTTGCTTTTCATCGCTTGAGTCGATTGATTGCGCACCCCAGAGTGGGTCGCAGTGGGACTCCATGGAATTTCCGTGTTGACTGGGTCCCCAAACGGATTGGACTCTTCCGGCAGGTGCATGGACTGCTGGACATCGGAGAACGTGGGTCGTGGTAGTACATTTTTGTGATGGCGAGATCTTGCGCTGGTTTTGAGCGTAGCCGTACGATCGACAGAGCTCGTCGCCAGGCCCCCGGGAGTACTTCCTGCTTGCTTCCCCAAGCGATTTCCCTTGTATCGAGATCTACTTCTAGCAAGAGCGCTGTTTGATTCCATCGGAGGAGCCTCGGGTGCTTGAAACATGTTTGTGAGCTCGCAGGATTGCCCGTGTTAGCTAGAAGCTACGGCTTTGCTTGCGTCGATATTTCGACAGTCGGTGCGGTTTACCTGGGTTGCGAAGGTAGCCTGGGGGAGACATTGGTAAACAGAACCGCTGGGCGTAACCTCGTTCCCTTTTCACCTCAGCATTTGGGTTTTGTGCAGATAGGGGTTGTCGTACTATCTTATAAGCTTAACGATGGTGCAGGGGCCCAAGCGAGCGAGGGTTGGTTGGTCTGAGCGCAGTGAGCGTGGCCTCTAGTAGTGCTTGAGCGATGCCTGCCCCGAAGAGTGCCTGCCACGCTGGGGGAGCCCTCAGATGCCACTAGCGTCCTCGCTTAGTTTGCAAGGGCCATCTCTTGCCCGGCTTTCGGTTGATTGTCGGCTCAGCGATTGTCTTGGCATGGGTATAATAATCTCCAAAGCTCCCGCCCCTTCACTCTTTCTCTTCATTCGAGTGCATGGGCTTTACACGCATCAATGAGGATTCGTCCGAGATCGTGTTTTTGCTAGTTGAAAACTATAACTATGACCGCTCCTTATGGTCTTCGGATCGTATGGGAATTTTTGGAAAAAAAACTTCAGTCCTCGGACTGGTATATCTTTTCATTGGGGTTAGCTCTTAAAGGGCTACTCTGAAGAAGAGAAGAATTTGCTTGAGCTATTCGGTCAAGTGCATAAGCTAGAGAAGTAGAGTAAGCATAAGGGAGTAATCCAGTAGTAACAAATCATACCATAAGGTTTTTAAGTCAAGATTAATGCTGCGTCCTACAAGTATCGTCTTTGTAGACATTGCCATGGCGAAGACCGCTGTCGTCACGGGCGCAACAGGTTTCCTAGGTCGACAAGTGCTTCAAGTGTTCTCCTCAGCTGGCTGGAAAGCTATCGGAACAGGTTATTCAAGAGCAAACCCTCCCACTCTCCATAAGATCGATTTATCCGACGCGGATGCCGTGCGGTCATTGCTGGATGAGATCAAGTATGACACTCTGTTCCACGAGCACTGCAACAGCCATCAACTGACGACTCGGTGGGGTTAGACCTGACGTTCTCATTCACTGTACACATGAAATTGTGATGATCGTGAACGTACCTTAAAATGGCTGATGTAATGAGAAGGCGCCGCCAATCGCTTTCCAGACAAATGCGACCAAGATCCAGACGGAGCCCGTAGAATCAATGTTGAGGCAACTCAGCACCTCGCACAAGCCTGCAATACACACTCAGCTCTTCTGATTTACATTTCTACAGACTACGTTTTCCCTGGAAGACCAGGTGAAGCGCCTTATGAAGTGGAAGCGGATCCAGAGCCAACGAATCTATACGGGCAGACTAAGAGAGATGGAGAAAGAGCGATACTAGAAATCACGCAGGATACGGCTTTGGGTGTCATCGTACGTTTGTTCTTATGCTCAAAATCGGTCTCGCAACATTCAAAATTTGCGACATCTCACCCCAGAAACGAGTTCCTAGATCCAAGGTGAGGCACGTCTGACGCTTTCAAATCATAGTTGAGGGTCCCCGTCCTCTATGGAAAGGCGAATCAGCCCAGTGAAAGTGCCGTCAATATTCTCCTTGATGCAGTATGGAAGGCTCAAGAGAATGGAGCTCAAGTCAAGATGGATCACTACGCACAGCGGTATCCAACCAATACCGAGGATGTGGCACACGTATGTCTCGACGTTGCCATCAAGTACTTAGACGCCAAGGACGAGAGGCAGTCGTTACCAAAGCTTCTGCAGTTCTCGTCAGAGGACAGGCACACCAAATATGAAATTTGTAAATTGCTTGCAGATATCATGGGCTTGCCGCTCGCTGGTATGATTGCTATCGGAGCAGATCCGAACGCAAGCGTGCAGCGGCCGTATGATACCCACCTTTCGACCAAAGCGTTGCAAGATGTGGGCATAAGTGTTCGCACTCAAGATTTTGAAGCCTGGTGGTGAGTTCTCGTCAGATGCGATGGATACCCGTGAGATACAAGGCTCACCATTCAATAGGCGACGAGAGGTCAAGGCATACCGGAAATGAAGTGAGCCTCTGTTGGTGAGTCTCGCGGTCTGAGCGGTCTCAATTAGACGACGATGAGAAATCTTAATCTTCAATTCTTTGTCTCAATTATAATCTTTCCTTTACTCTAGACCTCTGCATGGGCAATATAATGCTAATTCGACACGTCAATTCATCTAAAGCCGACCACGTCTCGTAGGATTGAGGTATGGTAGAAGCAATCGTTTTGATTTTGTGCATCAGTCGAATAGTCCATGCTAGCATTTTTGAGTTGGAACGAGCAGAAGTGTCGATTATTGGGTTTTGGCTTTTCTAATTGGCACACTTCTTAGACGCCAGGAAGCCTCCTGTCTTGCGAACACTGGAGCCGATCGTGTTGGTGGAAGAAATCAAACGAATTTGTCAACGGCAGCCTATAGAACCAAGTTGCTCGTAGAAGTCCCTTACCGAAGCGATCGCTAAGGCAAACCGAGTCAAAGGGTTGGCCATCCTTTTGATAGACTCGCGCCGGTTGGTGACCGTGGTGAGTATCTAATGAGTTGTTGGGGCACCTTCGCCTTAGAGAGATGACTCAGAAACACAAATAAGCTTTAGGCATGTCTTCTTCAAACTGTAAGCGATGTTTTCGTTGACAACACTGCAATTGGTGACGCTATACTCACAAAATGCCCTCCTCGATAGCACACTTAGAACCCATTCCCTCATGAATTCAGGTGCTGTTCTAAAGGCTGCGGTCTCTTTCTATTCCTAATCATCGAAGCCTGATCTGTGTTGCAATCTTCCTCTTAGAATTGATGCAACTCCATCTCCGATCAGTCTCGTATTTCCCATCTTAGCGATCAGCCAGTTCGTGAGTTGGAAGTAAAACATTGGCCGCGTCGCAATCAACAGGGATTCCAGGGAATCCATAAAGATAAAGAACAGTAGTTGGGAGTGCCTCAACAAGAGCACGCACTTCATGAAAAATATTGCATAAGTCGAAAAACAATTCTCAAAATTCATTTCATCAATTACTAGTCGTCCTCTAGCAATTCCTCTAGCACCGAATCTCTCTCGTTTGCCTTCTTAGCACCTTCGGGGCCTTCATCAAGACCATGATCATTAGTGTCGTCGTCTGAGGCCAAGTAGTCGGTCAATTTTGCTGGCTGCTCTATCTCATCAGCAGGAATATTTTGCTGATTGCTGCCTTCGCCTAGTGCTTTCTTTAGGACACCGTGTAACTTGTTGAGCGCCGTACGAGATGCAGCGTCGCCTGCAATCTTGTTATCGATGGCTTCATTCACCAAATCAGTAGCCTCCTGTAATCTCTCCTTCGCGCAGCTTGAAGTAATGTACAGCTTGCCAAGCATACTAACAAGTGCCTTGCGATCATTTTCTAAGCAATTGATTAGCAGAAAACCCCACAATCTCTGGCAAGGACTTACTGGAGCATCCGTGGCCTAGAACTCGTTCGAGGAGATTCACTGCTAACAGAAGGTGGGTGTCGCCATTGGCAACGCCATTTTGTTTCGGGCTAGACTCGTCCCGACCCTGTGCAAAATCATCATAGATTACGAGCTTCCTCGCATCGGTCCACTCAACAAGGAGGTTTCCGACCATATTGATGCTAATTATGTCTTCACATTCATCAATCTCCTCACATAGATCGAGAATTGAATGAAGGACGTTAGCGGCAATACGTGCCATACGCTCCATATTTTCTCTTCTACTGTAACAGTAAACCGGGATGGAATAGCTCAGTGCTTGCCTCATTGAGGCATTATCCTTAGAAGCGGGATCGAAGAACAAGATCACTGCCTGCTTCAGCAGATCTTCATCCGTAATCACAGACATGAGCATCAGCTTGCAAAGAGCCGTAATGGCAGCTGTTTGGACGTCGAACGATTGTTGCGCCTTGATTGCCTTACTGAGCATCTTTGCAATCGCCTTTGGCAGATCTGTGTTGATATCTTGAGCTGTGAGCAACGTTGGATGTGTTTCGAGTATGTCTGAAAGCGTGTGAATTGCGCTCACTTGTAAGGCCTCGTGCCCTTTGTTGAAGCAATGGAGAAACAAGGTTAGGTTCTCTTCTGCCAAATTCTGTATCTCAAAGTCAACATTGGTTTAATTGACGGGAAGATCAGGTAGATACCTTGTCCAATAAAGAGCATAGGCCTATGCAAATAAGCCCCTTCTCTCGGACCGGTGCTTCGTGGCTTCTCACGGCTGGAACCACAAGGTTGTTCAGCATCGTCACTAAATGCATGTTCGACTGCAAGGCCGCCTCCACATTTTCTAGCATGCACTGCGCGATGTGCAAACACTTCATATTGATCATGATTTCCCGGATGGCTTTTGCTTCGTCAACCTCTTCGGCTTCACTGCTTTGGCCTGGCGGGTTTTTCGTAGATATTTCGTCACTAAGCTCTGACTGAGCTGAGTGAAAGCTGGCTTCTTCATTATCTGCACCGTCCATGGCTATTGCGTCATGGACTTCAGCAATAGCTTCGAGGACAACCCCACAGAACTCTCGCTCTCCGCCAGCATCATTTCCACAAATGTCTCGAAGAACATTTACAATCAGATTGGTCGTCTCGTCGGGAAGCTCAGGAATCGCCAGACTTTCTCGAAGAAGGGAAAACATTTTTCGGCGGCCTATTTCATCACTGTAGTCGAGAGATTTAGCTATGTGCAGCATTTGCTCCACAATGAACTCCTGCTCGATAGTCTCTTCTCCTTCTTCGCCTTCGCTCAAGGCACTATTTCTCTGTAGCATATCATTGAGTTCGTTGATACTTCCTTGCAAGAAGAAGGCTAGCTTGGTTACCTCTGGCATTTTTCGCTCTATGAAGTCCTCATGATCGCCTTTGTCTTGATCGCGATGATAATCGTTCCACGATCTTGCTATGAAAGCGCTTTCCGGTGTCAGAGACATCCAAAATGAATCGGCGAAACCCAAGTCCTCGCGATAGTCTGGTCTGCCTTCCCAGAACTCCTTCATAGCTTCACTAGCAATGCCTCCTTCGACACCAGAGTTGACGATGTCGATTCGCTCCAGAAGCTCTGACAGTGCGTCTGCGCTTGGAGGATTGACTTGACCACATAGTCCATCAGGGGACTGATTTACTGGTCCCGCGCAGTCCTCGATCCATCGCTCTCGAAACAATCGTGCTGTGGCTTTCCTGACGTTTTCGTCACGGTCGCGAAGCCCCCAACGAAGCAGTTTTTCTCGCATTGACAACGAAAGATGTCGAAAATCCCCAAGAGCTGGAAGTAGTCGCGCGTACAAAGCCCGTCTGGTAGCAGGATCTGTATCTCTAGCCCTCTCTAAAAGATAAGGTAAGGTTGTGGGTGTCAAAGGGAGGTTAAGTAGTAACGAGCGGCGGACTTCAGCGCTCGGATCATTTTGGAGAACCTCAAGCAGCTTTTCAAATAATCCACTGCTGTCGTCATCACTGCTGTCTTGTCCTTGGTCATCTTCGTCGTCATTACCAGCAAGCCGACCTAGACCCATCACAGCATGTACTCGGACTGCTGCTTCCTTATCATAAATCCTCTTGAGCAACCCCATTTTTACAAGGTGATAATATTCATCATCTATCGAGTCCATGGAATTGATGATATGGGCGACCAATTGTGTGGCTCGATATCGTACAGTCTTCTCCTTGGAATTAAGGAATTGCAACAGCAAAGAGAAGACATGCATCATCAATCGCGAAGTGGCGGTCTCCACAACAGTCATGGTATCATCCTGCTCAGCATCAGGTATCAGTGCGCCATCTGGAACATATTAGTTTCCGCATAGTTGTCTTAGTCATTGTAAAGCTTGCCTTTCTCACTTGCGTACTTCAAGAACATGCAGATAAACCTGACCAACTTGTCTCCAATATTTTCACCTTTCTTCACAATCATCAGTCTGATTATACATCTGGTGAATTCGACATTGAAATCCTCCTCCGCATGCTGGGCAAATTTCTCAGTTCCCTTGCTTAACGTGGGCTCATAAGCACAATCTTCCTGCAATTTCCGGAGGCCAACGACCAACTTTCTGTGGCCAGCTGAGGTGCTCTGCGCATCACCGAATATGGTGCATACATGGCTGCGTAGTCTGTTCGGAGGCCCTTCGTCTGGAACATTGATCGCGGGGGAGGCAGTTGCGCGTCGGGACGTATATTGCTGGGTTAAAGACTTCTTTGATACTTGAGAGTCCGCGGATGTGCGATCTTCAGGTCTTCCGGGCATACTGTCGAAAATAATGGCTATATGTTAATTGGTCACTGGAGAAGGAGGCGACTTGAAAGGTAGATAAACAAAGCCTGTAAATAAAGAGACGCGCTAAGCGCCTTGGCCCCTCATTGGGTGGGGGCGGGCTCTGGCTTGTCTACATCCTTCCGTGAATTATTTCAAGTTTTTCTATGTTCGCCTTGAGACTCGCGAGTGAGCGAGGTGCTGAAGGTACGCTTATGGGGATTGACATATCGTTGTGTAGAGGTCAGGGGATCTTGTGCAAAAGCTAGAAGCTAATACCTTTCTGGTGACACGGACATCCACTTCAAAATCAAGTCCGAGTAAAGACCTCATCTACTCTCTGTAACATAATGCAGCACACCTGTCCTGTGCGAACGATGTTTAGATATACAACTCGCAATTTCACGACATCCCTTCGTCACCAAGCAGTGCTGTCGACCAAAGTCGATCGCCTAAATCAGTATGGAGCTCAAGTCTCCAAAGCGCAAGGTCACGTCAACGGACTCGTCGGAGGTGCTGCCTAGCTATTCTTAGATCAAGTCATGAGCTGATGTCGTCAGCGATCGGTAACACTCCCCTCATCCGGCTCAATCGACTTTCTCAAGAGACTGGATGTGAAGTTCTAGGCAAGGCGGAGTTCCAAAATCCAGGGGGCAGTGTGAAAGATCGAGCGGCACTCTATGTTGTCAAAGATGCCGAGGAAAGAGGTCTCATACAGCCTGGTGGTACGGTTGTGGAAGGTACTGCAGGAAATACAGGCATTGGCTTGGCCCATGTATGCCGCAGCAAGGGATACCAGTTAGTGATATACATGCCAAATACCCAATCTCAAGGCAAGGTGGATCTTCTGAGACTGCTTGGGGCGGAGGTTTATCCTGTGCCAGCAGTGGCTTTTGACCATCCGGAGAATTACAACCACCAAGCTGCGCGGCACGCAAAGAGTATGAAAAATGCAGTGTGGACCAACCAATTCGATAATGTTGCCAATCGAAGGGCTCACTTGGAAACCACAGGCCCGGAGCTGTGGAATCAGACAGCTGGTAAGATAGACGCTTTTACCTGTGCAACAGGAACTGGCGGTACGCTTGCCGGGGTTACAAGATATCTCAAAGACGTATCAGACGGTAGGGTCAAAACCTATCTTGCGGATCCACCTGGCAGTGTCTTGCACTCTTACATTACTAGCGGAGGTCAACTGATGGAACGGGCTGGCTCGAGCATCACAGAAGGAATTGGGCAAGGTCGTGTAACACAAAATCTGAAACCAGATATTGACCTTGTTGACGGAGCTTTACATATAAGCGATGAGAAGAGTATTGAAATGGTTTACCGGTGTCTAGATGAAGAAGGATTGTACCTAGGCGCTAGCTCGTGTTTGAATGTGGTCGCTGCAAAGGAACTTGCAGAGACGTTAGGCAAGGGGCACACTGTGGTTACCATCTTATGTGACGGGGCGTATAGATATGCAGAACGGCTCTTCTCGAGAAAATGGCTACAGGAGAAAAAGCTGCTAGGGGCGATTCCGAGACACCTAGAAAGGTACATAGTCTTGCCATAACACGTGCTGGAAGCACAGACGGATAAGCTGATCTTTTTGGGCAATCAACCTAAACGAGGGGCATCGGGGCCATTTTTTGCAAACATGGTAGACAGACCATGGACTCTGATCGGCATTGCATTTTGTTACCAATAGCACAATGCCTACATCGAGCTCCATACAAAACTGATCTAAAAGCAGAAAACATCAGTACCTATTCCAAAACGCCTCGCTTATATACCCTGCATGGCGGTAGGAACCTCCCTGAGGATAAGAAGTTCAGATGATGTCGTGAGCTTTCTATCTCCATGCTTGGTGGAGGCTGCATCGGTTCCGAGAGGCAACGATTGAATCTGACGATGTATATGACTAGCATGAGCAGCAGTACAGCGAATCAACAGTCATCTGCGATGGTCTTCCGTGAAGGGCAGCTAGTGTCCATTAGCTATGCCAGCCATGAATTTTCCCAGCCCGCGCCGTAGATGGCCTGAGTGACGCGAACTGACAGGATGCTCATTTGAATCTGCAACCGAGAAATCACGTCCAGAGGAGTCAGCTATGTCTGTCTGCTGTGCTTGCGGTTTGATTGAAGTTGGCGTTCTAGCAAGGGTAGAGCCTCTACTAGTAAGATTGTGGCCAGGAGGAGCCGCAGCACCCAGGTTCGAGTTGCGTCTATGCACCCGCTTGCTAGCATCTGCGTCCTCTTTCTTGTGCAATCGATCGCTTGGTAATAGTATTGCTCGGTCCAATTCGTAGGGTAATCCACGGTGCCGGCCACGAATCTCCATAGCTATGATGACAAGCTTTGATACCACGCTGAATTGCCCCGAAAAAGATGAATTCACGTTCGGATATCCTAGAGAGAGTCCCACAGTTCCGTACGCAGATACAATCTCAAATAACACCGAGAACAAGGTAAATGCAAATTCATTGGTATTCTCCAGGTGCTTGCCTTCTGCGATAGCAATGATGAAAAGCCCAAGGAATATGTACCACAAATCGAAACTCAATTGCTTCCTCAAGTGAGCACCTACGTAGCTAGGCTCCTTCTCATCTTCAGCATCTTCGTCAGCAGATGTATAGATGCCGAGACTCTTCTCTTCGTATACATTAGTTCTTCGCATAGATATAGCGATCGGAAAGACCGAAATATACATCATGATCATGTAAGATACTTGGATACCTGGGTGAAGGTTGGCCAAGTTGACTGAAGCAAATCCGGCCGTCCTCGTGCTCGCTGCTTGAAAAAGCCCGTTCAGTACACGATAGCCAGATGGATTAATACTGTTAATCGTTTCATCATTCAGCTTATAACAAATCAGTATCGGATGTCATGAGGAATGGGAGTGGACGATCGCATACGTCGAGAATGATGAAAAAGACAATATCCACCCCGTTCAAAAGAACCAGAATCCAGAAAAGCCACCAAGTTGCAGGAGCGGGAAACAGTAGAGTGAAACACCGCCTAGGATGGTCAAGGAGGAATTTGAATTCATCCCACACAGCACTTCCTGGCTTTGTGACCTTAGAAGCGACCCATATGACGAAACGAAGCATGCATGGAAAACCTGTGTTGCCAATGATGATGAGGAAGCTGCCAAGTATGAGTGGCAGGACGGCTTTCTGGAAGGATTGAAAGGAATCCGGAGTCAGTGTGTATCCTAAATCGTTGAACATTGAGGCAGGTGTGAATATACCCCTGTGGAAATCCATCAGCGTAGTACGTACACTCGTCAAATTAATACATACCACCAAACACGGTCGGTACCATCACTAGCGACGACAGTGTTCCAAGTTTTAGTCCGTATGATCCAGGGTAATAGAAGAACCACGCCAAAAATGTGGAAAGCCCAATAATAAGCTGCAAATTTTTGTCAGATCTTAGTGCTTTAGATGTCTCAAGGGACGAGTCGATGATAGCCTCGCGAATGACAATTATTGACATCAGAGGGTCATCGAAGTAGGTTGACTTACAAACCAGGACCACTGCTAGCGTCTTCAGTGAGCGATATTCTATGCCTCCAAGCTCCTCTCTCTGCTCCTCCGTCAGGTCTACAAATGCAGAATTCCTGCCAATTGTAGGCTGCCAACTTAGGTATGGAGCAACAGGTTCATTTTCCTTTGACGCCCATTTGTTCAAGCTCGAAAATGTTCCCGTGCGGGTCTTCAGACGCGCAGAATGTGGGGCTAATTCCTCTGTAGGAGCGTTACTCAGATCCTTGTGGTCACTCCTCGGCCTGGACAGTCTAGAAAATGTGTTAGTCCTCGTGCGAACGTGAGGATTCCCTGGTTGATCAATATTAATGACGCGCCTATCAGTCAATTTGTCAGCCGATTCCAAAGGATCACTAGAGTTTGAGGTTTGCAGAGCAGCCTCGCCCTCTTGGGCGTCTTCGCTATTGAGTGGTTCCGGCTCCCGTCCACGATCGAAGTCTTTTGGACCAGGTATTCGGAGCGCACTTTTATCCTTTGGATTTCTTTGGTTCTCACGAATAGCGATGTGTTGCTCTGGACTAATCTGTCTGGGTAAAATAGGAGGGTCTGAATCGTCGCTACCACGCTTTGGAATTTCGTCCGCAAAAGTGATATCGCGGTGAAAGGGGGCTGGCTGGTCTTGGACCTTGGTTTGTTGACTAGATTCCGAAGCGGTTCCTGACTCTTTTTCCTCGTCGCTAGAAGGGGGTCTTTCCCCCGTTCCGAGAGCCCGCTTGTTATGTAGCACAACAATACTCTTCCCTCTTACTCCATCTTCAAGTCCACGTGGTCCTCCCTCATTCTTAGCTTCCGTTCTGTGAAACGACCTTGAGCGGCGAAAGTGCCGGGCTTCTTTCACGATGTTCTGGAATCGTCGCTCAAACCAGTATAGTCGCACGAAGACTACGAAGGAGTGTATGAAGATCGGCGTACAGAACATGGTGATCAGGTACATCACTATCTGTATGTCACTTTTAGTGTGTTTGTGCTATCAATGTGAGATCCAGATTTACCTGCTGGTAGGTGTTGAGCTTATTGAGATCCACCCTAGAAAAGGATGAGTCCAGGTTTAGACCAACTGTAGATCAAGACACCTTACGTATTTAGCCCACTCTGTGTGACGCAGCCGCTTGCGAAGAAAAGGGCGTCGATGTAATCTATGCCGCCTGCAGGATAGAACAGGATAGACCCCACAATCGTCATGGAAAGGATGTACAGATCTAATGGAAGGGCAGGTAGTCAGCATGTAGCACACTACTACTGAGATCTAGCATGAAGAGGACCCACAATGTATGGTAATGAAATTCAAGCGTTTCTTTTGAAACACTCGGGTAGGGGCATGCTCCTTGATCCATTCGAAAGACTCCAGCCAAGGGACGAGAAACATGATAGAAGACGAAGGCTCAGCAGCCGGAAATGATCAAAAACGCTGCCAAAGATCGCAGACGGCAGATTCAAGGTTCTAAAGGCGAGAGTGACAAAGACCGGTCGGCCGCCGCTTGCAAAGAACCAAGATTGGTGTCATTGAGGCTGCCCGTTATCGCTGGTCGCACCTGCGAGGTAGCGGGCAGTAGCATTGCTCTCTAGGTGATTCGTCATGAATTGTGACGATAATGAGGCAGGGCGAGTGTAGAAACACAGGTACAGGTAATGGGACGAGCTCCGAGCCAAGACTTGTTGACTGCGACTGGAATGTTGAAAGAGATACACTTCCGGCAGTTTCGCAAGGCCCAGCGCACGAGTCGTGTGGGGCTAGTGAATAGAACAGGTTAGTCTGCACGGCCACTGCAGCCACTACAAGTCTGCAAGTCTACAACTACGTCCTATTCGTTTCGTAAGGTACCTAGTGGTACTGGAGAGGTTGACCTTTCTGATGAGGAGGCGAGTCTCTGCCGTGCATTTTCCTAATGCATGTATCGCAAACCTTGATTGGGATTTCCAGTCTTCCATCACAGCTAAGCATCGGGGTCTATTACTCGAAGTAGTACAAACTTGCCTTCGCGGGATTAGAATCTATACAAATCAAAGTATGCATGGAATTCACATGTGCTTTCTAATCTGGGAGCGCGGGTTGTCTTCTCAAAGCAACAGATAGTGTGCTTGTAGAGACATGGCTTCCCTATGATCACGCTGCGAGTCATGTGCTGCATGAGGTTTGGCTTGACTGGCATCTACTTCGTCAACGAATGCTCGTTCTGTTTTCCAGCAGAAGCCGAGGAGATCCATCGCCCCCTGGTGATTGCGCTTCCTCGTCCCGCGGCAACTCGGACACAGCCCAGTGAAGGCCTCGCCAGGGCGAAGGCGAAAGGCGTGTCGTCATCGCTGGTGGATGATGAGAAACAACACACTCATCGCCCAATTGAACTAAAGGCTGGAGATAAGGGAGGAAATATGGCCAACAAAGTCCGTAGTAAGGAAGAGGTGTCAAAAACACAAAGGAAGCGGGCCAAAGCAGGGCAACCCCACATCCCTAAACAGAACTGGGCAAAGAAGGTGAGACAGCCAGTCGTAAACCCTGCAAGCTCTCATTTCAAAGCTAATCAGACTCCTGCGCTCAATCCTTGTTCGCAATGGATGATCCATTGACACTTCACAGAATCAACAGTCTCCAGGAGCCAAAACTTCTGGTAAGCGAGTTCGTTTCCTTGATGAGGAGATCATGTCTTCACATGAACCAAGTGCAGACCACCTTTCCGAATCTTCAGATGATTCCTTCACAGATCCTCCTTCAGGTGTGGAGCAGATTCAAGTCCAACGACCCATTGCTGGACAGCATTCTGTCCACGGCGAGGGGCAAGCTTCAGGAATACATAGTCCTGTCAGCAGCTTATCAATCTCGGATGAGAGTTGTATCGATGTGGGAAACGTAGCATTAGAGGCCGAAGTGCACCAGGGTGGGGAAGAAAATGTTTGGGATGATGCCGCCTTCAGAATCCCAACGAGTCCCTCTTCTACCACCTCCGAGCAGGACAGCAACATTGACTTCGATGGAAATGTATCCGAGCAAACCAGATTTTATGGGCAGCAAGCTCGCTCACCATTGGGCAACGTCGAAGATCCTCCACTTCGAAAACGTCCCGGCGAGTCGTCTCCTCACCCAATATTTGTATTGCGTCCAGGTAGTCAAAGCTCCATAGGCGACAAGCAACATTCTCGGGTGAACAACATCGCGTTATCAACATCGCAGAATTCGAAACGCAAGCAGCGATTTACAATCCCACCTAAGGGCGAAAGTACGAAGAAGTAGGAGTTCCAGATGCACCGAGTGCTAGACCTCACCGTTGCGCAGAGTAGCAGAGTGCTCATAAAGTTGCGAGTACTTGCTATCAACACTACTTACATGAATTCGCATTGCGTTATTGCAATTTAAGAAATAGAGAGAGGGTATGTAGCTTGGGCTGTGGAAAACTGAGAGATATCGTGGAGTATGCCTACCTCCATGTGCAACTCTTCATATTTAAGGCATTCATGGCTGGCCCCACCGCCTTTGCTCTTTCTCATTCAGGGCCGTGTTTCTGCTTTCTAATACCCGATACAGAAGAAAGCCTTTTCAGATTGATCTATTTAGCCTTCTTACTGTCTGTCGAACTCTCGGACCTTGCTCGCTTCTCTTTTTACCCCTTTCTTGACCAACCAACGATTCTTGTATTGCTCTGGGGGGCTTTTGACCCGCCCACTGGTCCATGCTGTAGTCTTCTTCAGGATCACTTGAACGACATCGTGGAGCAGACAATCCTTGAGCTGATCGTCCTTTATCTACTCCAGCATCTGACTTTTTCTGTGCAATTTGTCAAGAATCTTCATTGACTCATTGGAGAACAGCGTGTAGGATGGTCAGTCAAGCCTGAAATCGGGAAGTACTCACCTGGTGGCTAATGCTCAATACTCCAAACCTCCTCCTGCCAATATAAGCTCGGTCATGATCTTCCACTTGGCCGTCGCCGATGACCAAGTATTGAGGATTCTTTCTCCCCTTCTTAGACTCATCAGCTTGAAACACCGGTTGACTCAAGACCCATTTAGTTTCCCCTGTATCCTTCGCAAGCTTTTCCAGAGCCTTCTCCTTCTTAGCCTCGTCCTCGTAGATGGCTGACTGCATCTGCTGCAGCTCTGGGTTGGGTATGCCTCGACTTTTTTGAGGGTTAGATCCTAGTTTTCGGCGTTTGGGGGATGGACTGGATGCTAGGTCTTCAGCAACATCTTGCACATGCGACGGAATATTCTCATTAATCTTAGATGCGGCTGCACGTTGCATGAACTTGTGTTTGCAAATCAGACATGTGAGATCAGTGAACATTCTTGCTCAGGTAAGGAAGTACCTTCATGGTCATCAGCCTGGACGACATCATCTTGGGAGGCTTTCCCAGCGGAACCGAGGGACCAGTCATTCTGAAGGCTGTTAGATGACTACCATGTTGAGAAGTCGATATGAATCCTCGATATGTCTCCTTAATGGTTGCAAACAGTAGAACAGTAGATAATATTCGCTGACCTAGCCCGAAGTAGCGTAGCCTCGGGGTTTCCCTCTGCCGGTTCTGCGGCATCTTGAATAAGCTAGAATTTGAAGATCTGATATTTCATTCGGGGTAACCACGAGAACATGCTGAAGCCAACAGTCCCGCGGCTGCTCCGATGTATCCCAAAAAGAAAATTGCTGAAGGCTCCCTATCGCAGATACGCTACCTCAGATCGCACATCCGATCGTGTCGCCACGAATGATCCCTCGCCCCCAGCTCCTACCCAAAATGTATCTGACAGCAATGCTGTTCCCATATCACCACAGGGTCTACGTGATTCTGATCAGCCATTACAAGAACTGCCAGAAGATAGCGAGAGACAACGGGTAATGCAAGCGCCCAACAGAGAGAGACCATGGTCGCGGAGCCAGCAGCCCCGTGAAAGAGCTATGAGCGGGCCTAGGTTTGAACAAACGATCATGGAATACCAGGTAAGCAACAATATGTTCAATATCAAGTTTAAGATATTTGCGACCTCCGTTCTACGTTCTACCAGGAGAATGATACACTGAAACTCGAGCTAGCCCCAACCAGAAGCCGCAATCAATCTGATACATCAACAACCTGTGCGGTGGACTCAAGAGCGGAAGGTGTCCTGTGACGGTGGAGGGGGCCCTTTAGGCCATCCAAGAATTTTCATCAACGTCGATAAACCTCAGATATGTTGGTGTACTTACTGCGGATTGCCCTTCGTAAGTACATGCTGCATATGAATTTGGTCAGGAACTGAATGATGGCAAAGGCGCATGAACAGCATCGGGAGATGCTGAAAAGTCTGCCCTCCACAACCTTTCCCTTAGAACCTATCGGAGCACCTGCCGAAGTACCGCAAAATCAAAGAGTGTCTGATGAACCTTTTGCTCAAAGATAGAAGAAGATGATTCGAACAATGCTGATTATGTAAAATAGAAGCTTGAAGTTTTTCCGTTGAAGTAAGCCTCCCCCTTTCAAGCTTCATGGGCCATATTTTTGATAGGTAGGCCAAGTATTCATCAGCCTTGCTTACTCCTGCTCCGCGTTCTGCGTAAGCCAGCAGCTCCAAGCATTTACATATTGTTCATCTTCAGCCAGGGCATCCTTTCTACTAGCCCTTGCTTCCTGTCTCCTTAAAAGATCTGATCTCTCTTGGGTCCATTGTCGAACCATTACCTTGCACTGCTCTTCTTTCTTGAATACGTCCAATGCTTCTTTCGTAACTTCTCGCCGCGACGGCACAAAGGCCGAAAATGCATCAAGTTCCGAGTGCCAATTTTTCGGGACCCAATTATCCACAAACTCCCGAAAAACCTCTCTCTGCGCCAGTCTTTTGCGATCATTTGCTTTCAGGCCGTGTCTGCAGTATGCGCTAACATCGAAGAAACGGCAGGCTCTAATAAAGTCAAACATCTGTTCCACGCGGGAAAAGCCCCTTTCGTACACCTTTTCGTTTAAATCGAGAAATTTTAAAGTCTCTGTTGGACTCTTGGTAAGGAGGAGCATACTGCGCTTTTTATTGGACATTTCGATCTCCTCGATGCGCAAATGCATTCCGGCGTCATTAGCAGTCAGGCCTAACGGACGAATCATGGTTCCTAGCAAATTCCAAAGGTCTCCATAGGACTGGTGAAAGAACTCCCATTCAAATGTATCTGTTGAGCATACATGCACATCAATCTGCACGAAAGTTTCCGGCAATTGCGGATGCTTGACTGCGAAAGAGGTCGTTGGTGAGCCGGAAGCTTGTACTGTGTCGGCAGCTCCGAGTTGAGCTGCCACAGTATTCCTCGATATGTCCGTCTCAAATGGTCCCGACACTAAAATATCTAGGAAGCGATTATACATGTTTAGTATACTATTGACCAGTCATATCAATAAAATATAATCAGAGATAACTTCCTTATCCGCTCAAATGGAGATGAATTTTCAGATGATTACACCATCCATAAGTTTGACGCAAATTTTTTTCAGATAAATACATGAATTCTTCATTCACCTACCTATATCACCGTGACTTGTTTTACCGGGCCCTTCAAACGGTGTGTCAACTTTACAGTACAATTGGCGCAGCATTTGGTGATATCTGTTCTTCAAGATGGAGTAGGTCAATGGATCGATTCGCGGAGTGGACAACCTGGAAAATGCTTTTCCACCCATGATATCTCAGTCTCGCCCTTGATTCTAACGAGGAGACTGAGATGATGGTAGGAAGAAATCAATGAACTCAGGTCTTGTTTCTAAACCGATACTCTGACCTGTCAATGGTCCGAGGTCATTCCATCATCGCGTGTGAGATTCCGATAGAATTCTTCTACGCGATTCTGGTATAGCTCCGCCATCCAAAGGCGGTTTGAGGTGGCGACGAGTCGAGTGAGGATTTGTTGAATTTATTGGATCGAGTGATACCTTATGAGATTGCCGCTATTTTAGGCTCGGGCGGAAGCTACGGCTGATGTCCGTGATAACCTTAAAAATGTAGACGGTTTAGGCCCGAGGGTCGGTTTTTTCGAAGGTTGCCGCGCCAAATCCAATTTTAGGGGGCGTTTTAGGGAGGGGTGCCTGGGAGAGCTGCCTGTAGGCTAGCTGTATAAGGCCAGCTTGCCCCCCAGTTTGCGCCTATAATTTGGCGCGGCAACCTTCAAACGACCCTCGGCCCCTACCTCTCAAGGTTTTCAGACTGTTTAGTACGTGATATGAATTTTCCAGGCGTACCAGGAGCTTTGGGAGGGAATGGCTCAGGAGCTGCTGAGACAGCAAACGGTCAGGAAGTTGCTATGGCTAAAGCGGTACGTATTCTCATACCTGAAGCATAGAACATATCATTCTAATTTCGAAAATTAGATGCAAGCTGCCGTGGAGTCTTGCCCAGGCAAAAGCATCATGTCTGGAGGCATGGGTTTTGCCTTAGGTGGGGCATTCGGTCTCTTCATGTCTAGTGTGCGACTAAACCTTAGACGGGGGAAAAGGTTTGCATGCTGACCCTGAACTACGTAGATGAGCTACGATACGCCAATGAGTGGCGCCAGCCAAGATATGGCAAAAATACCCGTGAGGGAGCAATTGCGAAGAGGGTTTAGGGACATGGGTACAAGATCTTTCAGCTCTGCGAAGAATTTTGGACTAGTAGGTGCCATTTTCGCTGGAACGGAATGCTGCATCGAAGGGGTAACTTATTCTTGAGCCTCTTGAACCTGACAGTCAAATTGACAAATGGAAGTACCGAGCCAAGAATGACCTCACAAATGGCGTAACGGCAGGTTGCATTACTGGTGGTGCTCTAGCAGCACGAGCAGGTCCCCAGGCTGCTGCTGTCGGTTGCGCTGGTATTCAAGATTTACTTAATGGAAAACTTACCAACATTGCTGATACGTCTGCACAGGCTTTGCGGCATTTTCCGCTGCCATAGACACTTGGATGCGCTCAGGAGATTAAAAATTGCGGAAGAAATCTATCAGAGGACTCTAAATACGCCAGGAAGAGGAGGCATTGAATAGGCTTCAGCCCTCGCCTGGAACCAGGCCCTGCGAACTCTACTGCCTACTTTTGCTATGAATTATGCCATCGACGTTGCAGAACATCAGAAGTGGTCACACGACTCAGTATCTGCGGATATCCGATGACACTCAGGGCAAATCCTATCAGTCGAGCAGTGACCGCGCTGCCTTGGTCAGTCGGCTTCCCTAGGTGGTATCCAGCCTCGTTGTTCATGGTGCCTGCCTCTTTGCTTCATAAGCAGATCTCGTGCCAGAAACACCTAGATACGAGCGAAGAGCGGTCTCCGTATAGCTTCAAAGTCCCACGGCGGCTTCCAGGATAATACTAAGGACTGAAGACTCCGATGATCGTTTAGGGAATGACTGTGTTTATATGTATTTATAGGGATTCATGATACCGTTCTTGTGTATAACAATTAGCTGACTTTCTTAAAGCTGGGAATTACAAGGCTTACAGGGTCAAAAAGCGCTTTGATCTGCCTCATCAGCTGAATCATCGTCTTACTTCGGCTATACCCAATGAAAGGCTTCTTCGCTAAGCCGAGACCATGTTCGGCGCTGATACTTCCATGCTGTTTTGCTATCCATTCGTAAACAAAAGGTTCGAGAGCCTCCTCAACCTGCTTATCGAACCGACGGGTCGCAACGTTAAGGTGCAAATTAGAGTCTCCCATGTGACCATAACCTACAACACCAACCACAGGGTGCTCGTCATTTGGTCCAATGAGTCCCAATCTATTGAGCCGCGCTCTCGTCTCTTCAACAAGTGCATAAAGCTGTGCAAGTGGAATCGATAGATCGTATTTGTAAACTCCACCCCAATGACCGAGACATTCTGGTATGCCTTCTCGCCATGCCCACAAAGACTGCAGCTGTGATTGATCCTGCGCTAAGACCCCGTCTGAAACGATTTGTTGATCCATTACAAATTCAAGAAATCTTTCAAGCTTCTCGCTATCGTGCTCTGAATTTGAGCCACTAGTTTCGATCAAACAATAGAAAGGATGCTGACCTTCCAGTGGCCGTTGCTTCTGTGTGACTAATTGAACCATATCCTGACTCTGCCCGTCCATCAGCTCAAAGGCTGACAAGATTTCCGAGAGTTGCTTCTTTGCAGCGCGATACGCCTCCTGCACCTTGTCAAAACTCTCAAGACCAAAGAAGGCAACATTGCAGGCTTTAGGTCGCTGGGGGCATAGCAGCGATACTCCAGTTATTATGCCTATAGTCCCCTCACCGCCAATGAAAAGCTGCTTCAGGTCGTACCCTGTATTGTTCTTTCGCAGCTTACCCAAGTCATCCATGAGAGTCCCGTCCGGTAGAATTGCCTCTATACCAAGCACATTACCATGTAGACTCCCATATCGCAACAATCGTAGCCCACCAGCGTTCGTCGCTACGTTACCTCCGATCTGACATGAGCCTTTAGCACCCAGGTCCAATGGGAATATATGACTCTTGTCCGCCAAAAACTTGTCCACAACTTCCAAGATACATCCTGCGTCTACGACTAGTGTTCCTGAGACCTCGTCAAAGGATCGTATCCGATTCATACGGGACATACTTATCACAATTTCATCATAGACAGGTACAGAGCCACCAACAAGACCGGAGTTGCCACCTTGAGGAACTACAGCCAGCATATTGTCGTTACAATATTTGAGGATTTTGCTGACTTGTTCTGTCGAGCTCGGCTTGACAACTACTTGAGTATGGCCTTTGTACTTGCGCATCCAATCGCTATTATACGTCTCAAGATCGTCTGCGGCATCCCGAGTCAGCCCATCGATCAACGCACTCTCTGAGCCCAGAATATCTGTGAGGCAGCCAACGTGCTCCTTTGTGAGCTTGATTGATCATTAGTTGCATAGAATGTCGCAGACGAGTGTAGAAGTCTGACCGTGCTGAATTGGCTGTTGCGTTTGAGTTCTGGGTATCTAATGTGCTCTAAGTAAGCTTAGAGAGTGGCGAATGCTCTTGTACTGGTAGTACGTACGACTCAGTTGTGTAGGGAATATACTTGTCAGGGCTAGCCGAGCCCTGTATCCCTCCATGCGCATCTGGCTGACGAGGCTCCGTTGTAGCAGAACTCCATCTCACGCCTGACATGGGCGTCAACCTCGTCAAGCTCATCATCCGTCGTGAGCCCATCTTGAGCTGCAAGATGAAGGGAGCTAATCTGAGAGAAGCCATGAGGTATCACTGCCAATATAGAACCATCGGAAGGTTTTGGATGCGAGCACATTAGATCATCCAGACATCTGTATCTCCGGCAAAGCATATCCGGGCAGCGATTGTGCGGAGGTGGATGGAGGGGCACCAAAAAGAGTACGCAGGCGTGCTGAAAGGTGCCCGCAGTCATTGTAATCTTACCATAGTGCTAGAAGAGCTCACCCCCAGCTCGGATCTACCCCCAGATCGGATTTTCTGGCGTAATTTACATCTTGATTACGCATCTAAAGGAACACTTCCCTCTACGCCCCTATTGTTGCGATCGTGCAATCTGGGCCTTAGTAATAAGTAGCTAACATACTTTGCCACTAGTTTGCTACTAAGACAAATCGCTACTATATAGATATAAAGCTTAGTAATAATTACTAAAGATTAATTAGCTATATACTTATAAAGTATATTAAGCTATATATATATAGACTAATTATTATTAATTAATAATTATTTTTTTAATATATAAAAATTTATAAGTTATTTTAAATAATAGTTATTCTATTTTATATTATATAATTATAATAAGTTCTAAGCTTAAATAAGCTAGCTTTATTTTCTTTATTTTATTAACTATATTTAATAACTATAAAAATATTACTATAAATAATAATATTTATACTATATAGTAATAAAAATAAATAAACTTTAGTATAACTATTTATATAAATTTATTAAAAAATCTTTTATTTACTATTAACTTAGCTTTTAAATAGTAAGCTTAAAAATAGTTTATAAATACTCTTAATTTTAAAGTTTTTAATAAAAATATAATAAATAAAATATTTTATAAAATAATAAAACTAAATATTATTAATTAGTTAAAATAATTAATAAAAATAAAAAAAAAATTTATATTTAGATAACTATAAAGCTATATACTTAAATATATATAAAAGCTAATATTTAGTATTAAGTATATTAATTAAAAGAAATATAATATTTTTATAAAGCTATTGCTAAGGAATATTATAGAGTTTATATAAAAATTATATCTTTTTATTAATACTTTATTAAAAGTAATTTAATATATATAATATAAAGTCTATAACTTATTAATAATAATTAGACTTATTCTATTAATATAATAAATATTAATAATAAAAGCTAAATCTAAGGAATTTATAAATATAATAATATTTAAAGTTAAATAATTAAATAACTAAATTAAGAAAATTAGTTTAAAAGATAAGTAAAGTATTACTACTATTAAAATTACTATTATTAAAGTATTTAAATATAATAAGAATTATAAGATAATAATCTACTATTTTTATATTTTTTATAAACTTAATATAAAAATAGTTATTTAATAATTTAAAGCTATAGAAGTAAGTATTATAATTTATAAATATAATATTACTTAAATTAAGTAAAAAAAATTAAATTATAAACTTAAGAAAAATATTAAATATTAATAATATAGCGGACTATATATAATATATAATTATAATTATAATTTAAATAATACTTTAAATATTTAATAAAAATATAATAAACTTATTAATAAGTAAAGAAATATTTAAACTAATAACTAGAAAAGGTTAAATAAAAAAAATAATAAAAAAAACTTAAAAAATTAATATTAAAAGAAGTTATAGCTAATAATATTAATAATAATAAGTTTTCTATAAAAGATATTAAAATTACTAAGAAATAAACTTTAAATTAAAATTAAATATTTTTATTATTAAAATATATAGATATTAATTATTTTAATTATAAGAAAAAAGATTATAAATGTTAAGAGTTTACTTAGGGGTGAAAACTAGCTCCTAAGGCCTAGGAAAGATAAAAAGAACTAAAATAAAGAACTAGCTCTATTTTAGGCAGAAACCCTATTTATATACTTAATAAATGTCGCTATATATTAACCCTCTAGTCTATATATATTTACTTTTATATAAGAGTAATTTATAATACTTGCTAAGCTTTTAATATTGTTATTTCTATATAATTAGGAAAGATATAATCTAGATTATAATAGTACCCCTTTTTTCTATTAAAATATATCTTTATATTAGTTATAAATAGTCTAGGATATAGGTAAAACCTTATATTAATTAGGGAATTAAATCTTTTAATAGTTATTAAAAGTTTAATAATTATATACTTTATTCTTATATTTTAATTCTTTAATAGAATAGCTAAGTAGTTTTATTATTAATTATAAAGACTATATTTCTAAAAAATTTAAACTAAAATAAGAATTATATTTAAATATTCTAATAAATAATTCTTTTTTAATTCTATTATACTTTTCTATTTAACTTAAATATTTTTTTAATAGTTTTTAGTTTTATTAAGTAATCCTATAATATAATTAGTTATATTTTAGTTTTATAGGCAGAATACTTATTAATTAGTATTTTACATAGTTAAAACTAAAAAACTAAGTTTAAATCCTAGTAAAATTAATAGGTTTTATTCTATAGTATTAGCTTTTTTATTAATAGTAAAAAATAAATAGTTTAGCTTAAGATTAACGTTAAAGGTAGTTATAGCTTAGTTTTTTAACTAATTTTTTATTAAAAAAGATTAGTTTAAAACTAAGCTAATTATAGTTTCTTTTGATTTTAATATCCCTTTTATACTTTTACTTTAATAAAGAAAATAATATTTAAGTTAGTTAAAAATAATTAAAAATTATATTAGAAAATTATTAAGTAATAAGCTTATAATTATAATAAGCAGGGAATATTAAGACTTTATTATTATTATTATATTGCTATTAAGTTTTTTAACTTATATACTTTTATAATTAAGATTTTACTTTTTTATAATTTAAAAAAACAGGGCTATAGTATAAACTTTGCTATAACTATTATTAAAATAAACTTTTATTAGTATATATATTAAGTACTCTTATACTTTAAGTTTAGAAGTTATTTTATATACTCCTTTTTTATAGTTTTTTTATAATAATAAGCTTTATAGTATAATTAATAATATATATATAGTTCTAGGATTTAAACTTAATAGGAAGCTAGTTTATATTAATAATAAGTAGTTACTATCCTAGTTCTATAAAACTTATAAATTCTAGGTTTAAATCTTAGCGAAGCTACTTTTTGCTATTTATAAGCTTATTTTTTATAGATTTTTTTTTAGCGGGTTTTATAGTATAATAGTAATATATCTCTTAAAGAAAAAGTAATTTAAGCTAAATTAGAAACTAGTTTATATTAATAGTAGGCAGCTATTACCCTAGCTACCTATTTCTTAAAAAGAGATTTTAGGTTTAAATCCTAGTAGGACTATTTTCTTTTTTTTCTTTTTTTTACTTTATTTTATTATATTACAATATTATTAATAAAAAGTATTAGTAAAGTAAATAATATATATATATAATTAAAATAATATAAATTAGAATACTATATTTTTAGGGGCATTTTATATAATAGTAAAGTAGTTTATTAAAACTATTTATAGCTATAAGGTAATAATAATAAAACCTTACTACTAGCTTAAATAAATAATTAAAGCTATATATATTATATTACTAATTATTATATTTAATATCTTCTTATTTAATATAATATTATAATATATTATAACTATAGTAGGACTATAATATATATTTTATACTATATTCTTTTTTATTATTAATAATAATAAGTTTAAGCTCTAAGTTAATCTATTTAAAGAGCAGATTATTAAAATCTTTCTTTAAGAGTTTTATATAAAATACTTTATTATACTTTATTAAAGGGGGTAGATTTAACTTATATAAATATCTAATTTTATAAAATATTTTAAAAAAACTAATTTACTTATAATCTAGTTTTTTATTTATTTATATAGTTTTAACAATTATCTATTTTCAACTAAATATAATTATTTATTTTATACTTTATATCCTATTTATAGCAATTAGCTTAAATTATTATTTGTTTTTAAGCTTTAATAATATAATTCTAATATTCTTTAATAATAGCTTCTATTTTTATTAAAATATCTTCTATATAAGCTACTTATAAGTATCTATAAAAGTTAATATACTTAGTATTATTTAAAAAGAAGTTTATTTATAAATAAAAGCTATTTAAAGTAAAAAATAATAATATACCTATAGCTATAAAGTCTATATTAGTATAAATAAACTTTGCTATAAATAAAAAATTAACTTAATTATTTTAGTAAATATTAATAAATATCTAGAGGTAGGTTTTAATCTTTTAGTTTATTTATTTTATTTATTTATTAGTTTCTAGATAGTAAGCTATTAAAAATTTATTATTAATTTTTAATTTTTTATATATTAATTTCTATAGATTAGAAATAAATTGTTTTTTATAATCTAAAATTATTATATCTAATAGTCTATAATAGGAAATAATATATTTAATAAGGATTATAACTATTTCTTCTATAGAGATTCCGTTTTTATTATAGGTAATTAATATATATTTCTAGTTTTTAGTTAAAAAATTAATAATAATATAAATATTATTTATTTTATTATATTCTAGAAGGCTAATAATAAAATTAATACTAATTATTTTCTATTATTATTAAAAAATAGGTAAAGAATATAGAAAGCTATATTGTTTATTTTAAAAGTATTTACTTCTTTTATAAATATAATAATTAGTAATATATATTTTTATTATTTTCGTTATTCTTAGCTAATAATAATATTATTAAAGTAGTTTAACTATTTTTTTAACTCTTAAATAACTAATAAAAGCTTAATTATAAATTTCCTTTATTAAAGTAAATATTTATATTAATAAAACTTATAATTTGTCCTTCTAGTAAAAAACTTTCCTTTTAGTATTAATATTTTTAAAGTTTATATTTTTATCTTTAATAGTACTATTATAAATAGCAATTTAATAATATTTAAAATTAGTATCTTTATAATTTACTTTCTTTATAATCTAATAAAGGGACTTATTTCTAGGTTTTTCCCTAGGTTATAGAAGGGATATATTAAAATATTCCTTTAATAATAAGACTTAAATATTATTGTAACGGTCGTTTGCCTATGCAAGGGCCGTGCAACGACTAGCTTGGGTCGTGTACAAGCTAGGTTGGCTTGGCAGGTAGTGACGAGCTACAGACGCAAGAGAAGGTGAGCTCTGAACGGCGAGCCTGAACACTGCGACAGTAATGCGATTTATACGTGGAGCTCCG